GGACCAAGCCGGCTTCCTGGTTCGGTCCCGCATGGCTGCTCTCAAGGCGTCCGCAAGTCACCGGCTAGGCAGACGCGCAGTCTATCGATTATTCGACAACGTTGTGCGCTATTCCGAACAGTACCAGGGGCTAGACAGTGTCCACCTGTCAGAGGACATGCAGGATGCCGTGGCGGAAATCAACATGGCACACGTCCCAGCCGCGGGCGGCCATTACCTCCACCACCCGTTCTTGCTCGACTCGATTGTTCATTTGTCGGGGTTCTTGGTGAACAATGGGCTTCGCTATTCCAGCGAGTGGGCTTGCCTTTCCACCGGCTTTGACGAGTGGCACCTGCTCAAGCCGCTTGATCCCACCACTGTGTACACCAGCTACACCTTCATGGAGGACTCTCGGTCGACGAGCAATCTGGTAACGGGCGATGTATACGTCTACGACGGAGAGGAGCTGGTCTCGGTGCTGACGGGGCTGCAGTTCCAAAAGATGAAGAGGACGGCACTCACCCATCTACTGAGCCCCCCGACAGTCGGTAGCATGGCTGCCAAGCCGAGTACATGTATGCCAACCAAGGCACAAACGGAGCTGTTGCCGGCTCAAGCCAGAGTGGTCGGCTCGCCGGTTCCCACACCACCGGCTACAGCAAGTGTTGATGACGGCGAGGGGGAGAAGTTCGACTTGGTCAATACACTCTTCTCCATTATTGCGCGCGAGGTGGGCGTGGAACCAAGCGACTTGGAGGGCGACGTCAACCTGGCGAATTTGGGCATAGACTCCCTCATGGCCATTACCATAATTTCGGTCATGCAGCAGGAAACAGGTGTCGAGTTGCCGGGGACCTTTTTCCTCGACAATGCCACTACGACGGCAGTGATTGCGGCGGTAGGGTAGCTTAGTGTCTAGTCAGAGATGACGATGGCGAAGATGGTCATCTTGCCCGTTAGTGGTGAACTGGAGCTTGAAAGAGGTGCGAGTGTGCTTGGCCTTTGAAGCTGGCCGAGACTGCCGGGTCAGCGTGGACGGTGAAGTGAGAAGTACTCGACATGGTTGTTTTGTTTAAAGTGTTTTATCGAAAGTTTTGGCTCTATTTAGTAATGGCATATAGGATAAGGAGTTGTGCAATAGTGTAAAGATGATAGAGTTGTTCCGAACTCGGCCAAGGAAAGCACCTAATATTGAACTAGACAGACCTGTTAGGCGTAGTTATTTGATTTATTGCTCGTAGATGAGCAGCCGCCGTGCGTCTTGAAACTCGATATGAAATCTCAGATACTCAAGGTTATTAATAATAGCAAGTCGGCTCCTGACACGTAGTTGAATTGTACATTGATCCCCACAGCACAAGTTCCCAGGTCTTTTTGGCACATCTTGATATTTCTGTCAAATTTCCATCTGATAAATAGCAAGAATTGCCTTTAGACGGGCATCGCAGCATGACACTCGACCATCGACTTATATGCGCCCGTTTATCGCTGTCTTACCTAAAAGCTAAGGCTATCTAGTAAAGCAATTGTGGACTGTCCGATTTTACCTGTTTATTAGCTAATACTTTGCTATGTAAAGTTTTATTACAGCTTAGGTCTTTTTACAATTTGGTTAGATAAAACTTGCGAAATTACTCAGGCTTCCAGTAGGTTTTAAATTTAAGAATAATTTCTTTTCACTGATTCTAGTCCCCCTTTAAAGGTTTCGGGTAAATAAATGTCACGATTTCTCAGCTATAAATCGTATTAAATATTGGACTAGTCCTAGATTGAAGCTTTCTAGCTAGAGAGTTTATGTTCATTTTGTAGGCATCGTAGATTATCAATTGAGCCATTCAATGGGGAGTTTATTTGTGTTGAACTTAACAGGTTCAATTGGACCTGTGGCGCGAGGCGTTATAAAGCTTTCCCAGTCTTTTTAGTAATGCTCATCAAATGTAATTCTTTCCGTTATCATTGAAGCTGGCTTTTAGCCGCACTTTAATAACAACCTTTAAAATACTTGTTACTTTGTCCCAAAAGTACAATTCACTCGTTGAATTACAACTACTGTGACAAGGGCCTAGCTACACATATTCCGCACGGCGTATTCACCCGATTAGTTCTTTTTCTTTATTGTCATAGCATTAAATATCTACCAGACATATGCAACGATTCTATTGCCACTCTTAGTCCGGGGGGTGAGACTTTGCCCCTCACAAACTGCCGAGTTTCAGGTTTAGACTATGAACAGACGACCCACTTGCGCCCGAGGTTGGGAGGGTGGCCATGATCGACGTCGACAGAGGTCCGTTCGTATCTATGTTGGAATCTCTGTTTCTATTACTAGATGCATGGTAGATTACAATCCTCCCAGCAAGATATCAAACTCAACCGTGCGTCATGTTTTGCGTTACGCCAACCGGTTATCATGTATCCCGTATCATTCCCGGAAATTGCCACTATTTGAGTGGGGGGTCATATGATACGATTAATTGACCCAGGTGCCCCTTTGAAACCTCAACCCTAACCCTTCTCTGGCGTTGTGTCAATTGCATCAACCCATCCTCGAGACCCGACACCACAATCCAGGGTGGGCGTGTCTCGACCGAAAGATGAAGACGGCGATTTCCAACTGGATAGCGATGAGCCATTGGATTCAGCTACCGTGGGCTACCTCCTCAACCACTTGTTTCTCAACGTTGGAAATCTCTTGGCGGGCATAGCATTCTATGCGAAGGGTTTTGGGGTGCGAAACACGTTCACCACCCAGGTTATCAACCATTACTCTCTCTCTTACATTGCTCATAGCCATGGAGAAGGCTTTCTGCACCAAGGCCATGCTGCCGGGCAAAATCACTCCGGTGACGCGACTGTAGCGCATAATGCGAGGGAGCTTGTGGAAGGAAGTCTCTTGGCCACATACAACCATTCTCATGAGCCCATGTCTAGTTCGCATAAGCAGCAAAGTCATGTACAGCAACGATGCTTCGAAAAAGTAGCCAGACAATAAAAGAAATTTACATGAAGATGTCGTACTCGCCTACGGGTTTCGCCGTGCCTGGTTCACCGCTGTCACACAGTTACACGAGGGCTACAATCATGGGATCTAGGGTAGGAAACGCCCACCGATTTCTAGTATTTAGAAAGATCTTTGGTCGACCAGGCCTTGAGGAAAACTAAGGAACTGTAATACTCAAGACTCTTATTGGGTGAATTAAGTTATTACTCCAAGCCCTCACTGAGCGCTTGTTACAGACCAAGACGTTTGCCTGAGACTAGGTGCGGGTTTCTTGTGACCAGGGCTCAAGGAGAGCTTGGAGTCAATAGCCTCATTTATCTAGTAATAGTCTTTAGTGTCAAACTTCCTTTGCTTTCTTAGAGCCTGGCCGGACTAAAAGGCTTTATAAATACAAGAAATAAGTGTGCCTTTTGGCCTCGTCCAGTAATCGTAGCCCTTGTGTAGCTGTGTGACATTGGGCCATTTCCGTGTCACATCCGCCGTATAAAGGAAAGATTCAGCATTGTGACCTGCACAGAGACCAACCAATTCATACGTCGCTGCCTTGGCAGAACATCTCCAAGCTCTTCTTATCCTTGACTTCGGAGGAAGGCGAATCTATGGCGGGCCCGCTCATGGTGACAAATGCGGTACAAATTCAAGCCGACACTAAAATATATCGGCAACCACTAGACAGCTCGTATCACAAGGTGCAATTATTATTATGAAAGACTAAGATATTATTGAATATCAAGTTTTGTACAAGGTCCTTGTTCTTGCATAGTTGTTCACCCCCATGCTTTACGAGATCGCCCACCTGTTCCTGTACCGCACGGAGATAAAGGCGGGCAGCATCGGATACTCCAGTTCCAGCCTAGTTTTTAATTCCGAAGTCTAAACTTTAGATGGTCTCATTCTCAACTTTAAATTACTGTTTCCTATTACAGCCAAGAAGCCGCGGGCAGGTCTCAACAACGGCAAGGTCAACTTGACTCCAACGAACCAGACAGCAACATGAAGGGATAAACGACGCTAGGCCAGGCTAGGCTAGTCTAACTGGCATTCAACTTTAGCAAGTCTGGTAGAATCAAGTCGGCGTAGCATGTCTGGTTGGAGAGGCTGGGCCTTGTGGAATGCCTTTGCTACGACCAGTTGACGTCATTCTAGTCTCTGCAGCTGACAGGTCAACTGCAGACGTGACTAACCATGGCCAAGTGTCAACTGGTACATATAGTTGTATATCGTAGTTCCGTTATATTCCCAGGTCAATGTGGAGCTCCCCCGCATGGGTTAAGCATCTTCCATCGTGAAACGGATCCGTGGACGGCTATTCCCAGCCAAGTTTAGTTTGAGAGAATCGCCTTACGAAAGAAGTGTATCGCGAGTTCACCTTCTTTTTCGCTACATGTGAACTCATGCCACGCTCCACTCGCAATCCTTCGCGCTAACCTAGCTTGGTGCGTATTTTTCATGCAAAGTTTGTGAGACCACGCTCTTGAGTAAACTTTATTATGCATAGGTTTGAGGGGTTCGACGAATGCGGTCGGCTGACGTTACACTCGCGGCCGAAGTAGGGCAAGTTTATGCTAATAAAGCCTGTAGCTATATACACGCTGGGCCGCAAGCGATTTGATTTTTCGCAGAATATGAGAGAAAGACGGTACGGGCAACAAGAATGAATTGACCATGATAAACCGGGTCAGAAAAGAGTAACAAATTACCTTGACCCTACTAGACTCATACCCCGGTCTCGACCCAAGTAAAGAAGTGGGGTGTCGCGTGAGCAAGTGGGCTTATGTGTCATGTTTTCCATGATTTCCTTTTGCATAAGCTTGTTTTCAAGTTTACAAAAGCTTATCTTGCTATGACAAAGTCTGACAAATGGTATGCGCTTCTGCCTTGAAAAGCTACAAGTACAATCGACAAAGACTGCTAGAGCTATTGTATATAAAAACGACTTCGTTTCCGCTTGACAACATCAAATCTCAACATCAACCAGCTCATTGTCCCCAACTAAGCCGACTCTTCACAATTCACAATGCCTGCCGAATACAAACGACTCAACGCGGAAGACTGTGTCTTTCTGTTTGTGGACCACCAGGTAGGGAGACTTCTCTCGTCTTGAGTACGGCGCTTACTTTTTTTGGCAATCTGCATAGTCCGGCCTCATCCAGTTGGTCCGCGATTTTGACCCTCACGAATTCCACACCAATGTTATTGCACTGGCTAGGGTCGCCAGCTACTTCAAGGCCCCGTCTATTATCACAACGTCGTTTGAGACCGGACCCAACGGGCCTATTGCCAAGGAGCTCCCCGACATGCTTCCCGACGCCCCGGTGATTCGGCGCCCCGGTCAAATCAATGCCATGGACAATGAGGACTTTGCCAATGCGGTCAAGGCAACGGGCAAGAAGCAGATTGTTATCAGGTATACAGTCAACAACGCCCGCGGAACATGATTGCAAAGCATCTAACGTCTCGCAGTGGTGTTCTGACGGAAGTTTGCGTCGCCTTCCCTGCCCTTAGCTTGATTGAGCAAGGATACGACGTCTTTGTCGTTACAGATGCATCCGGCACCTTTGCCGAGCACACGAGGGAAGCCGCCCATAAACGAATGGCTCAGGCTGGCTGCCAGTTGCTTAACTGGGCAGCTGTTGCTGCAGAACTTCATAGAGACTGGCGCCGGGACATTGAGGGTTTTGGAGCTATTTGGCGCGATCACATCCCCGCTTACTGGTGCTTAATGCAGAGTTACGAGTCTGCTGGCAAGAACAATGCCAAATAGATCGTGTTGGACGTGGAGGGCATTATATGAGCTTGGCTAGTTAGGGTCCAGACGTCTATATAGTCGTCTGACGACTCGTAAAAGGAGGGAGAGGAGATAACATGTTGCTTCGGTTGAATGTCAGCTCTAGTCCCCCGAATACACTAGTTGATATAAGTTGTATCAGGGACTCTTTCTCTAGCTGAAAACGCATGGAGAGCTTTCACAAGCGTTGGTGACTTGATGTAATTCATAATCTACATGAAACAGGGGTCAAGTAGGTGCGCTCATGACAGAACCCAGTTTTTGCCATGAAGTTTATCTCTCCACCCATCGACTGGTGATGCTATGGCCTCGCAGCGTACAGGATCAGCACTGGTGTGTTGGGCAAGAAAAATTTGAAGGATAGCTGCGCCTTGCCTGCGGCGTCTCAGAAGGAGGTTTGGAGAGCTCAGTGCATGTATGTCAGACTGGAGCACCAATGCGACTTCCAAAATTTGAACGCATCCCGCCTGCCACGCTTCGTCTCCGTTTCTTAAGAGGAACGTGATCGCCGACCGGGACGTTCTAAGCACCCAAAGTGAGATTCTTTATCCGGAAGATTCTATATTCCGAGGTATCATCGGAGCATCATGTCAAAGAGAGACTTGGTGTTCAAAGAGCCCAGACACCACGGTTGGAACATAGGTCTATTAGCAGGGCTTTGACGCAAGGTTTACTATCTTCCCTTTGAGAGATGCAAGGTGATGTTGCCAACTGAACAAACGGCTTCACGCCACTGCAGTACTAAAAATAACCGTCTGTCATCTCCATGGGTCTTTATAGTATCCTAAGCACGTTGCAGTTCCCATGGGCGGAAGGCAAAATGCCAATATTCCTTGATTTGGGTGGTCTTTCGTTGTGGGTATCCAGACCCCTCATCTATCTTGTGTGGTAACTCGAAGCCAAGGCACATGGTCGATTTGGATGAGAACAAACATGTGAACCATGACAGCTCGTGCTGTTTGCCGCCATGGCTCCCGCGGTGCAAAAGTCAATACATTTATTCGGCGTTGTGGGGACTCATTCCGCCGGTCAACGACATGTCCACCTGCCCATCTTTTCAGCATACGGAGTGCAATCTGTAACAATGAACATCGAGCAATGCAACTACGAAACTGCATTCCAGCAAAGAAACACTTGATAGCAAACTCCCAGCCGCGGATGGATGACTGGACGAATGAATTGATTCTTCGGGTTCCAGTTGGCATTCTGTGCAAGGCCAAGTGTCTGAGCAACGCCGTGTGAACTGAAGACGCAAGTTCGTCAACTCATCCACTCCATCAACGCGGGGCAGACATGGCATCAACTCGCGCCAATATGAGCCCCTCAAGGGCTTTGCCGGCAAAAACTCTGGGGACATCTGGACTATTCGTGCATTTGGCACATGTCAACAGGCCGTCTGTACTCTGCTAGACGCTGTCGTTAGCTTCGCGTCTAAACGTCCCTAGTCCGAGACCCGGGCCAGACGTGGCGCCATCACCGGATTGTGGTTGGTACGGGGTCAGCACTACCGTGCGCACGGTATTTGGCATGGATCTCTTAGCAAAGTCAGATGCCGTGAGCCATGATCAAAAGCATGTTAGACCAAGACATGATGAAACCTTGTCAATCAACCATGATTCATCTCATTTAAGAAAGCAGGACGTGTTGGAGTCCCTTCTCTACCCCAAACCTCCCATTCACCCGCCCGTCCGCATTTGTCCATGTCGCCGGCATTCACAGCCCATTGGGGTTGATGCCGTGGGAAGGCGATAATCAATTGGCACAATGGCCGCGACGCCATTCCAGGTCGAAGCCTGGACGGAGTACGCCATCGGCATGACTGTTCTGCTCAGTCGGATTGCCTACAGGATACATCTCGTGGGATGGAACTGGCATGGGGATGACTACTTCGCCCTTGCGGCCGCCATTTTCTTCACAGTACGACACCGCGCTTGAATGTCTAGCATTTCATGGTTCTATTGCTGACGCCTCGGCTGCCCAGGGGGAAACGGCCATGCTTGAGATGATAGGTGGGCTGTCCAACATTGTCATCAACTCTTCTGATCCCTAGTCTAAGTCTCGGTTCTAATTAGGAAAATGGGGATCTATTGTGGGCATGACCGACGACAAGGCCCTGTCCCTAACACACGCAGAGAAGGAACGCATCGTCAAGGGCTCCAAAGCCGACATGGCCGGATGGTGTCTCTACATCACGCTCATATGGTGCCTGAAAGCGTGCATGCTCTTCTTCTACCGCAGGCTTACGTGGGTGATGCAGCCCCTTTTGTTGTCGAGTCTTTGTATGGGCTGACCACGGGCTGGCACTGGCCATGTAGACTGGAAACTCGGCAGAGACGCCTCGTCATTATAGCTGCCGTTGCTTGCGTCTTCTCCTATATGGCTACGATTGGAGTCGTTCTGCTACGGTGCCTGCCGTTTCACAAAAACTGGCAAATCTACCCATATCCCGGTGGTAAGACGAATTCCCCGGTATGAGGTGGGTGTCACGTTCATTTCTAACAGCCGGCCCAGACCATTGTGGCAGTCCGAATCAAATATTTTTCACCTTGGTCGCGACGAATGTGTCGTGAGTCATCGTCACCAAACATATGCGTGCATCTTCAAGCTATGGCTGATACATACCTAGCACGGATTTACTCATCCTGTACATCCCGCTACCACTCCTGTGGATTGTGCGACTTCCATGGTCCAAGTAAGACACTGTTCCCGTTAATCAAAAACCACTCACTTATACAATTAGGAAACTGGTCTATGGGCTTTGGCTCACGACCGGTATGTTTGTCATTATTGCAAGTCTCTTGCGATGCGTCTTGTCTATAAAGGATGCAACCAAGGTAGACGTTTCAACCATATGGGCAATTCGCGAAACAGTAAGATGCCAGGGCCTGTGCTACGCTTTTGAACCACGGCAAATGGCTAATATTTACTGTTTTGCAGTTTGTGGGCATCATATCTGTCAACGCGCCGATATTAGGACCGTGGATTATCAGGAAATGCACAAACATGGTCCACAGCATATCTTCCAAGGACCAGTCCAAGAGCGACGTCGGGAACCGGGGGGTTTCCATAGTCACCATTGGTCGCCAAAACCACCGGCTTGAGCGACGGAATTGGGGTGGCCAGAAACACGAACCTCCGGGCTGGACGACAATCAACGACAGTGAGGAGTACATTATGGATAATCCGGTACAACAGTACAACAGCAACGGAGCACCGTCTTCTCATGCTACGTCTTTGGCTGCATTTCAACAAGTCTGAAATGGTTCGACTCGGAGTTTGGTCATGGTTTGGCTCATCTTGGCGGTGTTTTGAACCGCAAATCTCGGGGGCGTTTGGCGGCAATGGATGATACCACTTTTGTTGTGCAACGGCTAGTTTCAACTAGACAGCAATGTTTGTGATCAAGATGCTTCTCAAATTCACGCGCCCAACCACACTGACCTTGCGTTGACACGTCTGACGAATCGCCCTTAGTTGTTACCCTGACAGCTAAAACCATGTGCCACATCTAGTAGTTCCCACGACGCAGCACGCTCTTGACTGAACTAGCATTACATTTGGGACAAAGGGGGGGCTCGGATAACGAAGCGTCAGGGGAAATCATTCTCAGGCCCAGGGCTCCGGACCGGGTAAGCAGCCAAGCACTTTTTCCATCGCAAGGCCCAAGCTAAGAAGTCTATCGTCGCTGCCCAGAGGGCCGTCAATCTCGATGCCAACCGGCAAGCCGTCGGCTGTCTTTCCCACGGGTATGCTCAAGCCCGGTATTCCCGCATTACTTGCCGGCGCCGTGTTTCTAGTGTAAGCAGCAAAGGCTTCCATTTGGGGTCCACCGTTGATAGACACGTTCCCGGAGCCATGTATGATGTCTATGGGCGTGGCGGGGAGAATGGTAGTCGGGAACAGGATGGCATCAACCCGGTGTTGCCGGAAGTAGTCTGCGTACAGCTTCTGGAGAGCCGGGCGTCGAACCGCCATGACTTGACGGTACTCATGTCCAAAGTCACCGTTTATTATGGAGCCGAAAATAGGTTTCACGTCTGGGCTTGAGATGCCGTCGAAAATATCCTCTAGGCGTACGCCGTCGATGCCCGAGCCTGACAGATACGCCGGGATATCAGTACGCGCCTCATGCAACGAGATGGGAGGCCCGACAGTGCTATCCAGCTCGAGCAAGTCGGGTATGTCGTCCCGAACTAGTTCAATCCCCGCGTCTTGGAGCACATGCTGTGCGCGCAGCACCATCTTCTCCAACTCCTTGTTCAGTCCCGCCCAAAGCACAGGCGGGATGCCTAGCCGGACGCCACGGAGCTGCGCGGGCTTTGCTCGCGGCCGTCCAGATATAATGGAATCCAACAGGGCGACGTCGGCCACGCTGCGGCCCATGGGTCCAACCGTGTCTCGAGTGTGGCTGATTGGGAGGACGCCATGGTCGTCGTGATAGCGACGCTGCTCACCACCATCACCAACGGACGGCCGGTAACCCGCAATTCCAGTCAAAGCCGCGGGGATGCGCGAAGAGCCTCCGGTATCTGTACCCAAACCACAGGTTACAACGCGAGAAGCGATGGCGGCCGCCGTCCCTCCCGATGAGCCACCTGGGATCATGTCCATGGCATAAGGGTTGCGTACTGGCCCGGCAAATGTCGACAGATTGGTGCTCGTGACGCCAAATGCGAGCTCGTGCAAGTTTGTTTTGCCAATGACAATGGCACCGGCCGCCGTCAGCCTCTCCAGGCTCGGTGCCGTGTTGGACGGACACGCGGTGAGAAGAGCATTCGTACCGCCAGTATTTGGGAAGCCAGCCATGTTGATGTTGTCTTTTACGACAATAGCCAAGCCCGCCAATGGAGGCAGAGGCTCCCCCTTCGCAATGACAGCGTCTATTTTATCTGCAGCGGCCAATGCCTGGTCGGGCAACAGGTTAATGAAGGCATTCAACGACTTTGCCCTCTCGGCACGGCCGAGGACCTCCGAGATGTGCTCGCGAACAGTCACTTTGTGATGGCGAAGCGCCAAAATCGTATCGTCGGCAGACCAGCCAGAGAAATCACCCTCGCGGGCTTCCGAAGTCACGGTACTCATTGTATAGAGCTGGATAGCATCAACAGAGGCAGAGTAAATGGCCGAGAGGGGATGGAAAATCTAAAGTCTCATGACGAATCAGTCTAGGAGAGAGTCGGGGACGGCATGCAATGTGGGAGCCGACTTGAATGGCTCAACGGCCAGTCCCGATCCGAACGATGCTCCCGGCAGGTAGAACATTGAAAGCATTGACCAGATGGCACAGGGAGCTGCATTATGTAACGTCGGGCCAACTGCATGTGGCAAGAAGCAGTGAGAGCGGGATATGATATGGCGAGCCGAAACAGCCCAGGTGCCGTCCAACATGTCTGGTGGCACCAGACTCGACTTGACTCCATTAAGCCACATGCAGGAGTCAATACTTTAAACAGTAGCCTACATATGTACCTGTCCCCCGCCTACAATCAATCTAAGTTAATAAAGACCATCGGGGCAAGGTTTCAACTACCGACTAGCTGAAACAAGTAAACCACGTGACAAAAAACACCGACGTAATCAATTACGTCACATGCAATATCTTACAAAATAATATAAATCTCACGTGCATTCTGTATAAATCTCACGTATTAAACGTCTATTCCAGCAGTTCACCTGCAGGATCCATCTACGCCAACAATTCGGAACGTAACAACTTGATCCGCATTGTGCATCAAGACAGTGTAGCCAGATACAGTTGATATTCAAGCTGAAGCACAAAAATGCACGAACCATTTCTTTGCGAACTTGCAAAGTAGAATTATAAGGACGCGTTTATCATTTATAAAGGAGAAAACCTATGAAGCAGAATCGTTGTGGTTGGCTGTACTGCTGCAAGTGGATTGAAAAACTGAATGGAATGCTCCTCTAAATTTACGGAGCTGGTCACATCATTGTTTTCCTCGTTGAAGTCGATTACGTGAAACTCATGCTTCTTTTTCCTCCCAATCGACTGATAATTAATGGACATGCGAGTTATTTTTGCGATACCGTCTTCTGCATCAGACCCAAGACTTTTGGCCTGGCGTCTCATGCTGGCTTCCTGGCCTGGCAGCGGGGTTGCATCGGCTTCAGTATACACATATAAAACAATTAAGGCTAATGTTTCGCTCAACACCATAGAATTAAGAAGAATTATACGCTTGTGTGTGTGTGTGTGTGTGTGTGTGTGTTCAGTGTTGTGTTAATACCTCGTGCTAATGCCTGTACGGCCGAGGTTAAAAATTTTCCAACACTATACGGCATGCTCCTCGGGTAGGATTCCACAACCTGAAACTGATTCATGTTCCCCGGGGAAACAGTACTCATCAATAGGAGTCGTTGCGTGAGTATCTCCAATATCCAGCTTACCAGTTTGCCCTTTCTCTCCCATATGGGCGTACGTAGCACTTAAAAAACGAATCACAGTTAGGATCATGCGGACATCTACGTGATCCCTCAAGTAAAAAATGCACACAGAATATTTTGCCGGGCAGTGTGTTTACACGCCTTTCGTAGGCTGAATAGTTCAGCAGCTACACTCAAGGTGATATGCTAATCATCGATGCAGTTTTATAATAACCGGCGTCCACAGATGTAGTTTTTTTCAAAGACAACAACAAATGATCAAAGTAGAAAATTCAAATCAATTCGTTCAAAGTGGCGTGCTGCCATATAAAAAAGTAAAAGAGAAAGAAACAGTGTTGTTGCAACGAGACTAATAATCTTATTTCCACATTTGTATACTTGGTAGTATGATTCACATGATGGTTTGTTCCATGCACAACTATCTGTTCATACTCGAGCCGCAACAGATTCAAATGACATTAATCAACCCACGCTTGCTACACGTAGCTTGCGCTGTCCATGCGGCAAACGCAACCAAGCGCAGTTTGCACCTAGGCAACTCAGGCAACATAGGCGCCAAGGGCCAAGAGAGCGGCCAAGCCGGCCCCGGGGGCGACGGCATTCGGTCCAGCACCGGCCTTCTTGGCAGTGGTTGACGCGGCTGCAGAAGAAGTTGGTCGTGTGCTACCACTCGGGGTCCTGTGTAGACTTGGCTTTAGTAACTACATTGATGCAGCATGGACGCGTTCACTCACGTAGCTCTTCCGGTAACTCGCGCAGTAGAAGAAGAAGAAGTGTGTGCCGGGGTCGAGCTTCGGCTGGTGCTGGCAGTGCTAGACGTGGTGCAGTAAACACCGACGGCGGACGCAGCCACAAGAACAGCAGCGAACTTCATTTTGACAACAAGGGAAGATTGAAAGGATAGTATGGAAGTAATCCCAGGCGAATGAAGCTTTGGAAAGTCGAGGGTTGTAGGCGTGTGTTTTTGAGAGTGTGTGAACGACGATGGCAGTTTCTGGGAGATCAGGCCGAATTTATAATCACATTGCATTTTGTACAATTCGACTCACCGTATATGGATTGTATGTTGAATTTTGGAACAAAGCTGATGTGGTCCCCGTAATTTCTTCTGTTCCGAGCTAGTTTGCGATGCATTTGTCCGCAGCACAACCTCGCCATCCTTGACTCGAGCTATACGATTCAAGGACCACATGGAAGACGCCCGACCAAGGCGGTGCCATATCAATCAGCCACCACCATTTTGATAAGGATCTGCGCAGCTAGCGGTTGGTAACTGAGTGTCCTACCGATGCATCCTGTGATTCTGCAAGTCGTGACTTTTTTTTTCTTCAACGTTTTCTTTCAACTCCATACTATGCCAAAGCCTTGGGAAACGGTCAAGACGTGAATAATAATCCGCGCTACACAGGGGTCCTAAGACACACTTCCGTTGCACCAGCTGTAGAGTATCTCTCTATACAAGTAGCGCGGTATGCTAATTGATGCCCACGTGCTCGGAGACTTGCCGAAGACGCCTTATAGCTTCGTAAAATGGGAACAATCCAGATCGTGGCCTAGCTTCGGGCACTCCCTGGGCGGCATGCTTGCAAAGGCAAGGCACACTCTACGCGCCATGACACTGTGACAAAAGTTCTCAAGTAGTTCAGAACCTAGCAATTGGCTTGTTTGGTTGGCTGAATAGTCAGCAATATTATCCACCCGTCTGTGGCTGTATACAACCGCCCGGGCTCCAAACCAGATGATCGGAAACTGGCCATCGTGCGGTCAGTTCAGCCCGTGAATGAGCCTCCTCATATTTCCTTTAACAGTAAACTATTCCTTTGGGATGCTAAGCTTTCAGCAATAGACAACCCCTGAACCCCGGCAAGTCACCTCAGTTGGAGACATACAACCTCCCAAAGTGTATTGTCAATACGATTTCGGTAGGCCCAAGACTCGTTGTCCAATATAGTTACATATCATTTCCTTGGTCACGGGGGCAATCCTGGGAATCAAAACCTCCCTCAGATACCGCTCTACGTGATACTCTTTGGCATATCCCATTCCGCCATGACACATGACGGCTCTCTCGCACGCCTTGAAGGCGGCTTCGGCAGCAAGATATTTTCCCGCATTGGCATATTCGCCGCCTTGATAGCCGTCGTCGTACATCCTGGCTGCCTGGGCAAGCACGAGTCGAGCGGCTTCCAGGTTCATCCAGCTGTCAGCCAGAGGATGCTGTATTGCCTGGTTTTGTCCTATCGGCCTGCCAAACACAACCCGCTCATTCGAGTAGAGCGCCGCTCTTCGCAGCGCGGCATACCCCAAGCCCAGCGCTTCGCAGCCGATGAGGATGCGTTCGGCATTCATGCCATGCATAATCAGTTTAAAACCATGGCCCTCGTCCCCAATTCTATCTTTGCAAGGAACCTTCCAGCCGTCAAAAAAGACGGAATTGCTGTCGATGGCGCCGCGACCCATCTTGTCAATCTCGGTGATTTGGATGGGCAAAGTGTCGTTGAGGTCAGTGTAGAAGAGCGACAGCCCTTCCGAAGACTTTTTCACCTGGCTGATGGGAGTGGTTCGCGCCAGAATAAGAATCTTTTGCGCAGTTTGCGCCGTAGTTATCCAAATCTTCTGCCCCGAGAGCACGTAGTGGTCCCCGTCGCGCACTGCCTTTGACTGTAATTTCAGCGTGTCCAGTCCCGTGTTTGGCTCCGTGACGGCAAAGCAGGCTCGCTCTCGCCCGGCGATGAGCGGCTCGAGGAACCTCTTCTTCTGCTGCTCCGTGCCGAATTTGGCGACGGGCTCGAGGCCAAAAATGTTGATGTGCACAGCGGACGCCGCCTGCATTCCGCCTCCGGACTCGGCAATCGTCTGCATCATGGTGCTGGCTTCGGCGAGGCCGAGGCCCGATCCGCCATATTTTTCAGGGAGGCAAATCCCTAGCCATCCTCCTTTGGCGAGGTCGTGGTAAAAGTCGGCGGGGAACTCTTTGCTTTGCTCCCGTGCTAGCCAGTATTCGTCGGGGTACTTTTGGCAGATCTTGCCAATGGCCTCTCTTACGGCCTTTTGGGATTCCGTAAGATCTGGACTGTGTGTTTGTAGGAATTCCGTGGCTCTCGCCGCAACGCTGTATGGTCTGGAGGCCAATCGTTGAAGTTGAGGTCTTGCGCGCCTCAGGAGGAGACGTGAACACTTGGTTGATGCCATGGTCAGAAGGGGCACATTCTCCGAATAGCAACAGCGGCGTCTATCGCATGTACGAAACTCGAACCGGCTCTTTTTATCTCTCGAATATGGTCGTCGTGCACTCTTTTAGATTTAGGCTGAGGGGATCATCCAAGACCCGAAAGGCCGGACGGCAACGCGGGGAAACCTGGGGTTCCTGAGCCGAAATATCCGGATTCCGGCCAGTCATCAAACAGATGGCAGAGGTATTTTGGAGAAACGGCAGCTTCATTTCCTGGCACTGCACTTTCTGGCACCGCTCTTGATGCTCTTGTTTTGGCGCATTGCACATATGCATGTTTGTTTGAAGCCATGGCCATAGAACGACTGATGAGACTAGGCCATGCAAGGACAGTTGCGCATCAGTTTAGACCCAGACGGCACCATCAGCAACACTTTGCATACTCGATCACCAGTGGACCGCTCTCTGGAATCAAGGTTGTTGATCTAAGCAGGGTTCTGGCAGTGAGTTTTCTGACTGCATTCAGATGACAGCAGCCACGTCTGACGTCGTGCTCAAGGGCCCCTTCTGCACCCAAATCTTGGCAGACTATGGCGCAGACGTGATCAAAATCGAGCAACCTTTAATAGGCGTAATTTTCCTTCTTCCCTTCATCCAGTCGCCGGTAGTAAAGTATTCACCATTTATTTCAGGACGACACACGCCAATGGCGCACACGCGGAGAGGACGACATGTGGCAGACGGGAGATGCGCAATCCTCGGCCTATTTTGCGACAATAAATCGCAATAAAAGATCCCTCACTCTGAATCTTAAACGCCCAGAAGCTCGGGATATCTTGCTCGGTCTTATCAGGCGTGCTGATGTCGTGTGCGTCAAGGTGTGGTACCGTCCGCTGTGAAAGCACACGGCTACTGACGATTGTCCACAGCGTCGACAATTTTGTTCCAGGAAAGCTCGACGAGCTTCGAATTGGCTTTGAAGATATGAAGAGCGTCAAACCCGACATCATTCACGCCAGCATCTCGGGTGCGCTCCTACTCATACTCCGCATGCCGAATTTGCTAACAAAGACACAGGGTATGGTGCGACAGGCCCCTACTCCAAACGGGCTGGCTATGATGTTATTGCGGCCGCAGAGGCCGGCTTGCTTCACATTACGGGCGAGCCCAAGGGTAGACCCATGAAGCCAGGTGTCGGTCTCACGGACATGTGTACGGGATTGTATCTCCATGGGGCCATCCTGGCGGCACTCAGAGCGCGCGATGTGACGGGACAAGGCCAGCAAGTTGATACGTCGCTTTTTGAAACTCAAGTCTCTCTTCTGGCCAACGTAGCAATGTCCTGGCTGAACGTCGGACAAGAGGCGCAGAGATGGGGAACTGCGCACCCAAGCATTGTCCCTTATGATTGCTTCAAAACAGCAGACGCCTACTTTGTGGTTGGGGCTGTCAATGATCGCCAGTTTGCATCGCTGTGTCGTCTTCTGCATCTTGAGGACCTGGTCAAAGACAAGAGATTCCTGGACAATGGGTCAAGGGTGAAGAATAGGCAGATTCTTGGCGACATTCTCGACGCGACGTTCTCTGAGCGGAATACCGCCGACTGGATGGCCCGATTTGAAGGCAGCGGCATGCCGTATGGTCCCATCAACACAATGGAGAAGGTGTTTTCTCATCCGCAAACCATTGCGAGAGACATGATACACACAGTGGTGGACGAGTCGGCCAAGTCTGGAAAGCTGCACGTGTTGGGTGCGTACATGCATACATGGACCCATATCATCGGACAAGCCGCTTCCGAGAGCTTCTATACTAATCAGGCCATCATACAGGAATTCCTGTCAAGTTTAGTAAAGACAAGCCGTCTATTCGCTCAAGAGCCCCCCGATTGGGTGAACACACAGAGGCGGTGCTCACGGAGATTGGATTCACGCAAGATGACATTGTACGACTTGGAAAGGATGGCGTTGTCTAGTGAGCAATGGAAAATGATGCATGAAAGGATACACTTGAATTCATAACCCAAAGGTCCTATCGAAAATCTGACGTATATGCCCTTTTCTAGATGTGGTCGTTACCGGCCAGCGCGCACAGGATACGTTTAGTCCGACTTTTGAACGGCTTGTGGCTTCTCGCCTGCGGACAGCTCAGGGTCTTTGGAATCGAAACCAAGCTGCCGTGTATCCCAGCCCTGGCTCTCTAGATAGTCCCGGAATCGAATGTCTTCATCCGCAATTGTATCCTGGCCAATGTTGGGCATGAAGAAGAAGGCAATGACCGCAGACAGCACGGAGAGACTTGACGCGACCCAGAAGGGGTACTGGGCAGACTGAACCTTGTTGCCACCAGCGGCCTGGATGTAAGGAAAGACCCAAGTTCCGATGAAAGCACCGATTTTCCCCATGGCGGCCGCAATACCGTAGTACCTGCCACGCACACCGGTTGCGCAGGTTTTGGCGGCCAACAAGCCAATGTTATTGCCGGGGCCCAACTCACCAAGCGACAGGAAGATGCCATAGACAATGGCAAAGGGAGCGATCTTGTTGGAGATTTGTCCGTAGACACCAGCCATGATGTACCCAACAACGGCCTGGGCGCTGACGCCAAGAATCAGAGTGTATTTGGGTCCCAATTTATCGCTCACAAAGGAGCCGATGATGGAGCCAGGAAGGTAAAACATGTTGATGACGGTGTTCCACCCAAAGATGGTAGTCAGCGGCGCCTGGTCGTCGTAGATGCCGCTCAGAATCGACGACGAGTAGATGCCAAAGGCGTAGACGGAGAACTGCGACAAGATTTAGCCGACGAGACGGTGCAAGTACGCATGCCAGGAACACGAACGTTGTACAGGAACCAGATGATGCTGACACACAGCAAGCGGAACCAGTAAAACTTGAGCACCAGAATATACGGTGTCTGCCTACGCATGGCTTCTTTTGTGAACTCTTCGGGCTCTTTTAATCGCATACGGAGCAGGAGCAAGACCAAGGGGAAGACGACACCGATTCCCAGACTTGTTCTCCAGATGGTGCTGTAGTTTGTGTTGTGAGCGGCCGCCGCTATCACGTCTGTTGCCAAGTTAGTCATTTCTCAACTGTCCATCTATAGCAGGGACACACGGGTTGGCCAGGACGAACAGGGTAAGAAGGCGCCAAAGACGAAACCACAGTTGATCATGGTGTTGGTGAAGAGGATGAACCACCTGTGTCGTGTGCCCTTTTTCAGATCCCCCGTCGACTCGGCACATCCGACACTACCAGCAGGATATTCACCTGAAATGGTTGTCAGCTCAGTCCTTTTATCAAGAGCTTTATTTTCTTTCTTTCACATACCTCCGATACCAATGCCTACAAAGAAACGCCAGGCAGCCAGTATATTAAACATGCCAATCGTGTCGCCGCGGAAGTAGGACCCCGCAGCGAGGGCTGTAAAGACGATGAGAATAATAGTAGATACGACGAGCGAGTTGGATCGAGACCAGCGGTCGGAAAGGAAGCCAAACAGCAGCTGGCCAACGACGGTACCAGCAAACGCAATGTCAGCAACATACTTGGAGGCCTGTGAGTCCTTGTACAACGAGCCATACTGGATTCCCAACACGGTGTTTACCGACCCAATGACCTGGTGAGGGCAGTTAGCATGTGATTTTTCCCCGACGCGAATTTCCCTGCGCTGACATTATTGATGTATCCGTCTGAAAACAGGCCGGCGCCACAAGCAAAAACCGGCAGGGCGGCTTGCCAGAACGTCTTGTGCTGCGCTTCCGCGGGCTCATTCGACTCTTGCGCCTTGTCATGACGGGCCTCGGCCTCCCTGGCTATGTCGGCACTCATCTTTCGACTGGCAGGGACTGGGGACAGGACCAGAGTGTGGTTGTTGTGCTTGTTCCGCCTTGTGAATCGTGAGATGAGAGTCGCACCGTGCTGGCCCGACTTGTTCTTTGCTACCCCAGGATTTCGCGGTCAAAGACTGAAAAATTTGAGAGAAAAAAGACGGGGGAAATGAGTACGTATATATTCCCGAGGACGTCCAAGGTGCCCTTGGCAATAATTTCACCCCATTGACCCGCTGGAACTTGCCAAGCTTGGCTTCCTCCGTGCAGTGGACGAATAAATCAGAGAGTGCGACAAGGGCCATGCAAGAACATGTCGGTCATGGTGCCGGAAAATAGGTCGTGGGTGGAGCGGAATGGCACCAAGTGACGAAATGTTTCTGGCATCCTTGCCATAGCTCGCGAGCGAATATATCCATGTCGGGGCGGGTTGCCGCAAACTTTCCACAAGACGCTCGGGTAGATGAGGCAGTAAGCTTAAATCTGAATCGCTGGTACGGAGGGGTGTAGTATGAATTGGTTATAAACGGAGAGTCGTGTCAAAGTGCACGGAGTAGAGACTATTCTGATGAGTTGTATTGATTGACCTTTCATACCGCAAGGAGGCCCCGAGCGGTAGGCGGCAGGCTTGAAACCTGCCCGCGAAGCGGCCCAGTGGCAAAATAGCCAATTGGCATGGTTGGGTATTGTCGGTATTGCTATACGGCTTGATTCAATGACACGACGGTTTGCCGCCTGGGTTGTCGGTGGGTGTTTGCTCGACAAGATTCAGGAGTACATACACGTGGGCACCACAACTCGGCAGGCAGAGTATACATACATACATACTAGTCAATGATAGTACAACCAGACGCATGTTCAACTATCCATGTATATGTACATGCAGACATGATCTCCTCAGCCAACCATGGACCCCTGCCCCCCAGACAAAAGACGGGCGTGGTTTGAAAATTTGACGCTCCACACGCCATTCGGAGCTGGCCGTTGCGTCCTGTCGGTTCAAGAGCATCCTTGTCAGGCACGGAGTAGTTACCGGATAGATTACTCGGAGAGTCGAAAGGAAACAAGTCGGCATCGTGGACAGCAACAGCCAGATGCAATATGCGCCGGCCATTCCCTCTTGAGCCTGTCACTCAGTACAGACAATCCCGCCGCGCAACCAGGGAGGACATGGAACTGACTCTTGCCATGGGCAAAGCAATCAATATTTTCTGGCGGGTCTTGGCGGATCCTTGCCAATCCAGGGCCATCGAAGTCCAAGGTCACATGGCAATTCCCCTTGAATGTTGGCGCACGCGAGCTTTCTGCAAACTTCTTCTCTTGGCCGAACGTGGTTCCACCGCACGTCGGCGCTCTTTGTGTTGGCGGCGAGGCTGCTCGTCGCTAAAAGACCAGACGACATACCAGACTCGTTTGGTCCGGGCGAGTACAGATCAGAAGCGATCAATCGATGCCTCGCGCGAGATGGAATTCCAGGAAAACGGACTGTCCACTTGGAACTCGGCGGCGTGGGCATGTGCCGTGTAGTGGCATGTCAAGACATGGGACGAATAAACCTCAAAATGGCAGAAGTCCATGGTATTAGTCAACCTACCCTATACTAGTCATCAATCAATCAATCAAAGTTGACATTTCTTTTCTGTTGCACTCATGGCAAAAGCCCCGGAAGTTGTGGCCAGGTCAAATTATGGAGCTCATTTTGAATGAAAAGACTGATTTCACAAGTGTCCATGTTGCGTAGTATCGGCTATAGCTGCGACGTGTATTGGCATGATGAGGCTACGCGTGCTGGTGTGCCGACGCTGCGGCTCATGGTAAAGAATAAATGAAATTTGTGGTAATGCCACATGCACAGTATTGTGAAGCATTTAGTCTCCATGCACATTTCTAATTTATCATCTTTGCATCGCATGAGCTGACGTTTGTCGCATCGCGGCCCGGTCTGTTCACCACCATCATCGTCTTACTTAATCTTGACCTGCCCACTCGACGCCATGCTCAGACCGAACAGCTGAAATGAAGATTTCATCTCCAACTGGCCGCCTGCGACAACATCCCCCAACCGAACAACGCCCGCGCAACAATAGGCCTGCTTACAAGCAATGAGCTCCCCGGACAGGACGGCTCCTCGTCGACCGAATGGCCGCCTCCAAGCATGCGATCCGTGCCGGAGACGCAAGGTTGCCTGTGATCACACACAGCCGGTATGCAACCGATGCCGAGCAAGAAACCAGGCTGGAAACTGTGTCTACCTGGTCGGCGACTCGAAGCCGACGCCGTCGAATAAAACCAGCAGCTCGTTTGACTTCAACACGGCGCCTTCACGCACAGTCTCGGAGGACACGCAGCCACCCGCCCGCAAGTCAAGACACTTGCACGCTGCGTCATCTTCTCGGGACATGTCGTCTGCTTCTGCCTCTGGATCAGGCTTCCTCGGCGCAACCAGCCACTCGGCAGTGTACGATGAGACGACCCAAACGCTGTCCATGCTCCAGGGTTTCCAAGCTTGCCTGCCCGTACCGGGGGAGGCACGACAGAGGCAGCGACCCGCGGATGTGTCGTCGGACGTATTACTCTCTCCCACGCGAGAAATGTGCCTGGTTGTGCTGCGCAGCATCCCGAGCCCTCCGCCAGGGCCCATTGCATTGAGAATGTCACCTCATCTGTACGACGGGTGGGCTCCGGTGGCTGCGCAGCGCATTCTCGAGTCTCTCTACGGCCGCTTTGGCAAATATCTCGGCGCAAACCGCGTCGACTCCCAGCTCGAGGAGATTGCCACGACGCTCAGCAACAACACGCTGCGGCCCTTCTCCGACAACGTCCGGGACCCGGAGGAGTGGATTTCCCAGCTCTCGGGGCCGAACCTGCGCTGGGAGTCGCTCGGGCTCCTGTTCACCTTTAAAGAGCTCGGCGAGGACCGCAGCTGGGCGACGCAGCGAGGCGTGTCGGGCGAGAGCCTCAGCAAACACTGGCCCGAGGTATCCCGGGTCTGCCTCGGACTGTCCATCGACCTGGCGCGCAGGTTCTCAGACGGCAACAGCATCCTGCTGCTGCTGTGCACGCGGCGCGCCATTGCGGAATCCGTCATTATGGGAGATGCCAGTACGACGACGGCCTACAGATTGAACCCTAACCCTCTTGGTCGTATCAACATGGGCTGACGGCGTCGTTTCTAGGTCTTTCTTGCTGGCGAGCCATGTCCGAGTCTACTTCTCTGCTGACGTTTCTCGGCCACCACGCCGAGTCGCCGTCGCCGACGTACGAGCCGTGCCTGAGCTCGGAGACGCGCCGCAGGGTGGCCGCGCACGTCTTCATCCTGGACAAGGTCATCGTCTTGTTCACGGGACGCCCGCCGCAAATCAGCCGGCGGTACATTTCGACCCCCCTGCCGCTGGACCTCGACGACGAGGAGCTGCTGGGCGGCGAGGCGGCCATTGCCTCGTCGGTGCGCGCGCTCGACGAAAACGGCTGGAACACCAAGGGCGGGCTGTACGCGGCCACGTCCCTCCGGTGCCGCTTGCAGATTGCCCTGCTGCGCGACGAGCTTGTCGAAATCGCCGTCGGCAACTGGAAAGAGACTTCGGTCGAGGCCCTGTTGTATGCCTCCTCTGCCCCCTTTGGCTTTCTAGTCCTCGTCTTTTTTTCCGGCGCGCAGTCTAACCGGCGGTGGCGTCACATAGGCAGTTGAAGCGTCGAGAGACGGACACGGTGGCCGGCTTCCCCGACTCGGTCGCGTATCGCGACGGCGAGTTTGACGACCCCCTGGCCGACATGGAGCGCGTGTACGCCCGGCTCATCATCAAGCTGGAGCACCTGCAGAACCTGTTTGTCGTGGAGCGGCTGCTGTCGCGGCGCGGCCACCACGACGAGGGCGAGCTCCTGGCGACGAGCTTCGAGCTCGTGTCGCGCACGCTGCTCTTCTGGACCAACAAGGACCGCTTCGGCATGGCTCGCGCAGACTTTGCCTGGCTGGTGATGGCGTATGCCACGCCCGGCGGCGGGATCCTGTGCATGGAGCTCCTGAAGCCGACCTTTGGCGGGCGGCATGGGAGGAATCCCAAGATGACGCGGTCCGGCATCATTCAGCAGCTGAGCCTGCTGGTTGGGTTTTTGGACTGGATCGGCCCCGGCGGCCCCAACGGCGAGCTCTGCGCAAACTGCAGCTCCGTGATCCAGCTCGTGCTGGATCACACGTTGAACGCGCCAGAGGATGAGCGCTGGCCGCCGGTGAGCCTGGATGCCATGCAGCTGGACTTTAATTTTGAGCTGTTTGACACGTTTGACTGGCTGAGGCCGGACACGCTACTGTGAGGGCTACGAGGTGAGGGCATTGGCTTTGCGGTGATGATGTGGCAACTGAGCATGGCGAGGCAGCAAAAGGCAATGGTGTCAATTTTGGAAATTCAGCACACCAGACGCTATGGGAACATTGAAGGATAAAGCCAGTGCCGTTTCCAGCGTGCTGCATGCGCTGTTCCTATCAATGGATCTTTGCTACGGAGTCTGGTAGTACTGATTGCTTGTGCCACGTTGTGCTGGGCGGCAATGTGTGTGCCGGCGGTGACGGCCATCCAACCACCTTGCGGTCGACGGTGAGACAAAACGTTTCAACATTGAACATTGAATGTTGAGTAACATTTGAGCACTCAAGGATGCGAATCAGACCAGCCAGGCCTGTAATACGACGCCATGCAGTCAAGTGGAGAGTCTGGTCTGCTCTCAAGGTGAGTGGCGCTGGGCAGGCCGCAGATCCAGGCTTACCTCGGCAGATGCCTCCCCCAGCCTGCTTCTCAATTCCAGTCTTGCCAACAAACCTGCACATGCCTTCTAATACACAGCACAACAACCCCAAGGCTTGCCTATGACCGCAACAGAGTAGTCGATGCTGTCACAACACTATTATTTTATGAAGCATTGATGCGCATTGTTGAGCTTGTCAGCCAGAGCTGCCCAGTCGGACCGTTGACAATACCCTGCCGGCGATCCTCGACTGGTTCGAGGACAAAAGGCAACACTCTCCAGTCTGGTAGCATCGCACTCGCGTCAAAGTATACGCCGCTGTGCCTCAAACACAAATAGACGAGTGAGAAAATGGCGGAAAACACCGAGGGCCCCCAAGCCGGCCAAAAAGTAGCCCTCGTCACCGGAGCCGGAGTCGGCGGCATCGGAGGCGCACTCGCCCTCGAGCTGCACTCGGCCGGCTACTTTGTCATTTGCGCCGTGCGGCGGCCCTCGAGCGCCAGCGAGCTCCTGCGGCCGGGCATCATAGCCATTGAGCTGGACGTCTCGTCCACCGAGTCCGTATCAGCCGCCGCCAAGAAGGTCTCCTCCGTGACAAACGACAAGCTGCATGTCCTCGTCAACAATGCCGGCTCCGCGACGCACCGGCCGGCCCTGGACCTCGATGTCGACGGTGTCGTGGCCTCCATGTTTGACGTTAACGTCCTGGGTGTCATGCGAATGGTCAAGGCCTTTTCGGACCTCTTGATCAACGCAAAGGGGTGCGTTGTCAACATTGGCAGCATCGCGCCCATTGTGCCGCTGGTGTATTCCTCCGCCTACAATGCGACCAAGGCCGCGCTTCATGCCTATGGCGACGCGCTTCGCATGGAGCTCAAGCCTCTGGGGTACTGTGCTCCGCTGCAATTTTTCTCTTTCTCTTCTTTCCGCAGACATCCTCGCTGACTGGCTGTGAATATAGAGTCGACGTCGTGACCGTTGTGACGGGCGGCGTGAAGAGCAACCTAGGCGAGTCATTCCGTCGACATTGTTTCTCGAGGCAGCAACTAACCCCAGTCGCCATTTAGTTCGCGAGGACAGCCCATCTCTCCCCGAGGGCTCGCGGTACCTCCCCGTGCAGAAGTTCTGGCTGCACCGAGTGACCATGTCTCAAAAGGGAGCAATGGATACCGACGAGTACGCTCGCAAAATGGTAGGCATGATCCAGAAGAAGAGCAGGCCCATTTGGTTCTGGAGCGGAGGTTCCGTGTCCATTGCCTGGTTCATGTATTACTTTGTTCCACGGCGGTTGAGGCTTTTCGTCATGGCGAGACGCTTTGGGCTGATTGGGAAGAAGCTTCTTGGCCAATAGGGATAACCCAACAACAATGAGTAACTAGCATTCGCATTCGCACCCGAGACTTGAACGTGTGAATCATGTATGTCATGGTAAATTGGCAATGATGGGGTCCAGTCCAAGGCTCCAAGCACCCAGCCACCAAGCCCTTGATTTGACGGCAGCTGAACTCGAAAAGAGGCTTGAGAGCAAACTTTAGCTGCACGGCTTCGGCCTACCAAGTTGTCTGGTTCATCAGGATGCGCCACCACCCGGGGTCTGCGTCCCGACTCCCGATGCGGCCATGTCCACGGACTTGCATTATTATTAATAGCCACCTTTGCCGTCGTGGCGCTTACATACGTTGATGCAAAAGTATAAAATGGCAAAAAGTATAAAATGTTTAAAAGGGCTGGGCAACAGCATGCCATTGACCATGGAGAATCTGCTTCCCACGACTTGTTTGCTCACCATCTCACCATGACTTCCCTAAACATCACCTTTATCGGCACCGCCACCGCGGTTCTCGAAATCAACGGAGTCAACTTCATCACCGACCCCTTCTTCTCGCCCGCCGGGACGGAGTGGGACCAGGGCATCATCGTGCTGAAAATCGCATCCGGGCCTGCCCTCGGCCTGGCGGACCTCCCGGTCATCGACGCCGTGCTCCTGAGCCACGAGGACCACCCGGACAACCTGGACGAGCTCGGGCGCCGGCTTCTCGACGGCCGCCGCGTCTTCACCACCCGCGACGGCGCCGGCAAACTCGCGCCCCGTCCCGGCGTCCGCGGCATGTCGCCGTGGGAGACGACAACCGCCAGCATCGGCGGCGTGCGCTTCGAAGTGACGGCCACTCCCTGCCAGCACCTGCCCGGCGGGGAGTGCGTGGGCTTCGTCCTGTCCGGGCCCGAGTTTGGCCAGACCAACGGCAAGCCCAACGCCATCTACTTCTCGGGCGACACCGTCTACGTGGAGGAGCTCGCGGGCATCAAGGACAGATTCCACGTCCGGGCCGCGCTGCTCAACCTCGGGGCCGCATCTGTCCCCGTGTCCGACCCGCCGCTGCAAATCACCATGGACGGCAGCCAGGCTGTTCGCTTGATTGGCGACATTGACCCCGATGTGGTGATACCCATGCACTGCGACGGCTGGGGCCACTTTGCGGAAAATGGCTCCCAGGCGGCCAAGGTTTTCGAGGCGGCAAATATTAAAAATAAGATTCGCTGGCTGAAGCCAGGGGAGAAGACGCGCATCATCTAATTCCCATGCTTGTCTGCGGGTTTCATTGTTTCTGCCTCGACGGGCGCCAGTCTAGTGTGGGGAGCGACGGCCGCAATGTCTGGACATGCACGGAGATGGAAACATTTTTTGTCGTTGATTTTCTTAATGGCTCCGTTGGCAAGGCCGTAGAATCGACGTTGTTGGCCTGCTGGAGGTATTGATAGGCAACCTTGGGTGGAGGATCATGGGAAACGGACCTTGCCGAGCACGAGTGATGCTCTTAGCTCTACATGTACGTGTGGCAGATTGTGCGCTGCTTGGTCTTGATGTGTACATATACATGCCGATGAAATACAACCACATTATTGAGGACGTTGTGTGTGTTGTGGCTGTCCGTCGTGAGCGTTGGTGCAAGTTGACCTCATCAGCGGCAACTATGGACCAGCACGCCGTTATCCCGGTATACCGGACAGCACGGAGTACATTGATAGGAGCCCCCGTGCCACTGCAGACTCATGTGGGGCACCCCCCGCGCTCTTTTGGGACATGGACCAGACATCAATTGGCATTCAATGAACCAGCATTGAACGCACATGCAAACATTTGAACCATCAATTGATCACTGATACTAGACTTTGACGTAGGCCGCTTGCAGGCGAGGTCTCGCGCCACAATCAAAGCAAAGCGGGAGGCTGAGCATCGGAGCATCGCCACGCCATGCAGGAAATTCCCGTTGGGTTTTTCATCTCACCATTCCAAGTCGGCGGGCTTCCAAGATGCGCCGTCATCCCGGTGGTCATCCCGCCCGTCGAGGCCATGCCACCGTTGACGCCTGCATCCGGTCTTTTCAGTCAAAGTGACATCTGGAGTCGAGCCGCGGCTCCCCTCCTCGCATCATGAATGCTTACTCCGCAACTCGGCGCTACGCTACATTTGACTCGACGTCTTCTCGAGGACAGAGGCGCCGGCCAAATCTGCGTCAGGCGTCATCGCGAGAGCCATCGACCCAGGCATCTCGGAATCGCTTGCTGCACCGACCATGCTTCCCGACATCAAACCCTTCAAGATTGCCGTCCCCGACTCGGCCATTGCCGCGTTAAAGGCGAAACTGGCCAAGGCTGCATACCCGGACCAAGTCGACTTCTCCGACGACTGGGCGTATGGCGCGGCGCGCAACGACGTCAGACGGCTCGCCAAACACTGGGAGGACACGTTTGACTGGAGAGCGCAGGAGCAGAAGCTCAACAAGCTGCCTCACTACATGACCAAGATTTCCGTCGACGGCTTTGAACCGCTCGACATTCACTTCCTGCACCAGCGGAGCTCCCAGCCAAACGCCATTCCGCTCTTGTTCGTCCACGGATGTGAGTGTCGACGTCCGTACCCCGCGGTCGAGTTGAATTGCATCATCTAACCAACATGAGTCCCATGAATCAGGGCCGGGCAGCTTCCTGGAAGCCACCAAGATCTTGCCTCTGCTCACGGAGCCTCGCCCGGGACAGCAGGCCTTTCACCTCATCGCGCCGTCGCTGCCCAACTTCGGCTTCTCCCAGCAGGTCCGGCAGCGAGGATTCGCCCTTCCCCAGTACGCCGAGTGCATGCACAAGGTCATGCTTCAACTCGGCTACGACACCTACGGTAGGTAGGATACGCAAACCATGAAGCCATTGCGCACCAAGTAATGCTTCGTATACAGTGACGCAAGGCGGCGATTGGGGCTTCTTCATCACCCGCCTCATCGGCCTGCATTATCCGGAGCACTGCCTCGCGTCGCACATCAACTTCCCCGTGGTCCGGCCGCCCCCGGCCAAGTCGCTGTGGTTCGGCCTCCAGTACCTCCTGGGGCAGTACTCCCACACGGACAGGCAGGGGCTCGCGAGGACGCTGTGGTACTTTGCCGAGGGCGCGGGCTACATGCTGCAGCAGAGCACGAAGCCGTCCACGCTGGGCTTCTCGCTCGCCGACTCGCCCGTGGCCCTGCTGGGATGGATCTACGAAAAGCTGCACGACTGGACGCACGAGTACCCCTGGACCGACGACGAAATCCTGACGTGGGTGTCCGTTTACCAGTTCTCCACGGCGGGCCCGGCCGCGAGCCTCTGCATCTACTACGAGGCGTACCACGCGCGCAAGTCGTCGGTCAAATGCACCCGGTACGTGCCCTCGGTTCCGCTGGGGATATCGTACTACCCCAAGGACTTGTTTGTCGTGCCCAAGCCGTGGGGCCAGTGTCTAGGGCCCGTCGTTTACGAGGCGACGCACTCCCACGGCGGACACTTTGCGGCCTTTGAGGAGCCCGAGCTGTTTGCCGCGGACCTGCAGTCCATGTTTGGAGAGGAAGGGGGAGCTCGTGGCGTGGCCCAGAGGCTCTCGTCCACAGTGTAGTGTCTGGTCAATCAATGTACATGTCAACTGGTAGCATCAATTCATTTTGGATGGACCGAGGCGGCGCCATGTCTACGTAGAGGGAGTAGCGGTCGACCCAGCCAGCACCTTGAACACGGCAATCATGTCATCCTCTGCCATGCCGGATGCCTTTGCTTGACTGTACAGCTCGCCGCACAGCCGCACGAGCGGCGATTGCGTGTGCGCCGCCGCCGCCGCCGCCCGGATGAGCTGCGTGCTGTTGTAGCAGTCCTTGATGGCGGCCTGCGCCGACCAGTCCCCGGCCAGGACCTTGCCCACCTTGAGCCCGGAGTACGCAGAGGCCAGGGGACCGGCCGCCAGCACCTCGGCGAAGGCGTCGAGGTCCAAGCCCTGCGCCTGCGCGAGGCTCATGGACTCGGCGAGCCCCGCCGTCATGGTGATCAGGTAGGCGTTGATGGCGTACTTCATCTTGAGCCCCGAGCCCGTCGGGCCGCAGTAGACGGAGGCACAGGTGAGCGGCTGCACGTGCGGTCGCACCCGCTCGCACACGGCCTCGTCGCCGGCCATCATTCCCACCAGCCTGCCCTGCTCGGCGGGCACCTTGCTCCCGCTCACGGGCATTTCGACGTAGCTCCCGCCCGCGCGCAGGATCTGCCTCTCGAGCTCCTGGCTGAATTCCACGGGCACCGAGCTGGTATTGATGATTGTCTTGTTTCTGATGGCTCGCTTGAGGCCGTCGTCGAATACGGACTGGGTGGCCGGCGCATCGAAGAGCATGGTGAAGATGACATCCGAGTGTTGGGCGACCTGGGCTGGCGTGTGGCCAATCTTGGCCCCGGCCGCGGTCAATGCAGGATACTTGGACGCGGTCCGGTTCCAAACCGTTGTGGGATACGTCTTGCAGAGATTGAGGGCCATGGGCGTGCCCATCCGGCCCAAGCCAAGAAACCCGATTCTCATGGTCCTGCTGTTCGTGTCGTTTGCTTGCAAGCCCCAGAAGCTGTTTATGAATCGTGGACGAGGAGTAGAGTCGTCTGCAGATGGCCGAGATGACTGCGCCGTCTCAGGTGCAGCTCGTAGACTGATTCGCCGACAAGTGGCTAAATATCTCAACTTCGCGGGTGCAAGGGCTTGACAACTGGTTTCTTTCGGCTCAAGGGCGCAGCCATGTCAAAACGCCAACCGGCCCACCACGACGGATTGCCGTGAAGGGCGCCGAAATGCTAGGCTCCCCCACAAGTGAAACTTGACTCTCTTTGGTCTGGTAGTTGGTTGGAGTCTCGGCTTCTGTTGGAAGTGGACGAACCAATTGACTTGACGTCTCCAACCGGATGCGAGTGCATGGACCTTGGGTATAATCGCCACCAAGATCAAGTCACTGTGCCGTATCATGATTGTCAACATCCACCGCCTAGGCCGCCTCGCAGGACCAACTTATTGGGCCCAGCACAAATTCCGGGCCCAGAACCCATAGTGGTGCTTCTGACAAAAATTCTAAAGCCTGGACTGGTTTGTGTTTGACTCCCATCATCATGGTTTGACCAGCCGCCGCCGACTTCACAAGGGCCGTACGATAGCCACCGTCATCATATATATTCCAACATGAACGCTCAGGATAGAGCACGCTGTCTTTTTCATTATTATACAATGCCAATCCATCTACTATATAACACCCGAAGATCAACTCCGCCAAACTCCACGCCGCCGCTCAAAAAAATAAAAATGTGGCATGATGAAATAGAAAAGGTACTGCAACTATGGAGACCACAGCATAGGACCCGCGCAGACATTCTCCTTGGCGTAGGAACGATAGCGATCCAATATATCGGTCGTGTCTAGCCCTCCCTCTCTTGATTGCGGCCCAAAGCTGTAATGAGCGACTACGCCGCGCCCATCCGCCACGGCACCTGGAGCGCAATGTTAGCAACTGGATTGAGCAGGTCGGCGCAACCCTTGGCTCTATTGGCTTACCTCTACCTAGCTTCTTCGGCATAGTGACAGAAAAGTGCTCCTCATCGTCCCTATGGATGGGTTTAGCAGCGTTAATGTCGTGGCCCATCATGGCAATGAACTGGATGCCCATGCGCAGCCGCTGAAAGTCCCAAACGTTAAACTTGTACCGCCACACCTCTCGGGCCTCCAAATTCTCAAAGAAGCTGTAGTGCTCCTGTGCCGCCACCTGCCACCTCTGAAGGCCTGTGCCAAAGGCATCATACTGCGTCTCCATGATGGGCGTCTTGTCCAGGACATGGTCCGACTTGCCGCGAACCGGCAGCCAGCGGTGTTTCTTGTTGTCGGGCGAGCTCCAAAAGCTGGCGTTGACATCGCTCGGCCCGCGCCAAGAGGGCAGCGCAGACGCCCTCCAGTCGACTTGGTGCCCGGGCTCGGGGGCGGGATATTCGCCCTTGGTTTCGGGAAGGTAGGGCCGCACGGCGCCGAGATTCCAGTGAATCCAGCTAATCATGGGCTGGTTGACGACGTTTGCCGAGACGACGTAGAAGTCGGGTCGCGCAAGCTTGGTGCAAACAATGGAGCGAATCGCGTTGTCCTCGATGAAAACCTGCGGCAGGGTCAGACGGCGACATGGAAGCGCTCGGCGGAAAGGCGGCAAGAACCCACAATGTCATCGTCAATCTTAATGTACATGTTGCCATCATCAATGATGTTGTAGGAGCTAGCAAAGTCGTAGGCGTTGGCATCGTCGATTACTTGTCTCGAGTACTGCGGCTCGCTCTCCAGCAATCTGTCCAAAAGGGCAAGATCCTCGTCGTTGTTCGTTCGCTGTAGCCAGACGACCTCGTCGAGCAGACCGCCATTCGACACTAAATTGCGCTAACAGGCAAAAGCGTCAGACACACATGGCCAACGAGTGACATGGGGAGATGACGGCTGGGGGCTTGGCTTGACTCTGCCGCTTCCTACCTTCAAGTAGCAGTCCAGAATCGACACGGTCGCGCGTCTACCAAAGAAGACGAGCCCAATGATTTTGGGTGCCGTGACGAGTTGGTGCTCCTTTTGCCGGGCCGTAGACGTCTTGTTTCCGAATGACTTGGACTGGCCCTCGCCAAAGCCGCCGGGGCAGCGGATCTCCTTGTGGGCGACAATGGGCACGGCGGCATGATCGGCGTGGACCTTGGGAAGGAATTTCTCGACATTGGGGAGCAGGTGGCTCTGCCAGACATAGAGGATGAGGGTCGAGAAGGCAATGATGCCCGCAAGGGCCAGGCGCTTCCCCAACGCGGGCGCCATCGAGTATCAAAACCGCAACAGTGCAGACATGGGAGATGATGGGCGTGAAGATGTCAAGTGGAAAAACCAGGACAAGGCAACTGACTGGGGCTTTGGAGGCGAGAGACGACGGGAACAAGTCGACTTTTTCGGCAGCCACCGGGCTGGGCTGAGCAGACAGGTTATTAAGTGGAACGGGCTTGTCCGCTTAGTCGCTGACGGGTAACAGCCATTGAGACTGCTGCCTTGGACGCCATCGAATGAAAATGGCTCAATTTCTGACTTGACTCTCTCTGTCGTCAATCAATTGATGGCCGTGCTCCACCAGCCCCTATGCCCTATCCAAGGACGGGATTGGCCCACGGGCACTGGCCCATGGCGCCTCAATCATCCCAGGCTTGGCTGTTATGGGAATGGGCCAGGCAGTTTATGGCAAGAGCGACCGTTGACGGGACACTTGCGTAGCAGCAACGAACCCGGAACTTGCCCACCACCAGCATCCGTCCCGCACGCGACAATACCCAGGTGCCACTTTGGTCTCGTCGAGCCGCCCTGCTAAGCCTTGTGGATCATTGATTGATCCTTTGTTTCAATTACATTGATCGACGTATTCCGTCCAGACATGTCAATCTGGTACACAGTGTTGAGTGCTGTCGGCATACAGAGTACATAGTGCCGGGTTCAGCCCAGTCACTGTTCCATCACCCAGGTGGCTTGGCCCTCTCCAGTAGCCGACCATGCGCCGTGTTGCCGTGTTTTGTCCGCTTTCCCTGAGTCGTACCGTCCAACGTGATACCCTGACCCAACACGGCCGCTCGCCATGGCCAAGGTCGCAGTCTCGCTTGTCGGCGACTCGCCATGGGCCTTGGAACAACCCCGGCTAGACATAGGCAAGGTACGTATGCTTATGCTTGTTCAGGGATGACTGCCATGCGTCCCCGCAGATAATGGCCAAGTCCAAATCCGAAAGTGTCCATGCTTCTTCTCGCACTGCTTTTCAGCTGATGCGTGCAAGTACTCCGTAAAGCAAGGACAACTGCCTGTGGACGTGCGGAATAGAGAATGCTCTCGTTACAAACATTTCCCTCATCGTAGCCTAGATCAAGAGTTGAGTATGTTGACACGACACATCCAACAGGGGAAGCGACAACAGCGGCCATCTGAATAACGACTACGAGGGGAAGGCCTGTGAAACATGGATAAGGACGACAAATAACCAGTTTTTTGTAGTACCGATTTCTGTTGAAACGACCAAATCTGCTGTAGGGAAGGACTATGTCGAACTGGCGCGCGTGTGTACAATTCAGACCCTGAAAGTTTGGATGTAATAGACCCTGGCCCATGTACCTAAAATCTTTTATCCAGGGCAGCCCGACAAGAAGAGTATAACTGGACCAGCTTTCTAAAATATCCCACATGTGTCCCTTCGTACTTCTAGCAAATACGGAGTACAATAAATACGAATGCTCTAGCGAAGCTTGCCCTGCCTACATAGTAGAATTCAACCGAGCTGTGCTAGTTATAAAGCTGCTTAATGTAAGTAATTATCTTCAGGCGCCAAGCACGTAAAGCTCTAATTTATGGGGCACTTTAGATTTAGCGGATCGGCTTATGCTATGCACTAGTTATAGTACAGTACGCGTCTATCTTATTATAGCTAGTATACACAGCTTCTCTCTTATGCTACTACTATCAAGGCACGTCAATATTTGATCCCTGACTCGTAGGATACATGTACATATTAGCACACTGTTCTATACACTTACAAGCACGTTGTATATCCTAACACCTGTCCTTTTTCCGTGACTCAGAGCCGTATACATGATTTCACAGCTAAAGTAGGTAAGAAAGGAGTAGTCCGGATAGTCTGCCCTCGATTCAAGGGCTTCGCTTGTCTATATAAAGGGACACACGGCCCAGTTGCTGTTTTTTGTTTTTTGGAAGTCCAAGCAGCTTACTCGCCAAAAAAGAAGCCAATATAAACGTTAGCCTAAACTTACTTACTATTTATCTGGCCAGATATTCTTTTACGCTATCAAGATGAAGGCTACAACTACCTTTTTCGCTTTCCTTTTTGGACTGGCTACGGCTAGACCACAAGCGCTACAAGCGCCGGAAAATAACAAAGTACTAGTAAGTAGCCGGTTACAATACAATTACTAGACTTCAACAAACGTATATATATTCTAGTGTAGCGCTAACACACCTGGAAACCCTAGAGCAAGGCAGATTTCGTGCAGAAGTTCAAGGACCGTTTTGTTGACTGTCGTACAGTAAGCAAACTTTAAAAGTTAACAAGTACAGTTCGTGGTATTAGTATACTAATATATTAACTATTTTAGCAATTTATATCGCAGCAAATTTCTGTAAGTAAACTCTAAAAGTTAATAAGTATAGTTTGTGATATTAGTATACTGATATATTAACTACTTTAGGGTGTGTCAGGTTATGAAAATTCTGTAAGTACACTCTAAAAGTTAATCAGTATAACTCGTGGTATTAGTATACTAATATATCGACTACTTTAGAATGGGGAAATAAAAGAACAATCCGTAAGTAAACTCTTAAAGTTAACAAGTATAATTTATATTAATAATATACTAATATATTAACTACTTTAGTATGAGGGAAATGAGGAAAAATCTTCTAGCATTGCATGCCGTATTTATAACGCCAAGGTAAGGAGAAACTTATACCTTAATAAGTCTGATAGTCTTATAATATAAGGCAGCGCTAATTGAACTATTTGTAGGGCGATGGAGTAAGCGCTCTTTATAAGAAATTTCTTAGCTCGCAGGCTTGCTAATATAACAATTATTTATAGCCTGTAGATCTGGATGCATCATGCGAAGATCAGGAAGGTGGCGTGAGTAATATTTCCTACTTTAAACAAGCACGCTAAGATAAGGTATACTAATAAGCATCTATTTCTAGTGTGAATTTTGTGTTAATAAGGGCAAGAGCAAGACCCCATGTGGGGAAGTAGTAAGTATTACTATACTTATAAAAGCTAATTATATATTAGGTATACTTCTAACAAGCAAATTTAGGAGAATTGGACTTGCCAAGCACAAAAACCTCGGATGGGAACTGAAGCTCCTGGAGAAGACGAGGTAAGACGGCTTTCCTATAATCAAATTGTTATTTAGTTACTAGGGCGGGCTATAGCTTTGCCGCGGTGACATGTGCTTAGGGGTTGAAGGCCTAGACAGGCGTTAGCTAACGGATTGGCAGGGCACCCCGCTGGAATGGGATGCTCAGGGTAACTTGGTTGACCCTACTGGCCGTATTATCCACCCGGCGCAGGAGGCAGACAAAGTGCCCAAAAAGGCTGATGAGTTCATCGGACCATATTTTACGACTGGGAAGCCTAACTAGGTTGACGCTACTGGCCGTATTATCCGCACGCCGCAGTAGCAGTGCTAGGGGGAGGCAACGCGCTAACTAGATATATTCTCACGAGCAGTTACTTATGTCTGCTCTCGACCGAGATGTATCGGAGCTCGGACTATTCTTTTCTTTTCAGTCTTTACCGCATTTCTAGGATACTTAGTGTAGTTGCTCAGCTAGTTATTTATACACTTAGTTGAGACTATACCCGGAGAATCGAAAGGTGCCTTGAGCCTCGGAAATAAACGTAAGCAGTGCAAAAAAAGCGATATATAAAGGTTTAGGTCTAGAAAAAGGGCTAGGAATTGGTAAGTATCTAGCAATATATAGCTTAATATTAATATACTAATAGATTATATTAGAATATATAAAAAGTTATATAGCTTTAGAAAATTATAAAAGTAAAGTTTATTATAAAAGTTAATGTAAAATTTAGTAAATTATATTTTAAATTTGGATTTTATTCGCTTTTTTATAATTAATATAATAGCTTTTTCAATATTACACTTGGATTTTACTTTTATAAAAGCCTTTGATCTTTCCGCTCTAAGCGCATAAATAGCTCAAGCCTGTCCACACTATACTCTAGCAACTCTCTAAGGGGGCCACTTTGTCGAGACAAGTCGATTGGCCGTCCTCTTTCCACGATTCTACCTCCATCGAGCACCAAAAGCTCGTCAAAGTCGATAACGGTGGACAGACGATGAGCAATGACTATAACTGTGCACTTTGAGAAGGCTTTCCTCAGAATCTGCTGCAGGATGGTGTCGGTCGCTATATCCACCGCGCTTGTGGCTTCGTCTAGCACAAGAATTCGGGGTTTGGACAATATTGCTCTTGCCAAGCAAATGAGCTGTCTCTGACCTTGTGAGATGTTGGACCCGCCGGAAGCCAGAGACATGCTGAGCGGAAAATCTAGTCCAAGTTCTCGCAACGTCTCGATTAGTGTTTTGTCAGAGTGGTCACCCGACATGTTGAGGTTGCTTCGTACGGTTCCGCTAAAGAGAAATGGATCCTGGGGAACAATAAAGATGCGTTGGCGAACATCTACCAATCTCAGGGTAGAAATATCGATGCCATCAACCATAATTCTTCCTTGTCTACTTTCAAGGATTCGAAATAGGGCGAGTGAGAGTGAGGATTTTCCGGCGCCTGTTCGGCCGACAATCCCGACACGCTGGCCTGAATGTACAACAAAGTCAATGTTCTTCAGCACCAGAGGAAGATTTGGATATCCAGTGGAAAAATTCTCGACGATGATTGTACCCGTCTGTGGCCAATTGTCAGGAGCCTCGCAGCCGGCTCTAAATTCGGATGGCAGCTCGTTATATTCTGCGATTCGATGGGCAGCATTGACGTCGTTTTGAATCACGACTGCTTTTTTTATAAGCAAGCTCATTGATGCAGAGAATTGCCTGGCCACTATCAACGCAAAGCCAGCTGATCCAGAATTGATGCGACCTGAAGCAGCTCCAAGTGCAATCATTGCTTCGAAAACAACGCCTAGGATGCCGACGCGCAGTTCCATCCATCTCGAGCAGAGGCAGTCGTACCAAGCTGCTCTGGACGAATCGTCAATAAGAGCATCCATGTGAAGAATATAATCGGCCGATCTTCCAAAAGCTCTAATTACAAGCAGACCGTTTGAAGCCAAGGTCGAATGAAGCTGGCTATACAGCGGGGACAGTTGAGTGGAATTGAGCTGTTGTAGTTGTTGTGCGATGGGCATGCAATATTGTGAGACTCGCCAATATGCCGCAAGTAGCCCAACAGCACAAACACAGGTGTATGGGGATATAAGCATTCTATTCAACATTAGTTCCATCGAGGGTATTCACTGTCAGCACGTCTTCTACATCGGATTGCTTACCCAGTCGTCATGACAAACACGAGTCTGGCGGTGAGCTCAATTTCGGCACCAATATTGCTCGCTATTCTCATATCGACGACGATAAAGTCTGAACTGAAACGTTTGAGAATCTCGCCGCGAGGATACGTTTCAATCCAATGCAGAGGCGCCTGCAAGATGGAACGAACCATGCCGCGAAACATCTTTTGAGAAGCCTTGTGACTGACATTATACAGAGCAAAAGACTTGAAGCCGAGCATCAAGGCACTAGCAATCGATACCAGAATATATATCCCGATATAATACATGCCTGAACCGTGGGGTTTTCTGCTTCTGTCATCGACAAGCGCAGCTGTGCCGTCCCCGTAGTCAATGGCAAGGCCATCGGTCCAGTGTTTCAACCACCACGCTCCGCTGTGTGTCACGGCCTCTGATAGGAGAATGACGATTATTGCACATGACCAACTGGATAGGCTGCCCTGTCGCAAATATTCGGCAAGGCCACCAAGAGTCGATTTCTGTTGGTGCGCGGTGGTGCCACTCGCGGTCGGTTGATTCCCGACTGAATTTTTGTCAGAGCCACTTTGAGTCCCGCCGCCTTCAAGGGCTGTGACAGGTTGTACTGGCTTCATGCTGGTTTCGAGTTTCTCGGTTTCGGTGCCTAGTGCCTGTCGATTTGAAAGATGCATAACAAAACTTGCAAATGGCTGGCACATGGCAACGTGATGGGTGACCATGATCAACGTCCTTCCCTGTGCAAGTTGGCCGAGCAATGCCTGTTCCAAGACATGTTTTCGAACCGATGAGTCGATGGCTGATAGAATATCTCCAATTAATATAGTGCTAGCTTTCGAATATAGTGCTCTAGCCAAACACACCCGCCAGCGTTGCCCTCCGCTTAATGATGTTCCCTTGGGGCCGACATCAGTTGCATCGCCATTGGGCAAATTTCGGACATCTTTGTCCAACGCACAAGCTTTGACAACGTCAAGATACCTCGCTGGATCATACGAACAGCCAAATAAGATGTTCTCCATGAGGGACGTACGCTCTAGCCATGTCGGCTGAGACACAACCGCAACCGGAGATGATGTGGGCAAGGTAGTGGCCTGACCATTGCTACAAGGTGCATGAATAGAGCCAGACACTACGTCTGCTTCGCCTAAAATTGCATTCAACACGAGGTTCTTGCCCGACCCGGTTCCGCCGGCTATAATTGACAGCTTACCACGCGGAAACTGTAAAGACAAGTTGTTGAGGGAAAAGGTTGACGACCGCGCGCCTCCAAAGGATTTGGATGGCCATGAAACCGTCACATCTTTAAAAACGACGGATTCCGATGGCACAATGGCGTCTTGTTTCTCTGGTAGCTTCAGGAAAGCTTCTAGTCTCTCACAACTGGCCCAACACTCCAAGAGATATGACCATGTCAACGGCAGTACAGCAAGGTCAGCTTGAAGCTTTTGTAGTAATCCAAGGGATGTAAACGCAATTGAGGCTGTCAATCTCCCGGTTCGGTATGAATAAAGGGCAATGGGTAGAATGCCTAGTATTAGGGGGCAGATATTGGCCAAGACGACGACGATGCACATGGTAACTGAGCTCCGCCGCATCTGGTCCATCTCCCCTTGCCGAATATCCAGGAGTCTATTCTCCCATTGGGATTCAAATACTCCAAGACGTATATCACGGATACCTTGCAGTGCTTCCGAGAGCAAGTTGGACCTCTGGTCTCGATACTTCATCAAACCATGGTAGGACTTTGAGTAGGTTGCCGAGATTTTGAAGTTGAGCGCTGTTGTAACAATTGTACAGATGATGGTTAATGTTATAGCTTGCCATCCAATCAGTTGTGCCAAGGCCATCACCGTGAAAAATAACTTGATAAATGATAGGGGGATCAGTATGTTCTGGCTGCAGACGGCCGAAACTTTGCCACTAGTTGCGCAGCTTTAGCCACGCGTCCAAATTGGTGCTTACCAAGATAAGACTCACGTATCAAGTTGTAAATGATTGTCAATAGACTTTGTAAAGCTCGGTGGATCTTGGCGAGACTGCTGTTGAGAACTCCTGTCTTCGGGCTGACCCTCGCTGAAGTTTGGTAACTTTAAGGTTTTGCGGTATACGAGGGAGCTCAACACGGCTTGCATAGGAATTTGGAATTGGGACATGGTAAACCACTGCACCAGCTCTCGTATCCAAACTTCTGCAATGAGACTAAGACCGTACAAGACGCTATAAAGAGTAAGGCTTCGATCCAATTGGTTTTGCTCCAAGGCTTGCAGCAAGTAAAAGAGCGCATATTGTGGCACAAGTTGCGTCACAGCTTTCATGGCGACAAGAACCCATTGCTTCAGGAGCTGCGGAGAGTAGGCATGAAGCAGCCAAGTCCAAAGCTTTTGATCAGATCGGTAATCAGGCAACTTATGCATTAAATGACCTGTGTGAAGAGAACTGCCGAGTAGTGGTAGTTTATCCTTGCTTGTAGAAGACCCTCGCAACTTGTGGAATATTTTCCTTTCCCATGAGAATGTCAACAGGTCAAGCAAGTGGGCAGTGGAGATTCGGGCGGTTGGTTTCCCTGAAGTAGACATATCCGGGTGCTGAGGATGCAAAAGAAAGCCTACAGTTTGTAAAAAAAGTCCTGCTACTTGCCACGGCCTCCAATATTCTCCTTGATTCAGCTGTTGACTTTGCGTCAGAAAAAAAGTCGCTTGTTGGGCAAGCAACATGATGCTGGAGGCAGCCCCGGATACAGCTACGCGAAAGGAGGTCGCGTACCTGTCGGCACTTATCATGCTGGATACAAGGTAGCACAATTGAAGGCTCCAGTTGAACACCTTGAAAAGAACGTCAGAACTCCAGGCCAAAGCAATCTTGGTTGGAGTCGCTTACTTGTGGCCAGGCACACCATGATTCTTGGTTCTCCTTTTCGATACAAGTTGATACATGGTCGACAGTGAACCCTGGTCTTGCGGCAGCAATGGCGGCCCCGACAGATGAAAGCACAAGAGATAGCCTGGTCGACCTTTGATATCTGGTTTTTGAGACAGTCGATACATGGCTGCGTTGACCAGAGATGTATGGGTTGAAAGCAGCTGCGCTGGCGACGAAGGCATGACAGGCTAGGATAGCATGGACTGCTGAGCAAACGATGCTTGGCCAATCTTTGGGTACAAGGTGGTAACATTTCTCCATGGCAGAGACTACCATGCTTGCCGGTCTGGCGCTGACGAATTTGATGGCAAAAGGTTTGCGGATAGTAGCGATGGTCTCTCTCTGTGTCGCCACTAGTTGTAGGGGCAAAGGAGCATGTAATTTGAGAGCTTTACGACCGCGGAAGATGATGGCTGATGCTGAAATTTGCACCCAGCCATGTTAAAAACTACACATGCAGCCTTGTGCTGACGCTTCTCCTGACGGGGGTGAAGGGATGTGCGAGGCTGGGGCTCCTACTTGGGTGAACCACACCGCACAACTCTCGGGTACCAGATACGATACGTCTCTTGATTCCGAGCACTGTGTGACATCTAGGGGTGTGCGACAAATACAGTCATCTGACTGGATGAAGGACCCTGCCCGAATACCTCATCTGCATGTCGGAGGTAGCGGTCCAAAATCCTCTGGGTTCGGCCGGTCTCAAACCCGTCAAATATTTCCACCATCAGACCCAACAAGTTCTGCTCGCTTGCAAGTCCTGCATATGTCTGGTACTGGACAGAGTGAGGCGGGGTTGTGGGCTTACATTGGCTGACGTTACAGATCTGTCATGGACGACATTTTGGATCTGCATGTTGGCTCGCTCATCAGGCCATCACACAAAAGTCCTGTCGTAGACAAGCACACAAGTACTCCTTATGTATCACGTTTCACGCAGACGAAGCGAGGTCACATCGCACGGCTGAGATGGCTGCCGTCGGACAAGACAAGTCTGGTCAGTGAAACATACCCGCATCCCCAACCAATCTTTACATGTATGTACTGGCCCCGTTCGGGTAGAGACTGGCTGGGAGTGTTCGGAATTGACGGGAACAGATGGGTACCTGTCCCATTGACCCTATCGCAGCTGATATTGTTGGATTGGAAATACATCAGCGATTTACACAGCGGAAAAGCTCAGTGGTTATTGTAGAGGCCTTTGGGTCCTCAATTGAACTAACTTGACGATATTGACGATGGATTCAATTCTCTGTTCAACACCATAAAACTCCGACAATTGACCCTTTTTAATACCCTACGTGACCGTGAATCCCAACGCTAGATCGACGAGCCCCAATGGGCAACTATCGTGACCATCAGCCTCCGAACATCACCTTTTTCAACCAACAGATATGAGGTATGGGGTAGGTATCTGGAAAGTAGGAAAGTATGAGAGACATATTCTTGCTCATGACTGCTAGAAATCGACAACAAGATACCACAATAGACCAAGTAGCACATTGACGTGTCGTCGTCCAGTAGTTGTCCATGGAATTGCCGCTGCGCAAAAGCATCAATCAAAGTCATTCAAAGGTAATCGGATTCTAATCTAATACCAGACATGACTCCTCTTGAACTTCGGGAAAGAAACAGACTGCCGCAGTGATTAATGTGCTTCTCACTGTCATATCGAGGCTCAACTAGGACTCCGTTGAATTGAGACCGAAATTGCTTTCTCCAGTAGAAAAAGCAGTGTGCTATATGCCATTCCGCGGTTGAGTAGAACCTGAAGGTGTAATCGTCCACGTGGTTCCCTATTTCTCCTGGAGATATCTCCAATGTGTGGTTTGAGTCGGTCCAATATCGCCAGCTGCCGTGAGGGCCATCACCCAAGTTTTCGAACTCAATAGTGAGCTGCTCGTCTCGACATTGCGCTGGCAACCAGGCTGCGGCGAGAGAGTCGTACTTGCAACCCATTGCGCGTGCCTCGGCAAGAGTGATTCCGCAATTGCAGCTCCCCAAAGCAGCTTGTCTCCTTTGGCTGTTTGAATCATTGATAATTTCTCTGCTATTACATATCGTGGCCGGGCGCAGCATCGTCACCAGTCCCGGTATAGCGAAACCGACCAGGATAAGATCCTTCAGGATGCACCAAGGGGATAGAAAATATCGCGTGAGCCAGGTATTGATGCTTTTGCGCCTGTCATAGTCCAGTCGGCCATAGCGTCGTTCGTGTTCCTTTTATCAACAATCAGGGGCACACTCTTATAAAGTAAATTTTCGTGTTGATTCACTCACATCCTCCATGCTTCTTATTTCGAATGCCTTCCAGTATCCTCGGCCGGCGTAGAAAAGGTCAGAAAAGAGCAAAGGCAGTGCGTGCTTGTCGGAATAAGATTGATGAGCGTCGGGTGAAGAAGCGGAGCACCCTCTTTCGGTTCACCTGTTACTACCCGGGGTGGTGTGGAAAAGATCCTTGTTGCGTCAATCGCCATGGCGACTTGATAGCTTGGCAAGGCATTGTGCAAGGGTGAATAAGCTGCATACCGTCAACGACTAAGGTCTGGTCAAGTCCTGTTTTCGCACGCGGGTTGTAGTGGCGTAACAGAACTCGGCTGGATGCCAACCCGTCTTTGCAGCGGGCTGATTTTATGAGCTCCAACTCGACCATTATCTGTTTGATAGTTTTTAAAAGCTATCACCATGATCTTCAGAATGAATCTTGCCACTTTTCTCGCCGTGACGAAGCTGTTCCTTATGGCTTGTGAAGCCACTGAGCAATGGGAAAGGATACCTGGAGGCTGGAATGTAGCCAGCAAACCGACGCCAGATACTATTGCTACATTCACTCTGGCATTGAACATGGAAAATATTGACTTTTTGGCTTCGGAACTTTTGGATATCTCCGATACGGAAAGCCCCAATTATGGGAAACATTGGGATCAAGCAGATGTATATTCAAGATTTGCTCCTTCTAATGCAACCGTCTCAACCACCCTGGATTGGCTGGTTGGCGGAGGTGTTCAAAATTACACAGTCGATTGGATATTCATTGACTTCACTACAACTATTGCTACAGCAGACAGTCTTTTGAACGCGTCATACCACTACTACACGAATAATGTGACGACAGAGCTTCGAACGGCGAGCTATTCTGTCCCCGAAAGAATCCAAAACAGCGCTCTGCTCATATCTCCTGGAACTTATTTAGGAGTGCCAAATTCGGTGCCACTATCGCTTCGTCCATACGGAGCTCGTGAGCCGCTTCAACGCTCTGTTGTATCAAAGGATGACAACCCATGTCTTCAAGCAATAAGTCCGTCATGTCTCAAACACATGTACAAAGTAGCAAACTATACTCCCCATGAAGGGTCGGGTAGCACTATCGGGTTCTCGAGCTTCCTCAATCAATCAGCTCTTTACAATGACCTCTTCGAGTTCGAAAGACATTTTGCTATCCCGGGTCAGAATATTTCTGTTGAACTGGTTGCGGGTGGTATAGATAACCAGAATGAGTCTACAGCACAGTTTGCAGAGGCCGACCTGGACGCTCAAACTATTGTTGGTATTGCTCATCCGCTGCCAGTTACGCAGTTCATAATCAGTGGGAATCCGTACGTGTATTTCACTAAAACAAATTTCTCAATCACTTACTTTCATTTTAGACCATTTATTCCAAATATCGATCACAAGACGGAGAATCGAAACTTCAATGAGCCGTATGTCCCTTATTACAGGCACCTTTTGTCACGGTCAAAGAGTGACCTCCCATATGTCATCTCCAACTCATATGGTGAACAGGAGGACTCGGTGCCAATCAGATATGCCTTGCTTACCTGCAATCTAATTGGCTTTTTGGGCCTCCGAGGAGTAACAGTTGTGCAGTCTTCCGGAGACACTGGAGTGGGAAGCGGTTGTTTGGCACCCGACCTCGGGACTGCCGAATTCTATCCCATTTTCCCTGCCACTTGCCCATGGATAACAAGCGTTGGCGGTACAGTTGGATTTTCACCGGAATCTGCTTGGAAAGGGAGCTCTGGTGGATTCAGCCGCTACTTTTCCCGACCTTCTTATCAAGACGCCACAGTCTGCAGGTACATGGACATGGTGGCTTCCGAAACATATGCATACTATGGAAAGTACACAAACTGGAACGGACGTGCATTTCCAGATGTTGCCGCTCATAGCCTATCTCCAGACTTTCAAGTTGTGTATCGAGGACTGGTTGCGATGAGCGGCGGGACGAGTGCATCAGCACCAGTCTGGGCAGGCATTGTAGCCCTGCTCAATGATGCAAGGCTGCGAGCTGGCAAGCCAGTTCTCGGATGGCTGAATCCGCTTCTTTATGCCCGGGGATTCCTGTCGTTGAACGACATTACTGAGGGTTTCAGTGAAGGTTGCCATGGTATAAATCCAGGCACAAATGCTACTGAGCCAGACGGGGCTGGAATAATCCCAGGGGCCAGATGGAATGCGACAACAGGCTGGGACCCTGTAACTGGGTTGGGCACCCCGGATTTTCAGAAGTTGAAGCATCTTGTCCTGAGCCTCTAAGCCTTTCTTGCAACAATATATGTACTCTCTCGATCCTGGCGCACATAGTCCGCCCAGAAGTAAACAAGATTACTACCGCGTCGCCTAGTTTAGGTATTATGTGCCCCTCGATGCATGCCCAGTGACTCTGGGAAAAAAAAATCTACATTTACTTTGGTCCAAATACTCTCTCTACAGTGTCGCCAACAGCCAAGTCCCAAGGTTGAATAGGACTCACAGCCGACCCCTCCGAAACCGACCAAAGTAGATCTGTATTCCTGCACCGATGCATTGTTCCAAGGCCGTCCACACCATGAGCAACGATGTTCCCAGCATCATCCTTTCTGACCCATGGTCGCTCAATTGTGCCATCACCAGCACACATGATTGCCTTTGAGGACACAAGGTAGGTTAGCTCTCTCTGGGGAGATAAACATGGGCGATAGAAGGCTATAAATACCTGTGCGAGATAACCTATGCAATGAGGTAAATGACTCTCATGTAGGAAATGTTGGTCGGCATGCTCGTCCCGTCGGGCGGAATGGCTATCCTGCGGGTGCTCTGGTGTACTTAGCACCTCCTTCTGGAGCATTGCTCTCAAAAGCGATAGGCAGTGCATTTGGTGAAACATGGAAATTCCCCAGTCTATGTTGAACGTTTGATTGTGCCTTATTGAGATGAAGCCCTCATTTTTAGGCATTACAGTAGAAAACCAATGTTCGTCGTTATGATAGGAAAAGTCTTCCAAAGCAGTGGACCGCGTGAAATTATTCATCTTCCATGATTCTGAAAGTTTTTCATCATGACGATAGCAGATACGAAACGGGATTTTCGTGTGAAGCTGAAGTGTCAAAACTACCAAGCTAAACATTAAGATCCCTATCGCCAGCGGATAAAGGTTCCTGGTCTTGAAGAATTTGAATTCCATGGAATCGCTCTTTGAAGTACGTATTGCAGAGAAGGAAAGGGGCGAGAAGAAATTGCTGGTTCGTGACTACGTTATGTTGAGTGTTTGTCAGGAACAGCCCAGCTGGGGGGGGGGGCATTTAACCGAGCTTGACTTCACGATTGAGGCTGCAGGAGAAAAAACTAAGAAACCCTTGAGGATATATGTACCCCATCTGCCAGGATACCGGACGGGGGGTAGTCCTAATAATACAGCGACTCTCTAGGACACCGTGTCGAAAGGTTTAATAGTACTAGACTGAGCCCAATATAATTGCCGCTACTGTCAGGTCAACTGTGATATGTCACATAATAGCGCTTAACGAGGGATCTTCCGGCCTTGAGCGCCTCAATATGTCCTGTAGCTTTCTGTACCCTACCTATAGTTTACCTGCACGGAGTCTTTTTGGGCGTGCCCGAGAGCCGCCCACACCGTCATCAACGCTGCAACATTCCGTTTACGAGCATCTAGGCCGTCTGGACCCCAGTTCACTCGGGTAGACAAGAAAACGCTAGATAACCTTTCCCACATTAGACATTATCAGGTGTCTAGGACAACTTTTCCTGGTTCTTGCCTGTTTCTCGTGCCTGCCAACCAAAGACTCTGCCGCAAGCGTGTCGCAATTTGTACCTTTGATCAACTATAAACTGAAAAGATTACCTGGGCACATGCTGAAAACATCATTCAAGTCCCAACGTAGAAAGAAATGTTCCATGGCAGACGAGGCTCAATTTGCAGTGAGCGCCGTGTTGAGCACCAACAGCTACTTGACAACGACGGCCGGTTCATTTCAGAGCGTGTAAAGTGTTCGAGATGGCTATTTATTCTCAGTCTCGGATCATTAGCCCTAAATGTCGTTCTTCTCTGTATTACTTTTCTCCATGATTATACTGAGCGTCTAAACCGCACGCCTCAATTACTATACTGTGAGTGACGAACGAGTGCTGTGTATTACCGGCAACATGGCTCCCAAACTTACTCCGTCAACAGCTCCCGCCCAAGATGCTATTCATTATGAAGTAAAAAAGTTTCATCGAGGTTTTGGGGATAAAAAAACTGCATACCAAGGAGACCCTTCTCCAGAAGTCGACAAGGTATGGAAGAGTCTGTACAATGGTAGGTTTCGTCTCTTCTATTCAACCTCACCGCGGATGCATTATTTTTGACACTGTCACCCAGAAATTGGTATAAGCAGATTATCTCGGGAACAAGCACAGCTCCTTCCAAATCGCACGTACCCATTCATAGGAGATGAGGGGTACTACATAGCGGAGTTGGCTGTCTTCCATCAGCTCCATTGTGTTGTATGTAAGGATCTCTTATCCACAAATGATTGGTTCCTAACATAGCGACCAGAACGCAATTAGAATAGCGTTATCCAAAGACTACTATCAAACGGTCTTCAGTCTAGAAGAGTTCGACGATGCTCAAGGCTCGTATGGGCGTGACCACATTAGCCACTGCCTAGATGCCGTTCGGGAGGCAATCATGTGCGCTTCTGATATCAGTGTCATTACTTGGCAATGGAATGATCAAGCAGAAAAGGCTTTAGGCCATGGCGATGTTCTTCACACCTGTCGAAGCTTCGAAAAAATTAAAGAATGGGCAGCTGAGAATCAAGCGCTGGTGGACTTCAACGCCGACGTCTTCGTCAAAGGCGACCCCGTTGTGGATGGCGTTGACTAATACTTGTCTGGGAAACTCAGAGTAAAGGTGCCTGGATTTCAAATCAATACGCCGTCATGTTTGGCAGCCATGGTAAACTTGCTCCGTTTATTGCAATTTTTTGAACCACTACGTATAGCGACGCCCCCTACTTGGCGTCATTTTCTTTTCCTTTGTCTTCAGACCAGATGTTCATTCCAATTTTCTGCCCAAATAAAACAGGCATTCCGGCATGGAGTGTTTCTGGGTGGACTTGTCCGGATTCCCGCACATTCTCCCAAAATATCGCGTTCCCGGCGATAGCTTTGAATACGACCCCTTCACGAGGCGTCTCGTCGCATTCTATATAGTCGCACCAGTTTTTTTCTACTGGCTTTTTCAACAATGGGAAATGTGTTCCACCGCCAGTGACATTTGCATAAAGATAGACAAAAAACGTGGTTCTTCGAGGATTGGACTTGCTCCAATCATAATGTTTCACGTAATGTCCAGCCGTTCCATATTTAACGATCTGAATTGCCTCCATTTCTCCAGTCAAAGCACCAAATCCTTGGAAAGCCTGGGCTCGATCCTCTATGCATTGGATCAGCTTCGTTCGCTTGGGATAGGCAGTTTTTGCATGCCTATGGTTTTGGTCAATGGTAGTGCTGCCATTGGAAAGAATAATTTTGGAATCCTCGAATTCAGTTTCGCTATGATCGAATTAGATGGCTTCAAGTGGAAGTGCAATCAATCCACGGGATGTTTTACTTCAGCTTTGTTAGCTCTGTCGCTTCGAAATCGGTTATAAAGGAGGAAATGTAGATAACGAGCGGGCCAGTAGAGAAGACGTGAACACGATAGGCATGACGACGGCAATCCCGATCGATAAATGCCTCGGGACTCTTATATTGATAGAACCCCAAGATGTAATTGCAAACGGAAGTCCAATTGAGTACAGCCAAGATGTTGATTGCAATAGCCGAGAGCAGTACGACCCGGGCTGGTAGATAGTTCATATTCTTGCAGGGTCGCAAAATGGACACAAAAGTCGAGTTGTAGAGGTTGGAGAACCCTGCGTCAAAACGTCCGGTTGGCCCTGAGATTGACATTGGCAACTCCAGGCTTTCGTTGCGAGGGGGCAATTACATGTGTGAAAACAGAATACAGAAGGCGATGTGCATCAAGCTGTCAGCTGGGGACCATATTCGTTCAATTCAAACGCCTTTTTCATGATCAGGTTAAAGTGTAGCCTCAAACATGCGCATATAGAACGGTTGGTCGCTCCCTTGGTGATTCTTTCGTCGTCGGAAGAAGCTCCGACAGCACCGAATTCATGACAAATCGTATTAGCACATGCACATCCCCAGACGTTGTCCAAGTCAGATACTCCCCAGTCAAACAAGGTTGCCATGCATGGCAGAGCATAATGACCTACGGGATGTGTGGGCGTGTATATATAACAGTCTTTCATTTCGCAAGGTACATGTTCAAGTAATTGAGAGTATCAGGATGTGAGTGGAGATTGGTCATGATTTGGATGGGGTGCATATATGAGTGCATGATATGGTGATCAAAAGTCCCGCGGGATGAATATTTGGAAACAGTGTGCATCCATGGAGTTTGGACGTTGGCGATAATTCACTGATATGCATGCATTTCATGGTGTGGTAATCAAATGTCCGTAAAGAGGACATGAAGTAGCAGTCAATATCCGTGGGGTTTGGATGTTGGTGATGAGTTCAATCCGATGCATGCATCAACGTGTGGTACGGTGATGACAAGTTCTGTGAGAGCCAACATCCATTGATGGGGCTTGGATGTCCGGTTGGTGACAATTTCAGCGAGGTGCATGTTTTATGATGTGCTCTGCTCGTCAAAGAGCCCGAAAAGTGGCACAATCTCGAGAATCGGTCAACTTCCGTGGTGTAGAGATGCTGATGATGCAATACGCATCGTCAAGTGCACAACGGAACAGGGCCAAGTGCGGAGTGTACTGATATCTGTCGTGTTGGTTCATGTCAATCCCTTAGTACGATGAATCCCATGTAATTGATGTCAATCAACTGGTTGGAAAACTTAACCCCGCATTCATCATGCTATATTGACCAGACTGCTTATAAAATGGTCTGGTCAAATCACTCCTTGGGAGTCGCTGAACTATTAGCCCTTCACCCTGTTTTTATTCTTCCCAGAAACAATTCAAGACATTTAAAAGCATTCCCATTCCAACCAGCACATCAGTTGACAACCAAGATGAAAAATCACTTTCTTGTTGCTCTCCTACTCTCCATCTCTGGAATTGTTAGCTCTGGGCCTATAGTGGAGCGAGTGCGTTGAATACACCAGACAGACATTTCGTGTCTGAATATTAACTCTTATTCAGGATACCCTCGATGTTCTCAATGGCAACAGTGGCTGGACCCCGCCTCCCGGCCGCAAGAGAGATGCGACTGGAAATATCTGAATCATGTTGAAAATATTGTCTCATGGCTCAACATTATGGCATTCAACTATACTTTGCTTACGGGACAGTCGATAATACCGGCTGAAGCTTGTCTCTGGTACTTGAATATGTTTGCAAACATCGTCGGTCGCTTTACATTATTGGGCAACGCTTATTGTTCTACTTGCGCACCAATTCACACTAGCTACCAAACAGCATTGATTCATTTCATCACAAGTGATCAAGTATTCGTGACTCTAACGAGATGAATATGTTTGCGACTTGACGTCTTAAGATGATCACTGTAGAAACCTTGGTGGTCGTGAAAGGGAAGGGTTATTAAATGCAAGTTGCTCTGTTAAAATCGAATCATCGAAATATCAACGGTATTTACAGAAACAGATCGTGTTGACCAGCCAGACGTCGGGTTGAGAGGTGGCAGAGTTTTGCTTCTTATCCAGAGAATTCTTAGGCTCAATCAAACCACAAGCTTTGCACAGCTTCTCCTAGCTTCAATGACAAGCTTGTCCCCTCATGCCAACTTGAAAAGTGTTGTTGGATACTAGGCATACAATGTAGCAGCGTTAGCTACGATGTGCCACTGCGAAAAGAGCAGCAGGCAGGAGATTACAAGATTCGATCATCTTGACGAAACCGGTGAGTCTAGCAAGGCGTAGCGCACTCTGAAAACCGTAATAAAGCAAATGTCCCCGAGTTATTTGAACTGAGCTTTGTCCCAAACCCGGCCCTGCCATGTCCTCCGTTACTTTTACTTGTCCCATTTCCCAAAAACAACATGTCAGGTCCAAGATTACACCGGGCCGCGAGGACTGGATTATCCCTGCTCTTCTACCGCAAACTAGTTCAAGCTTCTTTGTATTACTGGCATAAACCAATACATTATTGCCATTGTTTCATTTTAGTTATGAAGACATTGAGCGCTACCACTTCTGCCCTGGATCTGCTCTTTAATTTTGAGTTCCAAGGGCTGGCTAATGCGGGATGGACAACGGTTGGATTAGGTGATAGCATGTTCGGATCTTTAATGCGGTGACAAGGACTCGATAGAGGGTTTGGAGCTAATAGCTCAATTCATCTAAAAACAGTCTTTGGTATTAAAGATCCTTATTTTCCCTCGAGGCCTTAAATACAAGAAGTCAGTGAGGGACTTTGCCCTATGTCCCGTGATCGTCGCCCTTGTATAACAGGCCATTTCCGTGTAACACGATGGGAAACTTCCGACATGCGCTTTGATTCTCCAAGCCCTAATCTTGATCATATTTTTGAAGCACAGATTCATGATACCTTCGACTAGCTCGTGATGTCGACACCTTGGTCGTAGATGGTGGCTCCAAGAGCACCGCGATAGGCCGCTGCTTAGAGGACATATGCCGTAAATACCAGTTTCCGGTGCAATATCACCATGGCTTCAAGTTGAATGCCAAGTCTGTATCATTGGGCTTCAGAGGACCAATTATGCCATCTCTAAGCGTGTTAGTAACGGCAGTGTGGACACACGGGCAATAGGGCTGGCCGTTCAGCGTCTTACCATGAACCCGCATGCATGGGCAGATAGAGGCGCATAGCCTGAGGGCTTACAAGAGGATAAGTTACCATGGCATGTACTAATGCGATTCGTAAAATACAAACATCTGTTTACAGGCATAGTGCGCAAATAACAGGGTCACTAAAACCTCATGCCATCTGGATATGACTCTGAGGAGATATTAGCATATAAAATCATTATTTTTGCAACTTCAAGTGCGATAGATGACCTATGTGTCTGGGACAAAACAGCCAGATTATAGAAAAGTGTAAAGTACATTGAAATGTCAATACACCGGAGATCTGTCATGCTCCCAATGATGCGGAACGGCATTGACATACTGTGCAGTATTACGTTGAACACGTGGTATGTTGGATATTAAGGTCAGTTATTAAAAGCAGTCCAGAATCCGTAAAAAGTTAGCACTCGAACGCAATAGTGTTTATGTGTGTTGACAAGCCCTGTCCGCTTTGCCTACCTATGGGTCGACACTTTGTTGGCATCAAGGCCTTGACTGCGACACATTGTCAAGCATGACGAGTACCAGCGTCACGGAAAACACTCGCTAAACATGGACTGGATACACGTGTAACGCTTGTTTCTTTCACCGCGTCATGACTGCCTTGTTCCATTTCATTGTCCCTTTGTATGCGCCGTGGTCCCCCTTTTGTTGACCTGCTAAATCGCCTTTGTTGCCATCCATCGTCTTCATGTCCTGTTTAAACTACTTACACCACGAGTTCAGATTTTATGGCACATGCCGCGTCAATAGTCAAACAGAATATGCATGACGCATTACTCTGAAACAAGGTTCTATGATCGGACACCTGTTCAGATACCTGTTCAACTCGCAACACACTCATGTATCGGCCACGCAAAGATGCAGTCACGGGCATTCAACAAACATAAAAGTCTACCATTCGCCTCTCATTCTGATTTGAAATTTTCTCCTTCACATTTCCACACTACCAAACAACCAAGCTTTTCTACAACAACACCCACTCCTTTGCTTCATCTCCACACCCACAATGACCTCCAACGCAGCCTCGGCCGCAGAACAGTCCTCACGCCAGGCCGAAAAGGAAATCGACGTTTCCTGTGTGAGGTACCCTGCAAACTACTTCGCTTTGGAAATTGGGACCGCCATTTGGGGGCCGAAATACAATGACAAGCTCGATGTCGTTGGATACTTTGAGCCTCGCGACAATCACGCGACGCACCTAGAAGCACGCGGCAAAATGTTCAGTCTCGAGGCCTCCAAGCAGGAAGACTTCTTCAAAAAGATTGTCGATATCAAGAACACTTTACGGAAATCGGGCTACCACCACACCAACATCGGTATCATCTCGGACGTTTGGAACAAACTCGTGGACGAAAATTTTTTATCTGCCCAGCAACGTCAGCAAGGGCTGAAAGGGCTTGAGAAAGCGGGATTTCCCACAGGATACCTCAAGTCCTAGGCTCGGGGATGGAAATTCCTCTTGGACACGTTTTGCGCCAGGTGTTTTGGTCCCCAGGTTCACACAACTTACGCGGAGGACATGACTGGGACCTGTCAGCGGGAATTACGCGGACTTGAGACGAGCTTCGTGGGAAACTGGGCAAGGAATAAAGCATGGTTCAAAAGGATTTTCGTGCACCTGAGCAACTACGTCGCGAGCTGGCTAGCTGGCTGGCTTGTTGGCTTTGGAACGTTGTCCCCTTTTAATCATGTTCTAGGAGGATACACAAGATTGCTGCCAAATACACTTTCTTTACACTGGATTTTCTCCATTTGGAATGATGCACTGCTCGAGTCTTGAATTATCCGTGCGTAGTACATGTAGGGTATGGAAGCCTGCCTGCTTCGACCTGCTTCGGCTCCCATGCGTCTAGGCAAAAGTGTAGGATTGACACGCCTCGCTGACTGTTAAGAAGACTGCAGTGAATACGGCCGCGCTTGCTTAGTGAGGCTGAGGAAAACACGCGCTGTACGTTATCGGCATTATTTATGTATCCCATTTGTTCGCAGCGCGGTGACGTCTTTCTTTGTTGGGGCTTTGTCTTTTTCCATGCAGTGTTACGTGTGACCCAAGTCATCCGGCCGCATGTGTCACATTTTATCAAATGCTCATGGCCTTTGTTTGTGTTGGTCCTCACCATTCGTTGTTCTGTACATGTCGAGCACGAGGTCAGATGTTTGGGACAAAGGCCAAGGCTCACTAAGCAAGCAGCTGCAGCACTCGAGACTGTGATTGTTTCAGCGGGTGTGAACCGTGCGTGGGAGCATCGAGCATCACAAAGGGCAATGAATCCGAGAAGCAGATGTACGGTTGGACTCGCCGCTCGTTGACTGAACAGTTGGGAAGCTGATGTGCGCGCATCTTCATCGCCAACGCAGCTCAGCGACTTCGAGAGCAGGGCGACGGCCAGATCAGACCGACCGCCACAGCCAAGGAATATAAAATGGCCCAGGTTATTTCCACCCATTTTCTGTACGGCCACCAGAGACATCTTGCCAGCACGTGAATGCTCAGAATCACCAAGCACCGACGTTCTCCTACGACAATAAACGGCTCTTTCCCTCGTCTCCCTACCCGCTTGAAGACGAAACAAACGAAGCGAAACGAAGGGGAACAACAAAAAGCACAACGGACAGATACCTAGCAACGCTCTCTCCATCTCGCACTCTTTCCAAAATGAGCTCCGGCACAGACTTTCCGTGTCAAAAGGGCGCACTTCTCGGCTCGCTCTTGTCGATACTCGGCATTCACCTGCTATCGCTGCCTCTATTTGCTCGATTCCTCAACAGTCGGCGCAATACCCGTCGAAAAATTAACGTCGACTTGGTGACGAACAACCACAACATTTGGATAACAACCATCGGGAAAGAGGGGACGAAGTCATATGCCACCTACACGGCCGACCTTGGCGGAGCCAAGGCTGTATGTTCGGAAAACCATTCTGTAGAGATCGTCGAGAACTGGCCGAATCCACCAGACGGCAAACGCCACCACTTGGGCACCATTGATGCAGACCAGAGGGACATGGACTGTTTGAGAGACGCGATTCTCCAAAGCAGCCCCGTCATCAGCCCCTTCCCCTTCGACGCCGTCGTCCTCGTTTGGAACATTCTTTACCGGCAAGGGTATCTGGGTGAGGAAAAATTCAGAGCGGGAGAAGCAACGTTGACAGACTGCGTTGACGAAATGCTTGTCCGGAGTGGGTGCACAGAACTGCCCTTCAAAGCCTACCGGGAGTAAAGATCAATATGTGTGCTTTACGACAAGAAAGTATCAGAAATGTGGCTAGGGGTTATGAAGACCTTGGTATGGATAGATGGGGAACCAGGCGAGGAATAGAATGCACCTTTGGCTTTTGTCCAACTAGGCAAAGCTATCTCCCAGCCTTGACAAGAGAAGACTAGTTATGGAAGGGTTATTCACAAATACATTCTTCTTCCATTCATATTTTTGTCTTTTAATCTGTCATGTTCGCAAGTGTCCATTGTACTACGCTCAATAGTAGATCCATCAGTAGCAAGCAAGGAGTCGTAACGCACAGGAAAAGAGACATAAAGACAAAGTAATGACGACTCATCATCTAGGACTTGAGTAGATTGAGCCGCAGATGCCTAGGACACCATGGAGTCGGCGGCACTTTTGTTGACTTGGTATTCAGGGAATGTGGGATTGCGGAATGTATTCTTGAAAACGGATGGTTCCCTGCGTAGGCACCACTATCAACCTCGAATAATCAATATCCGGAAACCGAGAATCCGCCATGAAGAGAGAGGCGAAGATGCATGCCTTGGCACTGGTGTATTCATTGGCCATGCCGCGACCACTTGGCGAATGTGCCGAGCGGGCTGTCTCTAATAAGAACAGAATCAGTGAAGGGGAATATAAGAGTAAGCTCCGAGTCAATGAATGTCTGCAGAATAAATTACACAATGTGCTTGTCAGGCAGCGCAACCTTGGTAATTTGGTCAAAGTGTCAGAAAAATAAAAAGCAGATGAAGTCTTATATAGCTACCAGGACAGCCAATCATCGACTAAAAGGCGTTTAACAGCTTGTATGGTTGTAGAGATTATCAAAGCATATATTAAAACCAGCACTACGAAGAATATGCACCAGGGCTACATAGGGAACAACCCACAGCATGCCTTTTCATTTCCTACATGCTAGTTCTCGTCATAGCTGTAAAGGTCTTCCTCCATCCCCTTGATCTGGAGAGCCAGGAGCCGAGAGTAATACCGGCAGAGACCTAGATTGCCGCCATGAAACCAGAGTCCGGGATGGCCACTGCGCTGCCAGATGGTGCGCCATTCGCCTTCCTCATTGAACCCCCAGACCTCTTCCACCTTGTCGGCAACGCCATCACCAAAGATTTGTCTCGTGTGAGACTTCATGCTCTGATAGCCCGTCGCGAGAACAATCTCGTCAGCCTTGAGCTCCGACTGGTCGCTAAAGCGAAGGCCATCTGGAAGTATCTCGGCAACCTCCAGACCCTGCTTGACTTTAATCTTGCCATCGATAATCAGTTTCGACGCCCCGACATCAATGTAATATCCTCCGCCTCTTTGGAAATACTTGAAGAACAGACCCGCCTCGTCAGGTCCGTTGTCGACCTTGAAGCCAGCCTTGGCCAGCCCCTGAAGCATGTCCTTGTCATGGTTACGTTGAATTTCTGCAATCTTGACCTGGATTGCCTTTAGCACGCTGTTGGGCATGCTTTGAATAATCAAGTCGGCATCCTCGACAGGGGGACCACCCTCTGAATAAAGCCCCTTTAGGGCGATGTCAGTGACGGCATACGACGAGACAACATGTGTGCTCGATCTCTGCACAACCGTGACGTCGTAGCCCTTTTCGGCAAAATCCTGGGCAATGTCGAGGGCGGAGTTGCAGCTGCCCACCACCACGGCAGTCTTGCCACGTCTACCTTGTCGAGCCCCCGAGAATTCGGAAGAATGGCAAATCAAATCCCCCTTGAACGCGTCTGCCCCTTTGATATCTGGTTGGTTCTTTTCGCCAGAGTGACCGGTGGCTTGGATAATGTGACGCGGATGAAAGGTGCGTCGCTCAACCGAGCCATCGGCCGTTGTGCGCTCGACGCAGACAGTCCAGCATTTCTTGGTCTCATCCCACGATGTTTCCATGACTCTCGTCTTCATCCATACGTTGAGTTCCATGATGTTGGCGTAGGCTTCGAACCACTGAGCTATCTTGTCCTTTGGCGCGAAGATGGGCCACTGCGGAGGAAAGTTCAAGTAAGGCATATGATCATACCACACTGGGTCATGTAGGACTAAATGATGATAGCGCCGTCTCCAATTGTCCCCTACCCGGTCATTGCGGTCGACAATCAGAGCATTGACGCCCTGCGCTTTGAGCCTGGCTGCTGCCGTCAAGCCAGCTTGGCCGGCGCCTAATGTCTGGTCAGCAAACGCCGCAGTTGGTGCCTGGCACAGAGTCATGTGCTGCTTTTGAGCCACTTACCAATAATTAACACGGCCGGCTCACTCCCGTCGTCGTAGGCGACAGCCGAGGCCCGGTCGTCTGCCCAGTTTCGCCTACCGGGCTGTTCGCCGTGATTGACACCTCGCGGGCGGCGCGAAAAGGTGTTTTCAGAGTGACCTTTCAATGACCGAAGACTGGTGTAAATGGTGAATATCTTCCATTTGCCGCCTTCTTGGGCCAAGCGAATAAACCCCTCTCCGGCGCCCAACACTGTTTCAATGGACAGGAATGCGGTGATGCCAGAGACTTTGCCTTCACCATCGAGCGGGGACACCGAGGGTTGACGAACCGGACCCTGCTTGTCAATTGTGATGTGCTTGATTCGGAATCCGTCTTTCGACTGTGCACATTCTCTAAGAAACTCTCCGATTTGAGCAGGGCCTTGGACGGTTCTAAAGTTCCACGACAAGATTAAATGGTCGCGCCAGTATCCCTGTTTCGCAAAGAGATTTTGCGTAGCATGAAAAGTTGCATCGCCAAAGCTATCATTGAGGAGACAAATGATGTTCTCAGCTTCGGCCAAAGGATCCACGTCCCCAACGGCTTCCGGCGCTGGAAACTGAGTCGGGGGAATATTCGAAGTGCCAGGCAGAGTATGCACCGTGGGCGCCCTTCCGACAACTACTGCTGTAGCCATTTTTGAAATTATTCAATGTTCCTCTTGGTGTCGCACAAATGGTTTTCGGGGCTCAGAAGGTTTTGAAGAATTTGTCGTGGATGAGGAGAGGGCATCAATATGTATGCAAAGACTGCTCTGGACCGTCCGACATTGAATGCATGCGCCTCCTTTGGGCATCTCTGCGGGATCCAAATGCGGGGTCTGGCAAGTCGTGCGTGCATCACCAGATATCTCGACAGGACACACCAAGTTTTGCGAATCAGTGACGCCGCCACTGAGCCACAGACGGACAAGTAACGGCACCACGTAGGCACACTGGCATTCGACCAATGGTTCAATCGGAGTTGAGACTTTCCCGACCTTGGGCCGCACAGTGTCGATATCTGTAGGCGGCAACTGACATGTCTGGTGTAGCCAAAACACCAACTACCTGCATCTTTGCGCCCGCCTCGTGAGCGACATGTCGATCTCGGCTGTCTCAAAAAGCGGCGGGGGGCCGGCATAGTTGAAAAAGAAAAGATTGAATACTGAGGGGGAAATTTGTGTCGACCGGCAAGATGCACGTCGCCAGGAAGAAACGACTCGCATTGATTGACCAGACCTTGCGGGCAGCCATGTCGTCCTCGGGCATGGCAAAGTGCCGTCTTGACCTGATGGCCATGGCGGACAGACTCTGACAGAGTATGCGGGTGAATGGCATCGTCTCGCCATGCACAAAGTAAAAATACAGCGGCGAAATCCGAAGATGCATCTACGCGCAGTTGACTCTGTCAATCGTAAAGCTGGTGCTGCTCCTGCCATTTTAGTAATCAAATTACATAAGCCGATAGCTGCAATAGTCAAGTTTTATACACTTGGAAACTACGGGTACTTGTATTATTATATAAATACTAGTTGATTTATGTACCTTTTAATTTGAGATTTTTAATCGGTTTATATCCTCTCTCGCCACCTGAGCGGCACCTTGACGCACTGGAATGGATCGACGTATACAAATTCAATCTTGATTCAATCTTGAGCCAACTGAACCACCTAGGCGGCTTGCTGGACGCCGGACCAGTCTGTTACACGGAAATGGCCGGCGCAGTCGCTGTTGTTAGTAAAGCCGCGAGAAATAACTTGAGCATCATGGCCGAAAAAAAGACAAGTCAATGGAGCCCAAAGACGATTTATCAACAAGAGTCTGCATAGGTCTATATATAAAATTTAGCTTGGACTCAAGGCATAACGCATGTCAGGTCTGCTGACCTTTTGTTTCAAGTACATAGTGTAGTCATGTCTACCAAGAACCTTGGCAAAGGCTTGCATTGTGTATACAACACTTGACTTGATATAAAACAAGCTAAATCATGGCATGAATTATCTCTTTGGCTGCCCAATGACTCGTGAGGACTCGTGAAGACTCGCTTACCTCAGTGCGAGTGAAATGCGATGGCAGAAGAGGGCCCATGAGTCATTGGGCAGCTAAAGAGATGCTCGAGTAAAAAAAAAAAAACTAGAGCATAATAAAGAGAGGCTATACAAAAAACACTAATGGGGACTGGTACTACCAATTGCATAATACTAGCCCCATTTTCCTTTCTAGACAAAACATAAGGTGTCTGGTATTACTCCGCAGCTGCTTGTGCATTGATTTCCACACTGTAACCACTCAAGTGCATGTATATATTACTCCCGTTGACCGTGGGCCGAGATGGATCCGGCCCACGGACGCAAACCGGGCAAGCAAATGGTTGCTGCCTCGTCAACATCTCCAGACACATTTATTCATAGGTCATGTGAGTCTGACGCTCATTTCACAGACAGGGAACATGTCAGCGACACAACATTGAAGCTACAGCATTGAAAGCTACAGGGTAATCGCAAATGAAGACGCCTTTTGCTGGTTTCGTGCCATCACCAAGGCTGCACCCGGTCTCGTAGAATGACCTTACCCACGTCGTCATCCCTGTGCCCTTCAATGACGTCTTTGGCAAACTGTCCACCTATGGCAGGATCGGCAGCGCCTTGCTTCTTGTTCACCTCGACGCTCCCCCCCAGACCAGTGGCCAGATAGCCTGGCGAGATGGCCCATATTTTGACCCCGTCCTCCTTGAGGGTGCGATGCCACTCTCTGCGTATATTTGTCAGCTGGCAAACTGGAAACAAGGGCCCATCATATCCAGCGTTGTGTCATACCTCATCATCATATTCATTCCTGCTTTAGAACTGCGATAGGCCGGTATGCTGATCGGTGGCGGGCCACCCTTTGGCCAGCCTTTTGGCGGAACACGATTGATGGGCAGATCGAGGTTTTCTGATCCCGCTAGAGTGGATGTACCGCTCGTGATAAAAAGAAGTCGAGGATCGTCAGATTCAAGAAGTAGAGGTATAAAAACAGACGTCATGATTTGGGACCCCGTTATGTTGACATTCCAGGACTGGTTCCAAACTTGACGCATCGTCATGCTGCCCATCAGAAATTCTATGTCAAACAGGGCACCTGAAGCAGTTAGAGTGGCGCATATTCTGCCACGAAGCAGTTGGTATGATGTGCTCTCACCTGCATTGTTGACGAGGACATCGAGGCGCCCGTACTTGTTCTTGACCGTGTCGAAGGCGGCAGCTATCGAGTCATCATCTTCCACATCCACTTGGATTGCAGTGACACGGCCCGAGGCGCTTGGAAAGCTGGTCACAATCTCGGACACCGCTGCCTTTGCCTTGTCGAGAGATCTTCCACCAAGCAGTATCTCGTATTGTGCGATGGAACCACACAGGGCTTTGACAATCTCGAGCCCAAGGCCTGTGTTGGCTCCGGTAACAAGAATAATCTTGGTCGCCATTATGTCCTCGGGAAGATGCTTTGGGGTCTTAACCAACGCATCAATCTTGAGGATCATCGTGTTCCCCTTGGTATATATACGCCCCGGTGAAAAGCTGGGACTACGGCGCCGCGTACTTGTGTCAAGTTCCTTTCTCCGCGGCAAAGTCCGTTATTACGGGGTTATGGTTACTTGGCTGCCCATTATATCCATGGGAGCTACCTTTGATTTGCTAGTGTTGACTGGAACTGCCAAAAGTGGACATCGAGCCCTCCACCATGACTGATATCCTATGATAACTGGAATCTGTTGACGTCATTTACTTTCATACTTGCAAGCTCACAATCTGACTAGATGGCTTGAGGCCTAGTACTCCATGTCCAGTTTATTGATGATTGCACCTGGAACCTCGCAATCCATCTTTATCAGCTATCCTATGTCTTGTCATGCGGTATCGTATGGACATCCTTGGCCTTGCCATTGACCTCCGTGCTAGCAGCTCATTCGGCGGGACTTTCATTTGCTCTGTGGAGCTGTCTTGGCGTAAAATACTCAACATTTGAAGTTTTAGAGTTTATACGGTCCCTAAATTTCTGGTGGCCACTTGCTGGTTCATCATGTAATCCTGCCAAGTGGATTCAATACCAACGATTTTTGTATGAAAAGTTGGCCACTTCTCATCCATCCGCTCAACGCATAGCAGGACATAAGACCGCGACGCCAAACCCCAAGTCGCGCCAAATAGCTCTGTTAAGAAACCACCGCTGTGACTCTAACTTTCCGCCGATTATAAGCGAATAGTGGGCGTCTAGGAACTCGCTGACCATGTTTGTTGCGACTCGGTAGTAGGCAATTGCACTGTCACGGCGACGTGGGATGAAATACTGCACATGCGCATACACACCCATTCGTTGCACAGAAAATTGACATACAGAAGCAGGAATGTGGGCGCCAAAGAATCTACCACATATCCAGCCACTGAGCCCAGAGACTTATGGCCAGAAATTCCTTTAACTCTTGGCCCAGCGTATCTAGAGCCTGTTTATTCTCGAGACGATGTTGAGTGCTACCGATCAACGTGTTTGTCAAGACGTTTTTGCATAATTTAATAGCCTTGTGTTTCGAAATGTGAGAAGAATTTCCGTCCTTTTTGGCTCTGGTCTCGGTGGAAGCGTCGGTGTTGTTGAGCGTGAGGGCATCCAATATAAAGCGGCAGACGATTTCCAACATGGTAATGTACAGATCAAAGGCGCCATGAGATCTTGCAAGCACTTTGTGTATGGTTAATGAAACTGGGGCGGTAGTTAAATGGAGCTGTCAATTCCCGGGCAAACTTCGAGGGCGTAACGGAATCGACCCTTGACTTTTTACTGCCACGGAGAGGTGCGTCCAGTACTGTAATAAAGCTCTTGTGGTTCATTGATGCTCGAAAAAACAATCTCAGACGCTCCCTGACTAGCTTGGCTCACCTGTCATGACCCGTTATAAGTAAGCCTATGGCCCATTATACTCTCCCAAAATAGCTGACAATTGAGTGGAATGACTCAGTTGCGTCATCCGCCCTTTCAAATTGCATCCGGAAAGACTTCAGCTTGCTGGAAGGTGCGGTGTGGTCTTTTCAGCGCTCCCACTGTCTCATGAGCATCAGCTCTGGGGCACGATGAAGAGTATTAACTTGGTTCACAAGGAACCCTTGCATTGCAACCTGGTCGAGGAACAAGACGCCCTGGATGACAGTGTCGAAGAAGCAGACTATTTTTGGGCAGCTGAGAATGGCCCAAGTGATGTTGATATATGAGGTCATTGGACTCTTTGACGAATTCATCCGTGGTGGTGATTTGGCAGAGCGTCAGGCTGGCATGCTATCACATTAGTTCGGACACTGCGGCAGGTCTTCAAGCAAACGTTCCAGACCAAGCTCAACGGGCCCTTATCCGAAAGCAACATGTCAATCGCGCAGCTGTTGGAGACCACCAATCCCGTGGCCTTGTGGCGTACATGGATTCTGGTTGAATCGATTCGGCGAACATATCTCATGACAACGCTGACCGAAGCCGCCTTTCCGAGGCTAAAAAAAGCATGGGCGCCGTGTCCTGGCGGCATTAAACTGATGACTCCAGGGGGCCTTCGCCCACCTCAGTCAATGCTTCTTTCAATTGTTTGTAACTTGCAGCGCCCAAGATCATGGAATCACCTAGCTTCCCAAAGGCCAGCATAGCACCGTCAGCAACAGCTACAAATGGGCAGACACCCGGTTCGGCTGGTCGAAATCCTTTCGCAACATGGCGCACAAATTGAAGATCCGACGCGACACACAAAGGGATGGGCCTGCCCTCTTGGAAACCTGCAAGCAATAATGTCAACGGTATCCCAAACGAAACAGGTCACTACAGGGTAGGACGCAGTGGCATGCACAACATCAACCAGTCCAGTCAACTGTCGCCAAGTAGGCCAAAAAGTAGCATGTTCATCTATACTCTACGCTGTCTAGCATGTCATGTCGCATCGCACCTTATGAGATGACCTTCAACGTCTCGGAAAACGGAAGCTTCCCAGGCGTGGCAGGGTGCTCGGTAGCCTCATCGCCATAGTTCAAGTGCGCCTTCAGCTTGTAGTCCTCGGGAACGCCGGCAAACTTCTTAATCGCAGCCTCGACAGGGGGAATAGCATTGAGATGCTGCAAGTTGGCACCGAGTCCCTCCAAGGAGAGAGCGGTCCAGACCAGAATCTGGTGCATGCCGTTGGCATGGTCGCCGAACTCGGCAAACATGTGCGCGGCCGACTTGTGCGTCTCTCCGGATTCCTTGATTGTGTTTCCAGACTCCCAGAACAAGATCTTGTCACCTGTCAGCATGCTTTATCGAAATATTCGCGCCAGACGAAAAAAAAAGAAAACGTACAGATCCATAAGCGCTCTTGAAGAGCTGAAACTTGGGGCTCATGGCGTTCCAGACATCTTCACTGATGCCCTTCAACACCGGCTCGGCTGCGGCAATGATGGTGTCCCAGAATTGCTTGTGTTTGGGTCCGGTAATCAGGGTAATGCGGACGGGCTGGGTGTTGTAGGAAGACGGCGCGAAAGAGAGGACCTTTTGGATGATTTCTTGAACGCGGGCGTCGGACACGCTGCTGGTTCCCTTGAGGGGATATACGGAACGGCGGTGGCTGGCGGCGGCGAGCCACTGATCGGCGCTGACGTTGGCAACTGAACCCATTTTGTTCGGGGGATGGATGACGTTTGGATGGTGGGAATGGTAGCTTGTGGAATTGGATAATGTGATGGTCGGAGCAGAACAAAGGTGTAGGAGCTTCTTGAGGTATTATATAGCTGTTCCCCTCACGCCGCCAATGGCCTGCCCCGTTTCCCGACCGACACTGCAACGCGAGCCATCTTGTCAGCATTGGTCATGCCGCGAGACGGCGCGATTAGCGTATTATTAATTTAGAGTTTCCCGAATCTGTGTGGCTCAAGGGGAAGCAACCGGCAACGTCGATGCGCAAACCAATCGGGGTCCAAGTGGTATCGGATGGCTGCTCGAGTCAGGGGCCCATGTCGCCATCGATGGCCACATGCACTTTGTTTTGGAAACCCTCTTGGTAATGGACGAGTTGACCAAGAGCTATCTGGAGGCGTCCGTATCTTGACTGGGCTGGCAGAGGAGCCGGAACCCGGGCTGAGGCTTCCCAACGTCAGCAGCAGCACACGACCAGCACCTGTACCACATGCAGCTTACCAAGCTATTTGAAACCATATGCAGACATTGAACTAATGGCAGTGGAGACTTGGATGATCAGATCCGTTGGCACCATCGGTTGACAGCTTCGAACCCGTGGATCAAGAGATGCCCCGCATTTTGTGGGCTATAAAATACCGCACCATCGTGCTGATCATACATGATGTCCTGCCAAAAGCCATGTCATCCGAGCGCGCGGCTGTTGGAACGCTTTGCTCATTATCAACCCAGATTGTGTCGTGGCTGAGCCAAGTAAAGGGGGACGCGTGCTAGGAATTGGGGGCAACATTGAAGTCCACAACGAATTGATCGCTCGGCCAATGGAAAACATTAAACTATGGGTCATGCCGCGCGGTTATTAGAAAGCACCAGCACCGGTGGCTCCTGCCGCTTCAGGCTGAATCATTTGGGTGCCGCGCGCCATAGTAGTCGTGCCCCTATTCCGTCAACGCATCGACGTTTTACCTCGACCAATTTAAGCCTCCAGATCCACATGTTGCCGAACGCAGCACCGTCCAATTATAGAAGGCTCAACTAGATGCAAAGCAGGGATGGCAAAATCGTGCTCTATTCTGATACTCTTGCAAGGTCTTAAGGAAAAGGCCAGAGGAAGAAGGTGCGGAGGGCTTTGCGTCCGCACGTGAGGCCGTTTGGCCAACGTGATCACGTGAGACCCTCAACCCAACCACCCTCCGTCGCGGGTAGATGCAGGACGCGACAAAGTATTCACGACTCAGCAACCTATTTTTAACTCTACAGCTCAGCACTGTCCCAGTCAAACTCCTTGGCCTCGTACTCGCCAAATCTCGGCACTCCCTCCAGGCCACCCTCCAGCTGGTTGGCCCCAAGCAGCAGCGTAACGCACAAGTCCTTGACCGCATCACTGGGGACCTTGGCCCCCGTGTTGAGCACCACAACCCACTGCAGCTTCTCTCTAAAGTGGTCCATGGCCTCTTCGTGCGTGCCGCGGTGCTCGACGGGCACGGAACGCGTGAGCGGGATCTGCGCACGCGAGAGGATGCCGTCGCTCGCCTGCTCCCGGCAGTTGGAGCAGCCCGTCGAGCCCTGATAGTTGGTCAGGGGCGCAGAGAATGTGTGGACGCTGCCCACGAGATGGCGCTGTTGATGGTACGGGACGTTGCGCTCGAGCGGGCCGAGGAAGAAGTGCAGCGCGTACGACAGGCCGCCAAAGGCATACCTGGGGACCCAAGTGTCAGTGGACAAGAGAAGAGAAGGAGGCCAACGCTTTATTTGACGGCACGTACCGGTTGTAGACGACGTTGATGATGGGATCCACGTCCTTTTGGTTGGGGAATCGAAAGTTGGGTTGTGCCGGACCGTACAGGCTGTTGATGTATTTGTTGCGCCTCTCCGGCACAACTTGTCCCTCGCCATCGGTAATATGTTTTACATCGTCGTACGTATAACCGAGGCGGCCCGCAACGCGCACGCCATTCGAGTCGAAGAAGTCGTGGGTGGAACGGCGAAAGGGCACGAGGTCCGTCAGCGCGTCGTCGTCATGCCGTACCCGCATCGAGGTACCTGTCCGATTCAACTGGCTCGAAGCGTCAAACCAGCTGCCGGGGTTGATGGTTTGCCACAGGTAAAGAAGCCGATCGACGTTGCAGTGGTGCAGCCAGAAGACGGGGTCGAATGCCGCCACAGGGACGGAGCTCATGTGCCCACAGCCCCTGACGAGGTCACTACCGCCAATGTAGTCCTGTTCAAAAGGTTCGAGACTTTGGTCAGCACACGGAGGAGCTTGGACGAGATGGAAAGCCTCACGTGGACACTGTTATGGATAGACTCCAGAGAGAGGTATCCCTTGGCCTCGACTTCATCTTCGGGCTCATGCTTGGTGGAAGCAAAATGCTCATATTGAGTCGAGTAGCGATGTGTCAGTAGGCGAAAGATGCCGTCCTTGATCGTGACGGTATTTTGGAGCAGTCGGGGTCCCTGGAGCGCCGACGCCACCTTGTTGGCATCCGAGTGCCCCTGGCGCCAATTATTGTCGTAGTAGCTGACGGCGTGGCGGCTGGTGCCAATGCATAAATCCCACTGGCATCTGTGTCAGCAGAAATCGATTGTCTTGGATCCCGCGTCTCCTCGGGTGGTCATTGATGCTTACCGGGCCTGCTCCGTTGCCGTCGATGCGGTAGTCGCCATAGTGAGGGTCACCCATACGCCGCCCTCCGGGCATCTGGAATCGGTACATGGGGTTCGCAACCTCCTTCATCGTGCCGTCGGTATCCAAGATGCTGATCTTCTCGTTGCTCACTAGGCCAGGCAGACTCGGCTGGCGAGCCCAATCCCAGTATGGCAAGCGCCAGCGCTTCGCAGCCGAAACCCATCCGTCAAGATCGTCACTGCGAGTCTTGGCCTCTTCCATCATGAGGTCGCTGACTCTCCACTATACAGGCCATTAGCTTGGCCGGCATGGAGTGCGCAAGAGGTCAACCGGTACTACCAACCTCGAATAACATCAAGTACGCGCGGTGCCAGGTGGGAAACACAAACTTGTTGTGCGGGCAGTAGTTGCCGCCTTGGCCCTTGTCCTTCTGCTCTTCCATATCCGGACTGTCGTATGGGATTGGCTCTCTGCCCATGTTCCATGACACATTGGGCGGCGAGCCGTGGATGCCAGCGATGCGGAAGTAGGAGAGTTGATCCTCTAGACCAAGGCGCTGGAACTTGGCCATTGCTGGAATGAAGAGCGACAGTTCGAGTTTTGCGTCTTTGCTGGCCTGGGGCTCCTGCGCCTCCGCGAACCACTCGTGGACGTTGCGCCGGAGAGGAATCTCTTTGGCCGGGTGCCAGTCAATAGGCGTGATGGGCACAGCGTCTGCATCTGGAGTCAGAACCCTTCTTCTCATCAAGTCGTCACGCGCGTACCTTCATCATTCCCGACGTCAATGACGAGGTGCCCATGTCTTGCATACGTTGCCCACTCCAAGAACCGGGCGCAGAGCCGAACCGCAATCACATTGCCCTCCTATGTCCATGGTCAGTCAGTGTCCGAAACGAACCATTAGACGTCAATACGAATTCACCTCGAGCCACTTGAGGATATCACGCGTCTTGTCAAACGTCTCGCCATGTAGCCAGGTGTACTCTTTGGAAGCGAGTTTATTTTTGTGGCTCACGGAGACAAGCTCGATGCCGGTGTGAGTCTTTCTGGGATTTGTCGACGATTCGTTCTCAAGGATGGCCAGCTCAAACCAGGACCAATTGCCTTTTGCAATATTGCTGACGAAGCCTTGATCGCGCGACTCGGCGAAAAGTTTGACCCCGCGGATCCTACGAATTGTCTGGGTGCTGAGTGGCTACGAGGGGCGGTCATTTTCATGTATCGTAAGTAGTAGATTGGTAGAGTAAGAAACGAACCTGCGACTTGAACCAGGTCTTGGTATGTATATTCGCGTTTTTTGCTATAACTCTATCCTCGGCCTCATGCTTGATCACGTAACGGTTGTTGGGAATAGCCGAGCCTTTAGATGGCAAGGGCTGGAGGGCCTCGACGTCTTTTCTGGTGAGATGCTTAAGGCGATTATGGACACTCATTTTGACGATTGTCCGAGGTGATAGATGGGGTATTGGGCTTGCTTGGAACAATTGATGGGATCTCGATTATTTTCTGAACTTGATGGTGTATTGGGAAAAAAAAAGTCTTTGGTATGAGGCAAAGCTGCCTTTATATACGTGCGAGACTGAGCGTTTTAGATTCTGCTGCTTCGGCTTCACCATGCCTCGCTGATGACAGCAGCCCTACCTATCCATGCTTTGACAGTGCCGCTTGTGTTGCCGTCGTAAACACCACCTTCCGCCGAACAGCAAAAGTGAGCCAGTTATTGGGTATCCATTACCGATCTGACTCGAGGTTTGTGATACTCGTGGGTAAGAAGATCAGCTCGCTTAAGGACATGACGGCTGAAAACTGGGCAGAAGTTTAGATCTGTCACCAGGCGATACAATTTCCATTGGCCCAAGCCGTTGACAGCCGGTCAAGGAGTGGTCGGCACGTATGCTGACCATCGTGCCAGCTCTGAAGTAAGCGCCGGGATTATATGCCCATTGGCGGTTCTGCATAATAACTTCACAGGATGATGGCTATATCATTGGTGAAGCTTGCAGTTTCTCTGCGTAGCGTCAGGCCATGACTGCTTGAAGGCGAGCAGCATGGTGCCAGGAGTTTGACCTGTCAAATTCGATGCTGGCTGACGATGTGCGACGAGATGTCAACGGTACGATGAACCGAGGACGTTGTAGGCTCAACCCACCGGCTGTTGTTTGGCGCCTCCCCGGAGGCCATCACATTGATGCGGCTGTGCAGCATGTCTCGGACTCATCCAGTGGCTCTTGCGTGTTTCCGGAGAAGCGGGCAGCACCGAGTCAATCGGAAGCACCGACTGGAGTCAAGCCGCAGCATCGAGTCAAGCCGCAGGGTGGCTATGGTCCCGTTTCTTCGGGCAATGTGCCATTGTCCGCTCCCGGGACGCCAGGTCCGGTATCTCAGACTTCGGGGGAACACGGGCCGGACATTTGATTCAACATTGATTGGGGTTTCGGCAACCTGCCAAGCGAGGATAAAGGTATGATATCGGAGAATAGGAAGCCGAGCGCACGCAGCTACGCCCTAGGCGCTCGTCTATGATGCATATCGTGTCTGGTCGAGACTCAGTTAGGTGAAGCTGCACAAGAGCTGCATCATCTGCGAGGAGAGCTCAACACAACTTCAGCCGCGTTCCGGGTTGTGCGCCATGGCTGTTCAAGGTTGACAGGTCAACTATTGGACTGACTACACTTTTAGAGTAAGCCACCCGCAGGTCCAACACATAGAGGTCGATCAAGGCAGGCATGTACGGAGTAATGTTACCCAATCGCTCTCCTTGGATGCCCAACAAAGGCAGACAACGTCCTGAAACCCGCGTGGACCAGTCAGTTGACCTTACAAATGATGCTCAAACGACCTCTGCGGCGAAATTGCGCCTAACGGTGTCGCTACGGTTCCAGCCTTCTTTAGCTACACCTAGATATCGTGGACAAGTCGACTGATCTACCATGATTTCTCCCACTCCCACTAGGCGTCATATTTGTGAAGGTGCATTTAAAATAGCAAAAGCATGAATTGACGCGTGTTTTTGTATCCGATGCCGAGTTTGCTGGGATACGCAAAGCATGGTCAGGTATGTGCTTTGAGTGGACAAAGCAACACCACATCCGTCAGCAATGAGCTGTCACATTTTGAGGCATCTTGTAGCACTGCTTTGTCCCGTGCGCAAGGTATCATGGATGGTGACAGCCACACCGTCTTGGAAGTATCTGTGACAAGGGATGGTGTATAAGATGTATAGGGGCTTGGATTAAGTTCATGTTCATGTAATAATTCGCTTGAATATAAAGGTCCTTGGTTTTATCGAAGCTTCAAGGGTGGATGACCCTTGTTTATATCACAAAGCCGTGAGCAAGCGAGCCTGGAAGTCCAAGGTGTCAATTAGGTCTCGAGCCCTTGTGTGACTATCGTCAGGTTCGAGCGTCGGCCCGTGCCTTGACGTGACCTCCGTGAAACAATATTCCATCAAGTCATGACAATAAATCATGTTGAATCGACTGTGCCGTCTATTTAGGAATATTGGATTGCATGTTTCTGAGAAACAGCACAAATAGTACATGAGGCTTTGCGGCGGCTTCGATGTTCGAATCAAAAAGGCTATCACACAGCAGAAGGAGTCAGCTCAATATCATTGCCGCCGCGAGGTTCGATCCCACTTGTCCGCCCGCCTCTTCTCTATCATTTCCGCCCTCAGTGCGATGATGTTGTGCCCCTTGCCGTTTTACTCTCTGTGACCGCGACCATTACCACTTCGACAATTGTCGTCCTCGTGCTTCCGTCTGTCACACGGCCAAGACCAGAACAAAGGCAGCGACCACAAAGGTTACATGGCAACAAAGAAAGCTATCATGAGGACCAGGAGCCGGACCTTGTCGAGGGCTGCCTCAGGCCTCGAGGGCTCACTACCTTCTTGTATTTCTAGAGGCCTCTGACCCCTCAAGGCGTCTTGAAAAACCGAGGATCAGCTTCTAATACCCAGAGTTGATTATTGAATTAATATTTGAACACACATCCAAGCCCTGCCGACCACACTTGTCGCACCGTCTCAACCCTTGATCTTGTCTGAAGCTTGGGAAACGTCTTTCTCAGTGTACGTGTCAAAGAAATGGCTCCCCAACTTCTGCAGCACAATGATTACACTGTGGGCTGGATCTGCGGTCTGTGGCAGGAGCAAACTGCCGCCAAAGCCATGTTGGACTGCATTCACAAGGATCTGCCACAGCCTCAGAGCGACAAGAACACGTATACCTTGGGAACTATTGCGAAGTACAACGTTGTCATAGCCTGCTTGCCTTGCGGAGAAGCTACCCACGATGCAGCAGCAGCAGCTAGCTCAGCCTGGATGGTAACCACCTTTCCATCCATCAGGTTTGGCTTGATGGTTGGTATGGGGGTAGGGATTCCTCCCAAAGTTCGTCTGGGAGATGTGGTGGTCAGTTTGCCCATAGACCAGTTTCCCGGAGTGGTTCAATGGGACATGGGTACGGCCCAACAAGACGGCTTCGAGAGAACCGGATCGCTCAACAATCCGCCTACTTTACTACTCAGAGCTATATCGAAATTAAGGAGGGACCACGACCTGGAGGGCTCCAGGATACCCGCGTTTCTTGAAGAACTGAAGACGAAATGGCCCGACATGACAAAAGGATACCTGAAACCTTACTACAACGATGCAGACTGCAACCATTTTAAGTATAATGATCAAAACATGGAAGAAGAAAAATCCTGCTCATTTTGTAATCTGGAGGAATCACTATCCAGAGAGCGCAGGGATATGCGTATTCATTATGGTCTGATTGTATCGGGTAACGAGATCATCGAGGACGCTCTGTCCAGAGATAAATTGAATAGGAGTCTTGGTGGCAATCTTCTATGTGTGGAAATGGAAGCAGCTGGACTGATGAATAACTTCCCATGTCTGGTGATTCGGGGAATTTGCGACTACGCTGACTGGCCTAGAAATAAAGTGTGGCAGAGGCATGCCGCCACTGTGGCCGCGGCATTTGCAAAGGAACTTCTAGGATATGTCCAACCGTACGAGGTTGACAGAGAGCCACCGGTATGGGAGATTGTGGGCCAAGGTTAGTAATCTGTCAACTTGGATGGATAACGTTGATCTCGATACTAGCATTCTAATGCTTCTTTAGCCCTAGAAACGTCAAGGACAACTGAGGATAAAGTGACGAACCTGGATAGACAGGAGCACTTCCAAGTCCTCGAATCGATAACGGCATTGAGTTTTGGTCCTCAACAAAACGACAACCTTCAGAAGCGCCGGGCGGGAACCGGGAAATGGCTTCTTGACTCGGACAAGTTTCGGCGGTGGATCAATGGAAGCAACCAGACCTTGTTCTGTCCAGGCATTCCCGGGGCGGGTAAGACGACGCTTTCAGCCATGGTTATCGACCATCTTGAAAAGTCTTTACAGGGTGATACTACAATTGGATTGGCTTACATCTATTTCAACTTTCGGTCCGACTATAAAGCTGGAGACTTGGTCAAAAATCTGCTGAAACAGTTGAGTCAACCGTTTTCAGCATTGCCAGACGCCGTGAAGGGCCTATACAAACGACACAAAGATAAAGTACCGGGTCCGGATTACCCAGAAATATTAGAAACCCTTCAGTCGGTGGCAACCATGTATTCAAAACTCTTTCTTGTGGTAGACGCCCTTGATGAATGCCCGACGTCCGATTGTTGCCGAGACACGTTTATTTCGGAAATACTGGCCCTTCAGGCCGCGACTGGGGCCAATATCTTTGCAACATCACGGCATGTCCCAGAAATTACAGAGAAGTTCATGGGAGCCCTATCGTTAGAGATCCGAGCTAATGATGGGGATGTACGGAAATACGTAGAGGACCACATTTCGGACATGGAGTTCCCGGTTGACACCGGCCTCAGCGAGACTATCAAGACTGTCATTGTAGAAGCAGTCGATGGCAGGTACGTGACTTCGAGGAACACAAAGGAAATCATTGACTGAAATGCGAGTAGGTTTCTACTAGCGCAGCTCTATCTTCAATCCCTTGCGGATACCATTAATCCAGCCCAAATGAAAAGGACATTAAACGAGTTTCGAGACCGCCACAAAAGAACAGGTGAGGAGGAGAAAGACGACATATTGTATAAGGCGTACAATGACGCCATGATTCGAATCAACAAGCAGGAGCCTTATTGCAAAAAGCTTGCAAAGAGGACTATATCATGGATCAGCTGCGCAAAGAGGCCACTCAAGACCAAGGAGCTCCAAGTTGCCCTTGCCGTGAACGCCGACGACACTCCGATTAACCAAGAAAACTACACGCCGATCGAGTTCATGGTCTATGTATGCGGTGGACTGGTGACGGTGGATGAAAAGAGCAACATAATCCGCCTAGTTCACCATACCACACAGGAGTACTTGGAGCAATATCTCGGCGATTGGGTTCCTGCTGCACAAGAGGACATTGCAACAACTTGCCTTAGATATCTTTCATCCGATGTCTTTGATGAGGATTTCTGCCCATCCGAAAGGTCACTGAGGTCTAAATTAGACCTAAATCCATTTTACGACTACGCAGCACGAAACTGGGGTCATCATGTTCGCGTAGCTCCAAAGGTGGACGACAGACAAGTCTTGAAATTTTTAAGAAATGAAGCCAAAGTGCGCGGTGCGCACCAGGCGATGTATCCTTCGGATTATTGGATATATGATGCCTATTCGGAAGAAAACCAAGACGATTCGAGAAAAGTGACGGGACTGCACCTAGCCGCTGATTTTGGGCTTGAAAAGATGACAAGGCTCCTGCTCGAAGAAAAACAAAACCCGCATCTTTGGGATATATTCGACATGTCTCCATTATGTTATGCCGTAAGGAGCGGGCATAAAGGAGTAGTTAGTCTCCTACTTGCCACAAAGGGTAGCTGCCCAAATCTCAACATTACAGACCAGCGAATGGTACTATCAGGGACTAGAGAGTCTGGGGAAAAGGAATCGGCCGAGACGCTTTTTGTCGTGTCCGCTCGTTACCCAGAGGTAAGGAATAGTTTCCTCCAACAAAACATACTGTCATTGGCTGCCGAATACGGACACAAGGAAGTGGTTGATGTCCTAATCAAGGCGGAAAACATCGATTTAAACTCCGAGTACTCCCCCAATCCGCTACTTTATGCGGCAGGAAAAGGGCACGTGGGAGTAGTTGAGCTCCTGCTTGATGCTGACATGAAGGGTATCGAGCCAGATAAGGCGGATCCTGTATCGGAAAGAAGACCATTGTCGTGTGCTGCGGAGCGGGGACACACCAAAGTTGTCGAGTTGCTACTCGCCACAGGAAAGCTAGACATCAACTCGGGGGATGGGTATACTAAAAGGTCACCACTCTCATGGGCAGCGGCAGACAGCTCGGCAAAGGACGTGTTGGAGTTGCTGCTAACACAGGACGGCATCAAGCCATATGCCACCGACCGTGAAGGCCGGACGCCGCTGTCGCACGCCGCGGAACGTGGAAACGTCTCAGCAGTGAGGGCACTGCTATCGAAGGGCAATTTTGACGGGATGGATGTCAATGGCCGGACGCCACTAACATACGCAGTGAAGAATGGCCAGTATACAATCGCAAAATTACTACTGGAAGAACCTAGTGTTAATCCAGATTCGAGAGATAAGGATGACCGGACACCGCTGTCGTACGCAGCCCAAGGGGGACAAGAACAAATAGTAAACATATTACTGGCAAAGGCTAACGTCGATCCAGAGAGCAGAGATAAGGATGGCCGGACGCCGTTGTCGCACGCAGCAAAATGGGGGCACGAAAAAATAATAAACATATTACTAGCAAAAGATGACGTTGATGCCGACTCGAGCGATTATTACGGCCAAACACCGCTGTCGCACGCGGTTGAAGCTGGACAAGACAAAGTAGTAGCCATGTTACTGGCAAGAAATGACGTTAGGCTAAATTCAGAACATGACAATGGCCAAACACCACTATCAATCGCGGCGAGATTTGGAAACGAAAGAATAGTAACGATGTTGCTGTCAAGAAGTGGCGTTGATCCGGACTCAAGAGATAGACATGGCTGGACGCCGCTATCGTACGCAGCACAACGTGGACGAGAAGAAATAGTAATCCAATTACTGGCAAACGATGGAGTTGACCCGAACTCAAGGGACGATACAGGTCGAACGCCACTGTCATGGGCGGCGGGAAATGGCATGGATGCCGTGGTTCAACTGCTCCTATCCACGAGCCGCGTCCACGCCGATATTCCAGATTCTGATGGTCGAACGCCGCTGTCTTGGGCAGCCGGGTCCGGTCACGCCCAGTCATTCAAGCTTTTACTCGCCAATAAATCTGTTGACGCTTGCTCTCTGGATATGAGTGGCCGTAGCGCTTTTTCGTGGGTTGCCAAAGGGCAATACAGGAACGTTACCAACACACGGCTGAGTGGGGAGTATGTTCGTGTGAATACCTTGACAAAACAAGGCAAAGAAATAGCAGAAATACTACTCGCAACGCATGGCATCGAATCCAATCTTTGGGCCACGAGCAGCGAGATGCCATCTAACGACACTTGCCGCGCAGAAAATTGGCATGAGTTGGTGGTGAGGCTACTCCTCACCGAGGATGGCGCCTTCTGCAGCCAGGAAAGAGATCAGACGCAGCATGCTACCGTGGAACAGGATTGGCGCCGGACAATGACGGCACTCTATCTCGAGAGGGGTGCCATTGATCCCAACTTTTCAGACGATGATGGCCGCACACTGTTGTGGTGGGCGGCGCAAGAAGGATTCCAGGACGTGGTACAGCTTTTGGTCGCCCAAGGCAATGTTGATGCACATGCCTCGGACTGGAGGGGGCGGACACCGCTACACCGTGCCTCGGAAAGGGGGCATGAGGGAGTTGTAAAACTGCTGCTTGCAAACGACAAGGTGGATGTGAATTCTTGGGACTCGGGTGGTCAAACACCGCTATCGCGTGCAGCTAAACACGGACATGTCACGGTGGTCAAACTACTTCTTGCTCAGAGAGGCCTAAAACCTGCCTGGATGCAAAATAGAGGCGAAGTTCCACTTGTTGTTGCAGCAGCCGAGGGACACGAGGGGAGTGTACGGCTTTTGCTTAACGAGAGTAGCGCACATCTCAATGTTATGAGCTTATACGGCGCCACTCTGTTATCCGAGGCAGCACGTAAAGGGCATCATGAGATTGTCAAGCTTCTCCTGGCAAAAAATGGGGTGGCAAGTGACTCGGAGGATTACTCGAAGCCGCTCATCGGTGCAGCAAGCAACGGACACGCACAAGTCGTCAGGCTTCTTCTGGACAAGGAGGCAGAGAGACCTGGCGATAAGCAGACCAACATGGCAGACTTACTATGGGAGTCGGCGAGTGGAGGACACACGGCCGTCGTGGAGCTTCTCCTCGCCAAAGACGGCGTTGATCTCGACGCTCAGAACAGTCAAGGTGAAACTGCTTTACATGTCGCAGCGCTAAATGGGCACTCGGAAGTGGTAAAGCTCCTCCTCGCCAGAGATGGGTTGAAAATTAATCTCAAGGACGAGGAGGGTCGGACGCCGCTGACATGCGCGATTGCTGAACGTTATGAAGAGGTTGTCGAGTTGCTGTGGACTGCCGAGTGCCAAACTGGAATCTACTCTGAAGAAAGTAGCACTTGAGGAAATGCGCGTGTTTAGGAGAAGAACGGCGTCAACAGGCGAACGAGTCCAGGGGCGAATCTAGCATTGCAGTGGACGCAGCTAGTTAACTTGGTTTAATGGATGCGGTGGTATGGGAATGTTGGCTTTATATGAATACTATGATAATACGGATCTACGACTAGGCATTAAAACTTATTTCCTAACCCTCGGATCGAATGATAACACCAAAACTTCGTACGAGTACTTGCCTAGACTCGTTAATAGTAGGTGGTAACTGAGCGAGTTGTTGGGCGACTTTGTTGCTTTGGAGGAACAGCAGAAAACTTGTACCATGGCAGGCCTAGATGCTCGTGTATTCGTCTCAGCTGCGGGAATGGGCAGGCATCAATTACTGGAAGGGGCCGATTGGGCGAGCACACCATAACTGAACAATGGTTTCACGAGGCGATGGACAATTGGAGCCGGAAATGCCACGTCCCTCGGCGAATGCGTCCGATGGGCTCAGAGTGTAGGACCATGAATGGAAATTGGCAGACACTGAATGTGGCTATGCTGCATGACCCGGCCGATTGGGTTCACCGATATCAGACCATGTATAAGCCGCTTATCTTGAGCCTATAGTAGACGGAATAAAGCACCGAATTTATTACGGTGGAGGCTACCGAGCGCAGTCTATGAATTGTCAAAGACATAGCGCATATCATTGCGAGTACAAGACCAGCCACGGCGTGTGTCAAGTCTTCAAAGCAAAGCCATGTCGGTTTGAAACGAAAAGTCCCAAGTCCAAATAAGGATGCCAGTTCAACGGGCAGGTTGGTGCAGAGTTGCATCAATACCACCTGTACTCGTGGTTACCCCATGGCTTGGCTCCAACGGACAGGCCACGAAATCCAGGATAAGCTTAACTGGGAGCTCCACGTAGACGAACATATCCAGTTCTATGCAGGGGCCAGAACAAAACATTGCACCGGTGCCAGAAGTTGTCGGCGACTTATGTGTGGAGATGGCGGCAACACGGCACCCAAGTCAGCCGTTCCATGCTCTCGCCTGGCTTGCAATAACTGGTAGAAAAATCTTAGCAACTCATTGAACCAAGACACTACGTCTTACACAACGGCCGGGGGCCCAATCAATCCGGTACATTGCGGCTGGGTTGCCCAAAGGCCAACTGAGCATGTGGATGTGGAGAGTTCAGACTTTAAATGGGAATTACTGCACTTGATAACAGAAGGAGACGGGGAAACTTAGCCTACGGCAGAGTTTTCTTATTTCCTCCATTATTATTTGTCAGGAATTGTTTGCAATGCACCTTCTTAGCCATTTAGCCATCCTGCAGGCTTACGTTTGCGTATGCTTTGCCGCAGCGTGCCCATCTCGGACCAACAATACGGCAACATCACGTAAAGACGTCGTCGCCGTCCCTGCCGTTTGGAATGGCTTTGGGTACCTTTTCAATATCTCCGTTGGAACTCCCCCGCAGCCGTTGACCGTCCTTAGCGATTGGACATGGATCTCTCTGTTTGTGCGGTCTGGACGATGCATGAACCAGTGGAACATCCCAATGTGCATTGGAAACAATGGTCAGGCCTTCTTCAACGAAAGGAAGTCTAGTACCTTTTATAACAGGTCCTTACCGCAACTCAAATGGGACATTACGGCATTCGCCCCAGACTTTACCGTGGATTACGCATCCGACACGGTTTGTGTGAGCAACATTTGCACGACCAACACTACTCTTCAAGTATCCGACCTCCCGTACGGGGGTGCTGTCATTCCCAAGGTCCCGTTTGGAGGCATCTATGGCATGGCTCCGGTGACGCCAGACGTTGCTGAATCGTTTTACACACAAAACTACCAAGCTTGGAAGGCAGGTGTATTCGGGCCCAAAGTTGGCTGGCATTCTTGCGCCTCTCTGTCGTCTAGAAAATCGTGCCTTGGCGGGGAAGCCAAATTCGTGCTTGGAGGCACAGATCAAGCCATGTATGACGCGTCCAGAATGCAGGTTTATAACATTCAGAACCCTTCATGGCTCTCGGAGGCGTTCTACCCGTATAATCCACCGAAAAGCAACTACTGGAGCACCGCCCTTACGGGAGTTTGGATCTCAGGCGAAAAAGAGTCTACCAACTTTGTTTACAATTTCTCAGGCTCAAACAATGTTTCCATGCAAACTCTGGCACTGTTAGATGAGGGCTCAGAAGGCCTGGGTGCACCATTGTCGCTGAATGCGTATAAGTGGTTGGTAAAACAAGTCAACGGCACGCTGGCCAGCAATGCCACAGTCAAAGCTATCATGGCACAAGGGTCCTCGGGCTACAACGGAGCAAGCCAAGACTGGTATACGGTTCCATGTAACAGTACAGGCAGTCGCCCGACATTGTTCTATGAGCTAGATGGACGGCAGAATTACACAATCCCGGAATCTGACTACATCATCAGACTCGAGTCCGCGGCGACTCCGGTGTGCTACCTCAATGTAAATGTTTGGAAGTATGGACGAACTAGTTCGGGGGACTCAAAAGTCCTCCTGCTGGGAGGTGCGTTTCTCAAACGACTCTATGTCCAGCTAGACTTCGAGAATCTCGCATTTGGGCTTGCTCCCCTCAAGAAGCATTAGGTTTCAGGATATCAAGCCCGCGGGTGATCAACTGGCAAAAGTAGGATCGTTTATTCGATTTTTCCAGTTTTTCTTTTGTATTTGTAGTGTTTGAAGTAGTGCACAAAAGATTATATCTCGAAACCTTAAACATTTCTATAAGTCGGCCACGCGATGCTATTGGAAAGGCTCTGTTCAATCTGCTGTTTATACCGTTGATGATGAAATGCTATATATGTTCCGGAGAATCTCAGACGAGTACTGAAGAAAAGAAAATGAGTCCATATGTAGTAGGAGTAATCAACTTAGCTAATTTGACAACTGTCAACTGGGCCCAGAGAACAAACCTTAAACTCCAGCTCCGTTTACTACTCGTCGGTGCATCCGTTCTTGGTTCATCACTATCTCTACGTACATATGTACTCTCTTAGGTAAATAGGGCTATTGATTCCCCTCACGGCCAGGAGGCTCATTGAAGTCTCGTTTGACGACTCAAGCTCAACGACTAAGTGATAGAAACTATATATGACATCATCCGTCTACCCTTTGCAATCCACATTCAGACCTTTAGAGTCTCAAATGCGTATATCGCCGCTCAACAGGTTAGCCCAGTACGCCTGGCCGTAATCAAGTTTGGTGGTCCAAAGACGGATTCCATGTCAGTCGTACCGATAACCCGCAAATACCAGGTCGTCGTCTTGGGGAACTCTTTGCGCATTGGCTCATCGATGATGTGCATAAACGCCCACACAAGAGCCGACGCAGCCGTCAAGTCAGCCAGGGTCAGTTGCGGACCAACCAACCACTCCTTATTCTTCAAATGACCTTCCAGAATACTCAGACTACGCTCGAGTTTATCGAGAGCCTTGCACTCCGTACTTTCTTCAAATGGGCACATGCCAACTCTCCACATCACAAGCTCGAGTACGGCTTGGTAGATCTCTCCTTCTGTAAAGCTCACCCACTGTTGAATCTGTGCGGATGTCGCTGCATCGGAGCCAGGTAGCTGGGAAGAAAACGGTCCGGAAGCAGCAACGTATCGCGCGATAGCGTCCGATTCAAAAAGGCATAGACCGTCCACGCCCTCGAAGGCAGGGACTTTACCCAAAGGGAATTTCTCCAAAAACTCGGCGGATTTGTTCGTTACCATGTGCTGGTAGTCTGCGACCTCAATGTCAAGATTGTTCAACTTGGCAGCTGCCATGATCTAGATCCCGTGGTTAATTCATCGCTGTGTCAAATTTGGCTGACATGGCTTTGATGTGACTCAAAGAGCTGACCTTGAAAACTCGGCCATTTGGCATGAACGAGGAGATTTTTCCAAATGGCGCCATTATAACAAAGTGCTGAAGATTGTCCAAAACAGACTGTTCATTGGCCAAGACAAGTGCAAGTTCCGTGTGCCGGGGATGCATATATGCTCGCCAAGATGGTCTTGTTCGGCGACTTACATTCGGGCCTGGGCCGAGAGACGTTCGTGTTCCCAATGGACTATCGAAAGACAATCTGACGCCTCTGCCCACAAATCCAATATATGTCTTTGCTAGGCCGGTTGTGGAGTCACAAAAATAAGACCCGTGTAAGCTTACAGAGTGTGTAGTATTCGGCATTACAGCCATGCGTCCATCATCTCCAGTTCAGCACTATTGTAAATCCATGTAAATTTCGATGCGAGACTAGCGGTTTTATTTTGATCGGTCTTGAAAATGCATTAAAACCTATTCATTGAAAGAGCGAAAGAGCGCAAAAATATTTCTCTCCAGAGTCTTTAACTTGTAATATAGTAGACAACATCAATATACAGGACCTACACCTTGTTGATCAAGTTCTCCCGCTCAATCCCAAACGTCTTGTCCAACCAGGCAAACATTTCGTAGTGAACGAGTGCAAGAGCTCCTATTTTCGCTTGTAAACCACCTCCCTTGACCCCATTTCCAATCCAAAGTCGCTTTTGAGTGTCGCTGAGACAAGTCAATCCCTCCATAATCTTGTGTGCATTTTGATCTGGAGTGAAGTAGAAAGAGTCCGCCGCACCAGTAACAAGCGTCGGGCACTTTATGTTGGATAAGACTGCGTTTTTTGTACTGTTTAGAGTAAACTTTTGCATGAATCTCAAGACATCGGCCGGAGTGTCGACGCCGTACACCCACTTGCTGTGCCCAAATTCCCAGGCCAGTTGGAAATTCACCCTTTCAAGACACCCAATGACCCAATTGACGAATTTGTCACTCAGCCAGCCGCTCAGCCAGCCATTGATAAACCAAGCCGGCATACGGCTCTTCGTAATGTCAAACAAGTCGAAGGGGCCGTCCACCGTAATGCAGGCCTTAATCCGGGCATCTGTTGCAGCCCGTAGAGACAGATATCCGCCTAGAGAAGCTCCAAAGACAGAGAGCCGATCCAGGTCCAAGTCATACTCTGACGACAACTTGTCAACCACAAAGTCCAAGACCTGTCCTGTGACATGCTCCCAGTCTGGTCGGAGGTACAGCTTCTTTTCGCGGAGAGCTCGACCTTGGCCTGGGCCGTCAAAGGTCAGAACAGCATACCCGCGCGGCAATGCACCAGCGGCGCCGTAAAAGTACAACTCTTCCTGGGTAGAGTCGAAGCCACCTGTTTGGACAACCAATGGCAACTTTTGGGTGACTCTGTGTTTTGTTGAAGGAAGATACAGCCTCCCCGGGAGAGTCTTGTCATTGTCGTACGGAATCTCTACCTCTCGAACCTCCGCGTCAAGCAGCACCCAGCCTTTATTGAAAGCCTCGACACTCGCCCGAGACGCAACGAGAATTCGAGGGTCGTTTGGCGTGCAATGAAGCAAGAATTCACTGGCGCGGAAGTAATTGGCAGATCGGATGTATGCCCAACTCGCTGCTGTCTTGTCGCCCGTCTTTGCTGCGTCCTCAGCCTGGGAAAGTACTTCCTGTCCTATATCCCACCAGGCTTGATACCAGGTTTCCGGGTCGCCGTCCTTGATCCTAGACGCTGTTTCGAGACATTCGCCAACTTCGGCCCCGTAGTATGGGACGGTTCCGAGAAGGCGAAGGAACTCAAAGTTGAAGAAGGTGGAAGGGAAGACTTGACGCATTTGGACCACACGTGCGCAATCTAATGGATTAGAAGAAAAGTAGGAGAACGAGGCGTCAAGGTCTTGCTGAATGTGTATCCTATAACTCTTCTTTCTCTTTACGGAGTTTACATGAACTATCCAGGAGTTGTGTGCACCGGGGGCACTTTGAGTCTTTCGGCGACTTTCCGACTTTCGGCGTGATACGACAACACCGATAGATCATGGTTACTTGACGTTAGATTCTAGAAACGCCAATTTATAGTTACTCCCGTGCTTCCCTTGTCGCGATCATGATGTATTACTCAATAGGTCATTCGTCCACGACAAGCAGGTAGCTCAACCACTTTCCACCTATTACACATCACTCGTTTACACCTTACCACCCCTCTTGCATATGAATACTTCTTTTCAATACAACCTTTGTCAAAATGTCACAAAATAGCCTTGTCCGGGAACCAATAGCGGTGGTTGGTGTTGCCTGCCGCTTCCCAGGGGAAGCAACCAGCCCATCAAAACTCTGGGACCTGGTTTGCGAGAAGAGAGACGTCCAGAAGCCCATATCATCAGATAGATTCAATTCTGATGCATTCTACAACAGTAATGGAGAAGCTAGTGGCTGCACGGACGTGAAAAGGGCTTATCTGCTCTCCGAGGATATACGGCTATTCGACGCCTCTTTCTTCAGAACCAATGCACTGGAGGCAGAGGCTATGGATCCACAACAGAGGTTGTTGCTTGAGACGGTGTATGAAGCCATTGAGTCGGCCGGACTTCCGTTGGAAGATCTCAAGGGGTCGGATACGGCCGTGTATGTCGGCAGCATGACGGGCGACTATCACGAGATGCTTCTGCGTGACCCGCAGGACATGCCCAAATACATGGCAACGGGAACGGCTCGAAGCATACTATCAAATCGGTTGTCCTACTTCTTCGACTGGAAAGGTCCCTCTATGACGATTGACACAGCGTGCTCATCAAGTCTGGTTGCTGTTCATGAAGCAGTCACAGCCTTGCGACTGGGTGTATCGACAATAGCTTGTGCCGCTGGAGCCAACTTGATACTTGGCCCTGAGATGATGATATCCGAGTCTAATCTGCATATGCTGTCTCCAACAGGACGTAGCAGAATGTGGGATGCTTCAGCAAACGGCTACGGCCGAGGTGAAGGAACTGCCGCAGTCATAATGAAGACGCTGTCGCAGGCGTTGAAGGATGGGGATTACATCCATGGAATCATCAGAGAAACCGGAGTCAATTCAGACGGTCACACGAATGGCATCACGTTGCCTAGCTCAGAATCACAAACGGCTTTGATAAGACAGACGTACAAGGCGGCCGGTATTGATCTCGCATTGGAGCGGTGCCAGTTTTTCGAGGCTCATGGAACCGGAACGCCAGCTGGCGATCCGATCGAAGCTCGCGCTATATACGAAGCCTTTTTCAACGGTGAGGGGTCCACCTGCGATACTGCAGGCAATATATATGTCGGATCTGTCAAGAGTACAATCGGACATTTGGAGGGTTGTGCCGGTCTGGCTGGGCTCATCAAGGCCATGGAGGCTGTGCGAAGGGGGACTATTCCACCCAACATGGGTTTCCAGAGACTGAATCCCAAAATTGAACGTTTCTCGAAAAATTTGATTGTTCCCACCGAAGCTCTCCCATGGCCCGAGTTGCCAGAGGGGACACCGCGTCGAGCCAGCGTCAACTCTTTTGGCTTTGGAGGAACAAACGCACACGCCATCATCGAAAACTTTGAGACAGCTCAACATGTTCAATCTCCTCGTGATATTATCGTCACCCCTGTTGTTCTGTCGGCCAACTCGGAAAAATCCCTCCGAGAACAGGCTATTCAGCTCAATGCCGCCATGCAACTGGCGGATGAGAGTCGCCTGCGCGACATCATGTACACGTTATCCAACAGACGATCACAGCTACCATTAAGGACATTCTTTGTAGGAAACTCGGCTGAAGAAGTCAAGAAGAGCGCCAACGATGCCCTAGCGGAGGATGGTACGTTTACAGTACACAAGGATGAGAAGCCCTCCCATCAGCCCAGCAGAATACTTGGAGTCTTCACCGGACAGGGTGCGCAGTGGCCAACAATGGGCCGTGAAATCCTGAAAGAGTCCAAGTTTGCTCAGAAAGTTGTCAAGACACTGGAGCAATCGCTGGCAAGTCTCCCAGAGCCTCCTACATGGACGCTCTCGGAGCAAATATTTGCTGATGCTGCTGCATCTCGCCTTAGCGAGGCAGAAGTATCACAACCCCTATGCACTGCCGTGCAGTTGATGCTGGTAGAGATGCTTCGATCCGCCGGGATTCAATTCAGCTGCGTTATTGGACACTCATCAGGCGAGATTGCGGCCGCGTACTGTGCTGGATTCCTTTCCGCCGAGGATGCCATTCGTGTGGCGTACTACCGCGGTGTTTGTGCAAAGCTTGCAGAGGGCAGCAATGGCAAATCCGGCGCCATGATGGCAATTGGACTGTCTTATGAAGAAGCTCTGCAGTTTTGCAACAATGAGTTTAGTTCCAGACTTGATGTCGCGGCTAGCAATGCGCCAGCCAGCACGACCATCTCGGGAGACGAGGATGCCATCCAGGAAGCCAAGGCTCTCTTGGACCAGAGGAACGTATTCGCCCGTGTGTTAAAGGTCGACACAGCCTACCATTCTCACCACATGCTTCCTTGTGCTGGTCCCTACTCAAGTCTACTGAAAGAGTGCGGCGTCCGGACCTTGTCGGGTAACCCTGCTTGCGAATGGTATTCGAGCGTTGTTTGCGAACGTATCGACGGCGCTAGGCATGACGGGATTCTAGGAGCCGAGTATTGGAGAGACAATATGGTCAATGCGGTCAAGTTTTCTTCTGCGGCTGAGTTGGCGATGCAAAGCGGTGAACACTTTGATGTGGTATTGGAAGTCGGACCTCATCCTGCGCTCAAGGGGCCTTTTGAGCAAACTGCCAAACAAGTATCCGACTCTACACCACCATATCAGGCAACCTTGATGCGAAATATCCATGATATTGATGCCCTGAGCAAAACTATGGGATTTCTCTGGTCCAGATTAGGCAAATCTGCGGTTGACTTTTCGGCATATGCAGCCTGCTTCGATGTGTTGCCTGGACGAATGGCGGACAACATGCCTACATATCCCTGGGATCACGGACAATCGTTCTGGAAGGAGTCAAGGAAGTCGGCCAACTTTCGACTTCGTACCCATCCTCCTCACCCGCTTCTTGGTGTCCGCTCTTCTGAAGATATGGGCCCCGAAATGAGATGGCTCAACATCTTACGCTTGAACGAGATTCCTTGGCTCGAGGGGCACAAGGTCCAGGGCCAGGTCATCTATCCGGCTGCTGCGTACCTCGTCATGGCGATGGAAGCTGCCAAGGCTATTGATGAGACCAAGTTGGTTCAACTGGTAGAACTGTATGATGTGCGAATTCTCAGTGCTATTCAACTAGCTCAGAGTTCTCAAGGAGTCGAGATTTCGTTCTCTCTCAAGATCACCGAAAAGGACGACAACAGCAGCGTTGCTGAATGGGCTTGCTATACCTCCAGTTCTACGAATAACGCCAACTGGAAGTGCCACGCCAAAGGACATGTTCGCGTTGAATTTGCAATGCCTGTGGACGGGCATCTGCCGCCCAGAAACCCTCCCGACGTGTCGTTAAGTACACTAGACATGGATCGGTTCTACGAGTGCTTGGCCGATATTGGCCTCCAGTATTCTCTCGAATTCAGAAGCTTATCTAGTGTTCAGAGGCGCCTTGGATATGCGACGGCGAGCGTGTCGCACATCGCCACTGACTTTGGCGCCATCATCCACCCTGCTTTACTAGACTCTTCCTTTCAGTCTCTGTTCGCGGCATATTGCTGGCCAGGAGATGAAACTCTCAACTGCCCATTCGTACCCACGTACCTCAAAAGACTTCGAATCCTCAACATCGGGGTGCCCGAGGGCGAGCCACTCGTTATTGACTCCTATTTGACCAGTGTCAACGTTTCAGACATCACCTGCGACATTGACATTGCACTCACGGACAAGAACAAACCATTTGTGCAGCTCGAGGGTCTCACTTGCACTTCACTCCTCCGTCACGACCCCAAAAACTCCAAGGAGCTATACACCCGGACTGAGTGGGAAGTTGACGTCCACAGTGAGATTCGTACTTTGGAGGTTGCTCAATCAGATGAGCAGCAGAACCTGGAGCTGGTTGACCTCTGCGAGCGCTTTGCTTACTACTACTTGAGAAATCTGGATAAAGTTGTTCAACGGAAGGAGGTTGAAACAATGGAGTGGCATTATCAGCGCGTCTTCGAGTGGATCGACTATTTGTTTCCGATGATAGAAATGGGCAAACATCCCACAATCAAGCCCGAATGGTCCAAAGATCAACTTCCATGGCTGTTGGAGCAGAAATCCCAGTATCCCGACCAAATTGACCTCATGTTGATCCAGGCAGTCGGCGAGAACCTTCCGGCTGTGGTTCGCAAGCAAACCACGATGCTCGAGCACATGGTCAAGGACGACGTCTTGAACAGGTTTTATAAAGAAGGCCTCGGGTTCCAAAGAGCAAACGGCTACATGTCGCGCATTTCACGACAGATTGCGCATCGGTATCCTCGGATGAACATTCTTGAGATTGGCGCCGGAACCGGAGGAGCGACCAAGGGAATTCTCCAGTCGCTCGGCAGCACCTTTGGCACTTATACCTTTACAGACGTTTCTACTGGATTTTTTGAGGCCGCTGCAGAGCAATTCAGTCCGTGGGCTGACAAGATGATCTTCAAGGCCCTCAACATCGAGAATAGCCCGACAGAGCAAGGATATAGCGAAGCGTCATACGATCTAATCATTGCCTCCAACGTTCTTCACGCAACCAAGACGCTCTCAGAAACTATGAGCAACGTCCGTCGGCTACTGAAGCCGGGTGGATTTTTGTTGCTTCTAGAAGTCACCAGTGACATTGTTCGAGTGAAGATGATGATGTCGGGCTTGTCTGGCTGGTGGCTAGGTGGTGATGACGGCCGACGACACGGTCCAACCATCACCGTTCCGGAGTGGGATACGCTGCTTCGCTCAACGGGATTCTCGGGAGTGGACAATACTTTCAACGACTTTAACCACAGCTCCAAATACATGACGTCTGTGATGCTTTCGCAGGCTGTGGATGAGAGGGTCCAGTTCCTCCGCCAGCCACTCTCCAGCCGAGGAGATTCGACCATGGCCGATTCTCTGACCATTGTCGGTGGCACCCAGGGCAACGTGTCAAATATCATTGCTAGACATCTTGCTGATTGCCATCCTCGGCTGGTTGTTCAATGTGTGGCAGGTTTCGAGGACTTCGCGTCCCCCCTCAACAGCACGGCCATGAAATCGCTTTTGGTTCTGCAGGATCTGCATGAGCCTGTTCTTCAAAACCTGGCTTCATCTACGCTAGTCGGTCTTCAGAAAGCAATTAATCAGTGCCGGCAAGTTCTGTGGGTGTCGAGCGGCTGTCGCAAGGATAACCCGTTTGCAAATATGTCTGTTGGCCTGTGTCGCAGCTTGTCCTCGGAATACCCCCATATCAGGATTCAGCATATCGATGTCGAGACTCGCCTTGATCAGGGTACCGTGCACTGCATTTCCGAAGCAGCGCTTAGGCTTTTGCACTGGGAAAAATTGTCTGCCGACACTCTCTGGTCGTTTGAGCCCGAGTTGATCCTGGAGGATACAAAGTGGTATATTCCTCGACTCGTGCCAGATGAAAAGCTGAACCAGCGACTTACTTCCACCAAGATGGCTGTCCAGGTCGACACGTCTCTCAAAGAAAGTACAGTTGAGATTTTTTCTGAAGCATCAAAATACCTAGTCACCCAGTCTGTGCCTTGCATCGAAGCCGAACAACAGACGCCACTGTCAACCATCAATGTGACCAAGGCACTTCTCCATCCTGTCGCCACAGAATGCCATAAAGACTATTTCCTGTGCTACGGATACAGGGGTAGCTGTCTGGATATTCCTGTCTTGGCCTTGACCACTGCTAATGCTTCCTCTGTTTCTGTTCCGGAGCACTTTGTATTCGACTTGCCAGCGGTCGTGGCCGACGGCGCTGCGGTTTTGCAACGAGCAGCATTTTCGGTGCTCGCTGAGCAGGTGCTTGAGGACGTTGATACACCTGGAACAATCTTTCTGCATAATGAAGATCAGCGCTTCTCTTTAGTTGTCCGTCTGGCTGCAGCCAAGCTGGGGTTGAGGTGCATTGCTACGACGTCTCAGGAACCAGCATCTTCTACCAGTCAATCAATATTCATTCACCCTCATTCCTCACATCGAGTATTGAAGGCCTTGATTCCTCAAAACACAAAGAGTTTCATTGACTTTTCAACTGATGGGGTAGACCAATCTCGCTTCCGAGATTGCCTCCCTCCAACATGCCGATTCTACGCACTGAACCACATGGTTGCGACGGGCAGCAACGTTTCTGGCATTTCCGTCCCACAAGCCATCAAGGCTTTAACCTCTCCCTTGGATTCTTGTCTCTTAAATACTGTGAATCAAGTCAGCATCTCTGAGCTTCATGGCCAGGCTGCTGCCAGATTCCCCTACGGAACTGTGGTTGACTTCGTCGTTGAGTCGACGATCGCCAGAGTACCTCCGTTGCAGTCGACCAGGCTGTTCCGTTGCGATAAGACGTATCTTCTCGCCGGATGCACCGGTGGTCTTGGCAAGGCGCTGTGCAGATGGATGGTAGCTTCTGGCGTGCGGCATCTGGCGCTGACGACACGAAATATCAGCGCTGTGGACGAGGTGTGGGTTAGAGAAATTGAGCGCGCCGGCGCGTGTCTCAAGCTCTACCAGGTTGATGTGAGTGATATTAATGCCTTGCAAGCCGTATATGAAGATATTGGACGCAACATGCCGCCGGTTGTCGGTGTCGCCAATGCTGCCATGGTACTCTCCGATAAGTCCTTCGGTGAGCTGAAGACGGACAACTTTGACATTGTGTTTGGACCCAAGGTCCGTGGAACTCAGAACCTTCATGATATCTTCAAGGGTCAGGCTTTGGACTTCTTTATCATGTTTTCTTCCCTTGCCAGTGTTGTTGGTAATCGAGGCCAGTCCAACTACGCCGCTGCCAACCTGTTTATGACCACGATTGCCGAGCAGCGCAGAGCAAGCAATCTGGCCGCTTCCGTTATTCACATTGGCATGGTCCTCGGTGTTGGTTATGTTTCTTCCACGGGCACGTATGAGAACACTTTGCGACAGTATAACTACATGCCCATCTCCGAGTCCGACTTCCTCAACATGTTCTCTCAAGCCATCTTAATCGGACACCCGAAGTCCAATCACCCGTGCGAACTAATCACTGGCCTTAATCGATACAGCCTCAATTCCGATGCCCAGCAGTACTTTTGGCATGAGAACATGCGGTTCAGTCATCATTACATCGAAGAAGAACAGCGAAAAGTCTCAACGGCCACCAGAACCTCTGTATCTGAGCGCCTGGAGGATGCTCGGGGGGGCGAAGAAATTCTAGCTGTGATTGAAGAAGAATTCTGCACAAAGCTGGAGCGCATGCTCCAAGCTGAAGCTGGCACCATCAAAGCTTCCCAGTCTCTCGCGAACCTTGGGGTGGACTCCTTGGTAGCAGTTGAAATCCGATCTTGGTTCTTCAAAGAAGCTGACGTGGACATCCCAGTATTGGACGTCCTCAATACTGGTACTATTTCGGAGCTTTGCGAACGGGCTGCGCAAAGCGTTGCGGCCGCTCAGTTGTCTGATGCTGAAGAGTGTGGCAAAACGGACGATAAGGTATGTTACTCTCGGGATATGTTGAAGAGTACTAACTAATCTCTCTGTGATGTAGTCTCCCACTCTGTTGTCGGCAAATATACCAGCCAGCAACCAATCCACTGCGGCAAACACATCTGTTCCGCATTCTCTTTTTGAAGAGTCGTCTCGAGGGGGTAGTGAGACTCCAAGTGAGGATATGGGTAGTTCCGATATTAGCTTACCCTCGAGACGCGACTTCGAATTTGAACGGTGCGGTCGACTGTCGTTCGCCCAAGAGCGACTGTGGTTTCTACAGAAATACCTCCAAGATCCTACGACCTACAATGTCACTATGGCTTACAAGATTTCTGGCCCGCTACGACGGAGAGACTTTGAGGATGCCTTCGAAAAGGTCATCCAGCGTCATGCATCTTTGCGTACCGGTTTTTACGTCGATGCTGATACTAGTCTCCCAATGCAGCGCGTTTACAAATACCCCCATTTCCGTTTCACACACAAAGAAGGCGCTGATTATGAGGAGGAGTATCACAATATGCAGAAGATGCGGTATGATTTGGAGAGCGGTGACGTTATAAGTGCCACGATTATAAGGTACACTGACCAAGAGCACGTTTTTATTCTCGGCTTCCACCACGTTGCCATGGATGGATTTAGCGCCCAAATTCTCGTCAAGGATTTAATTCGCGCCTATGGAGGACTCACGATATCCTCAGGTTGCAATGAATACCTGGACTACGCTATCCATCAGCGAGATGCTGGTGTCCCCGTTGAGGTCAGCAAGTTTTGGATGTCCGAGTTCAACACTCTGCCTCCGGTTCTTCCCCTTTTCGACTTTGCCGAATGTAAAACTCGCACACCTCTTCTTGACTACAAGACCAAAGCGGTCGAAAGGACAGTTCCCATGACGGTGTCTTCCAAAGTGAAAATCCTGGCACGGCAACTTGGTGCCACGCCATTCCACATCTACTTGGCTGCTCTGCAGGCACTGTTGTACGATTTAAACTCCAACAAAGATATTTGTATCGGTATCACGGACGCGAATAAAACCGATCCTGCCTATCTAGATACCATCGGTTTCTTTGTCAATCTTGTGCCTATTCGGTTCCATATTGATGAATCTGAGGCAGTCTCGGAGCTTGTAGCTAAATCGAAGAAAACAGCCACCAATGCCTTGTCAAACTCGATGCCTTTTGACGTTCTGTTGGACAATCTGCAGGTTCCTCGTTCCACAACTCACAGCCCACTATTCCAAGTCATCCTGAACTACAAGATGGGATCAACACAAACGGTTCGTTTTGAAGACTGCCAAGCGGAAATCTTAAGATTCCAGGATGCGAGCAACGCGTTTGATTTGGCTTTTGACATTGAAAACTTCCCCGACGGCTCCGCCTCCATTTCTCTCAAAACTCAGGCATACATGTACACTGACTTGGAGCTGCGGTTCATTCTTGACAGCTACATTCGCATCTTGAGTTCGTTCGTGTCAAATCCTCTGCAGAAGCTTCATGAGGTAACTGCACTGTCAGAAGACGAAAAGGAGAAATCTCTGCAACTCGGGAGAGGCAGGCAACTCCCAGACCCGAAGCTCGAAACGGTCGCCCACTTCTTTGAGGACTGGGCTTTAACTCAGCCACTCAAGATTGCGCTTCGAGAAGATTCCGGAGCCGAGTTCACTTACAGGCAGATTCAGTCTATTGTGAACGCCTTTGCTGAAACGCTACATGGTGCTGGTCTTGGCCCAGGCTCAAAGGTGTGCGTCTATTGCGAGCCGGGTACTCATATCCTCGCTGCTCTGTTGGCAATTTCCAAGATTGGGGGAATTTACATTCCTCTCGACCCGCAGAATCCTACTGAGCGCCTGCAGCTCATTGTCAACGACTGCGAACCGGACGCAATACTTTGCGACGATGTTACGAGCACTCTGGCATCGCTTCTGAAGTCGGCAGGAAAGTCGATCAACGTTACCGACATTGATACAAGTGCTACTACTACATGTATCCCTGACTGGAACAAGGCCAAGGGTGATTCTGCGGCATTCGTATTCTACACCAGCGGCACTACGGGCGTGCCCAAGGGAATCGCCTTGACGCACTCGAATGTCGTACATCACATCAACTCCATCATCAACTTTTACAGCATCAAGAGGGGTGTCGTCCTTCAGCAAGCCCCCCTTGGATTTGACATGTCGCTTACGCAAATGGCTCTGACCATGATGACGGGGGGCACCCTGGTTGTTGCGTCTAGTGCGACAAGAAGAGATCCCAGCCAGATTGCCAGTTTGATGTACGCAAACAAGGTAACGCATACATTTATGACACCCACGCTAGCCCTAGCTCTCATCCGCCACGGTTACGATGCCTTGGCGCGATGTTCCGACTGGGAGTTTTCATTGCTTTCCGGCGAGGCATTCCGAGCCCACATCGTTCACGAGTTCAGACGCCTCGGACTTGCTGGTTTGAAGCTCTACAACGGGTACGGGCCGACGGAGATTACGATCAACAGCAGCAGTGGTATGGATGAGCTTGACGAAGCGGCCCCCCGAGACACACAGAACCCATCCATCGGAGTCACATTGCCCAACTACACCAACTACATACTGGATAGGAATATGCAACCAGTGCGCATTGGCAAGGCTGGTGAGCTGTTTGTGGGCGGAGCCGGCATCGCCCTGGGTTACTTGAGAAGAGATAAACTCAACAAGGAAAAGTTCCTGCCCGATCCGTTTGCCAGCGCGGATAACCGAGCTCGAGGCTGGTGCCGCATGTATCGGACGGGAGACAAGGCCAAGTTTCTGCCTGACGGGCGAATCGTTTTCCTCGGTCGCATCCAAGGCGATTCTCAGATCAAGCTGCGGGGATTCCGAATCGAACTCGAGGACATTTCCAACACCATCATCAAGAGTTCTCATGGAAATATCACAGAGGCCGGGATTTCTCTGCGCCGGAACGGAAACGGATCCGATGATGAGTCGTTCTTGGTCGCATTTGCTGTGGTATCACACTCCTTTGACCACCCGGAACCGTCGGCATTCTTCAAGAAACTGCTGAATGATCTGCAACTACCAAGGTACATGATTCCTGCCAAGATTGTACCGGTGGACCGACTGCCAATGAGCTCTTCCGGCAAACTAGATCAACATGTGCTCGACAGTCTTCCCGTGCCCAAAGAAGAAGAGAGCAACCGGTGCCCCTTGACAGATACGCAGGAGAGGCTCAAGAAGCTCTGGGTGGAAGCCCTTCCGCCGATTGGAGCAACTGCCGCTATCGACCAAGATGTTGATTTCTTCCAGGTTGGTGGAAACTCGCTGCGAATCATTCTGCTGAGAGAATCCATCAGAAGGGAGTTTTGTGTCTCGGTGTCTGTCTTCGATCTCTTCGCAAACAGCACCCTGGGAAGAATGGCTGCTCGGATTGGCGAGTCTACCGATACTACTACAAGCCCCGAAACTATTGACTGGAACACGGAGACTCTCTTTGATGTCCCCGTCATCGAAACGTGCGAGGACGATAGTTATAAACAACATAGGGCTACATCTGATGGGCTTGAGATCATTCTTACTGGAGCTACCGGATTCCTGGGGTCTGCCATTCTCGCATCCCTTGTCCAAGATGCCAGGATATCCAAGGTGCACTGCGTGGCTATCCGACAACCCCTAAAGAGTCTCACGGCGGAACAGCCAATCTTCAAATCTCCTCGCGTGAGCTGCTATGCCGGTGACCTATCTCTGCCGCGTCTCGGACTATCTACTTCTGACTTCACCCAACTGTCCGCCAATGCTGACAAGATCATCCACAACGGAGCCGATGTTTCATTCTTGAAATCGTACCGATCCCTACGAGCCATCAATGTGGGTTCGACCAAGGAGATTGTCCGCATGGCAGCTCTGCACCGCATTCCGATCCATTTCATCTCTACCGGAGGCCTGGCCAACTTGACAAACCTGGATGGCCTGCCCCAAGTTTCCGTCTCGTCGTTCACGCCTCCGGTAGATGGCTCGCAGGGCTACATTGCCACCAAGTGGGCATCCGAAGTCTACTTGGAAAACGTCGTGACACGCTTAGGAATTCCGGTTTGGATCCATCGCCCATCAAACATTACCGGCGTCCGCTCTCCCTCTGGAGACTTGATGCAGATAATCTTCAAATACTCGGAAAAAATCAAGGCCTTGCCGGAAATTGACGGCTGGAAAGGGTGCTTTGACTTTGTGCCTGTTGAAACGGTAGCCCGGGGAATCGTTTGCGCAATCCACGAAACCGGGCTGCAGCAGGGTATGAGTCCAATTTACCGCCACCACTGCGGCCGTGACAAGATTCCAGTCGCTGGCATCAGAGAGCACTTGGAAACAAAGGTGGGAGCTCGAATCGACAGTGTCGGAATTGAGGAGTGGTTGAGCCGAGCTCAAAGTGTCGGGCTGGACGACACGGCAGCTGCTCTCGTCAGTAGCACCTTTGCTCAAAGCAGCATCAAGACTGTTCCTTGGCTAAGAAGTGGTGACTAAATCGACGTTGGGAAGATGTCCTGACTAGTTTTTGTTGTTTTTTGGCGTCCTGGGGTGTTTTAGAAAAGATGGTATGGGGAATTCGGAGTTGATGTTTCTCGCACAAGGACCTTGAGTTGGTTGGATAAAATTATGAGATGTAGTTTCATTTGAATCAATTGAATATAAAATATTAAATTATAAAAAAATAAAAGAAAACGTCTAAGTAGTCTCACGGAGCCACTGGCAACACAATCAATAAGCCGTGTCAGGCTCTGATGACAGGAAGTCGCATTAGAAAAACACCAGACTGAATGGATCGAGATGCGTTAAACGCACCAGCTCAGGTGGTGATTCATGACCGCACGCGCCGGCGACAGCCATTTGACGGCCTCGGCCACTCGAAGCGTAGAACAGAATATGAATATAAAATATGAAATGAAAGATCCCTACAAGACATGTCTAGGGAAATGTAGAGTGCACATTTGAAACAAATAGGGAGATGGAGCCCTACCCTATAGTCCCATGTCAGTCCAACCAGACTCGTTGGATCATCGGCAGATGAGGTTTGGCGAGGAGCATAATCCATAGACCAAAGAAATTAGACAACTTGAATTCATAGGAGATGGTACAAGACCCGAAATCCAAATAACATGATTCGCATGTGCCTCTCAGCTAATGACATAGAGTCTTTCCCGCCGCCACCATGAATGCCCCCCACGCCAGCAAGTCGACAGTCAAAGTCCGAACATTATTCACACGGAGCCACTCATCCAGGCAGTCGTTGGCATCCGTCTGCTCCTTCCCGTCCATCATGTCTCTGACACTGGGCGCAATCAGCGGCACGAATAGCAAATGACTTGCGGCGGCGATTGTCCCAGCAGCGTACCACCAAAACGACTGGCGAGATTGCAGCACGGAACGCTGTGCGAAAAGGTTGCCGACGCCGCTCCAGGTCGATACGCCAATGGCGCCAACCACAAAGGGCAGACCGCGGTAAAAAAAGGTGTTAAAGTACGACTGCAGCAGGGGTTTGCTTTTGGCCCGGTTCTCGGGTCGGTTCATGATGCCCAGGAAGAATGTTTGGTCCCAGCCAAAGAGCAGGGTGCACGTCGATGAGACGAGAGGCAGCGCCCGCAACGCCACCAAGGGGTCGAAAAAGGCTCCCGAAGCCATTCTTGTCCGTCTATGACTAGATTTTCTTGCGTTGGTCGAAATGGTGCAGAAGAAAAGGGGCGGCAGAGAGTGCGGCAATTTGTTGTCGATTGGACAGATTGTGCAATCCCATGGTTTCGGCGCATTGTGTTCGGCGACTTTCGGAGTCAGACTTGACAGTATATTGTCAGCAGTCTGGCGACTGGACTACATGCTCTTCCACCCAGGACATCATGTTTCTCCATACTTTGCCAAGAGGGCCCAGATGCATCACGACACCATGGCGACTGATATCGATGTCCTCGCGGGCGGCGCAACCGTCGACGCTGGGTCGCAAACGAACAAGAAAGGACTCAAGTTCTGGCTAGTTTTTGCAGCCATTTCTCTCACAACCTTTCTCGCGGCTCTCGACACATCCATCATCTCAACTGCGCTGCCTACCATTGCGGCCGACCTTGGGTCCGAGAGCTTGTATGTGTGGATCATAGATTCGTATCTGCTGGCCTCGACCGCTACGATTCCCATATTTGCCCAGGCTGCCAACATCTACGGGCGACGCAGCCTCATACTCATTTCCGTGCTGCTCTTTGCGCTTGGAAGCGGCCTCTGTGGCGGCGCGTCCAACAATGCCATGATGATTGGTGGACGATCAGTCCAGGGCGTGGGCGGCGGCGGCATTCTGACCATGTCGGAGATCATCGTCTGTGATCTCGTCTCCATTCGCGAGAGGGGCCTTTATGCCGGTATTATCGGAGGCATCTGGGCTATTGCTTCCGTCATTGCTCCAATAATAGGCGGCGCGTTTGCACAAAACATCACCTGGCGCTGGATCTTCTACATCAATCTACCCATTTCTGGCGTCTCCATCATTGCTCTGGCGCTGTTCCTCCAGCTACGCCGGCCTCCTGCTGGCACCATCAAGAGCCAAATTGCGCGAATAGACTGGGGCGGTAGTTTTCTGCTCATAACGTCCATTACGGCCATCATTCTGGCTCTTAGCTGGGGAGGTTCGACCAACCCGTGGTCTTCTTGGAGGACCATCGTCCCTCTTGTTCTGGGCTTCATTGGCCTTGTATTCTTTTTTGTGTACCAGGCAGCCCCTTGGTTGACGGATCCCACGATGCCGTTGCGACTGTTCGGCAACCGTACAGCCGTCACAGTCTTCATAATGAGTTTCATCCATAGCATGCTACTGTTCTGGGTCTGCTACTTCCTGCCTGTTTACTTTCAGGGTGTCAAGGAAGCTAGTCCATCTCGATCCGCCGTCATGCTATTCCCTATTGCAACAACCAGCGCTCCAGGTGGTGTAATTGCCGGTATTTCCATCACAAAAACTGGAACGTATCGTATCTGGCACTTCCTCGGATTCGGCCTCATGGCGTTGGGTTGCGGTTTATTCACCCTCTTTGACGAGGCCACTCCAACTGGCCAGTGGGTTGGCTTCCAGCTTCTCTTTGGCTTTGGTTGCGGTTTTGTCTTCACCAGCTGCCTGCCTCCCATTCTGGCCAGTCTACCTGATTCAGACGTTGCAACAGCTACAGGTGCCTGGACATTTCTTCGGAACTTTGGCTCTATATGGGGGATTGCTATACCTGCCGCCGTCTTCAACACACATGCTAACAAATTAGCCTCTGAAGTCTCTGATCCGAGTGTGCGGGCCCTTCTTGTGAACGGGGGAGCTTACGGCCATGCCACGCGTGAATTCATTACCATGTTTAACGGAGACCCTGCCCTAAAATCCGAAATATTGAGCCTCTATGTCCGGGGGCTCAAAGTCGTTTGGGAAGTGTCTATTGCTTTTGCGCTCCTTGGCCTGGCTTTTGCTTTCTTCGTTCCATCTATAGAGCTCAGAGACGAGTTGAACACTGAGTATGGAATGAAAGAAGCAGAGACGAAACCTACTACCGACCTGGGCGACAAGGCTTGAGCACGCTAGTGTGACATGGCGTGGCAGAAGAAGATGCATCTGCTATGGCAGCATTCCTCCACCATAAACGGGGTTTTGGTTCTTCCATTCAGAATAGCTTGCATTGTAATGAAACACAACATGTCCCCTGCGTGAAATCCGGTATATTGTTATACCATGGTAATGGCGAGTATGTATCCCGACAAGTTGAAACAACGTCTCAGATTCCTGAGTGTATGTGATAGGGTCAGTAAACACAGATGGTACTAGTGGCAGAGCAAATATGAGCGAGGTCTTTGTTAATGAAAGGGTCGCCGTTGTAATTATTTCCACAACTTCAGGAATCCATGTTCGACTCCAAGTTGCCGAATCAAACCTTTCGATTCATCTCATCTGTTATTTTACGTCCATGTTCAACTTTGACTCTTGGATAAAAAGCTGTATCTGTTTCTGGTCCCACCAACACAAACTACAGATTCGCCGGGCTCACTGCCCAAAAGTCGCCGAACATTAATTAAAATCCTACAAGTTGGCTCACCGGATTTCACCATTTGCCATCAGAGGTTGCCATCATTACCCGGTATCATCAATGGACCTTTCTGCTTTCTACAACATTGTGGCCGGCGAGCTGCGAGGCTCCGAGAATACCACAACGCCCCGTACCGCAGCCTCTCTCCCAGCATGCCCAGCGGCTATTGCAAGCGACGTCGAGGATAGCGTTGCTGCAGCGCAGAAAGCTTTCCCAGCATGGGCCGGGGAATCCTACGAAACAAGGACCAAGTTGCTAGAAAAGTTTGCAGATCTGTATCTTTCTCATGGACAAGAGTTCTGTACTCTTCTGGCTGCAGAGACTGGGCGAACGGTAAGAACAAACCACCGTATTACAAATTGATGCCTTCTTAACACTAGCTTCACAAAACAGGCTGAAAATGCGGCTGTAGAGGTCTATTGGGCTGCGCAGTGGCTCCGATATCCTTGTTGGTCACTTCCCGTTCATCGTATTCTTTAAAATTCCCTGCTAATTGCAACAGCCAAGTACAAGATTCCAGAGGAGAGGATTGAGGACGATAAAAAAGTGACCATTGTCACCCATGAGCCTCTCGGCTTGGTAGCTGCTATATGCCCGTGGAATTGTACGATCTAGCCACTCTTATTCACGAAATCTGATACAACTTTGTAACACTAACTGGTCCTGGTTTATTTTAGTTCCACTGATGATTGGTATGAGGCTGGTAGCGAAAATCTTACGCAGATGGTAACATTGTATTGACACATTCGCAGCCATCGGAAAGCTTGCACCAGCTGTAGCAACGGGAAACTGTGTTATTTTAAAACCATCGTATGAGCACAGAAACTGCCGAGCGAATTGGACTCTTTGCTAATTCGTCCATAGGCCATTCGCCCCGTATACATGCCTCAAACTGGTAGAACTAGCCCAACAAATCTTCCCACCATCCGTAATGCAGGTTCTGAATGGAGACAACAATCTTGGGTCTCTACTAGTCAAACATCCTGGCATCGTCAAAATCTCTTTTACCGGGTCTACAAATACCGGCAGACAGATTTTAAGAGATGCCGCACCCGAGATGAAGCGTGTAACGCTTGAGACGTAGGCAAATCGAGTTCTCCCGGCTGAGGAATGTGCGCAATCGCTAACACGAATGAATGGCGGTATAGAGCCGGCAATAATGCTGCCATTATCCTTCCAGACGTGGACATCAAGAGCACCTGTGACCAACTGGCTGGAAGTCTGTGGTTCAACGCAGGCCAGGTCTGTATCGCCCCTCGACGACTCTACATCCATCAAGACATATTTGAAGAGTTCGTACAGGAGCTTGCGACGGTGAGCGCCGAAGCGGCAATGGAATGGCGCTCCAAAATCGGGCCACTGCAGAACAAGCCTCACTTTGAGAAGATAAGGACATGTCTTGCCGATGCGGAGGCGAGCGGCGAGAAGTTTGCAATCGGTGGCTCGGTCGCATGCGATGAGGGTGCCATGTACGTCCACCCTGCCATCATTGTGAATCCTTCGCCTAGCTCTCGACTCGTCCAAGAGGAGACATTCGGTGCGTGCAACCTATTATTTATCGTCTCCACGCCAGCTATGAGGTCTACTAATACGGACGATTTAGGGCCTGTCGTCACTTGCCACGGGTATTCTACCATGGAAGAAGCCGTGAAAGCTGCTAATGCCGTGGAGACGGGCCTGTCCGCTACTGTCTGGGGCAAAGACTTGGGCTTAACTGCACGCATTGCTAAGCAACTTGATGTGGGCAATGTCTTCATCAACGGTCCTCCTCAACCGGATCCTTGTGTGCCTTTTGGCGGCCACAAGAAGAGCGGACTTGGGGTGGAATATGGGATGGAGGGCTTGCTGTCATTCTGCCAGACCAAATCCATTTACATGTACAAGTAGAGTGAAACAGGATTGGGTGGTGTAGATCGTATGACATGGCCCTACGGTAACTCGAAAGTGGAACTATACAGCTTACAATTCACACTTGCCGGTTGGCCAATCTTGAAGGCGTCATTCGGTGGTTATCGGCGACTGTATCCTAACATGATCATGATAAGTCGCCGGTACTCACAACGCCCATCAGGAACGCCACTCGGCAAAGACATATTCCCGAGGGCGCCGGATTAAATAAAGAAGAAAATATCGTACTGCAATACTTTCTAATACTTGAATCCAAGACAAAGTTGCAATTGTTGGAAGTGGTGCAACAATGACCCCGAATACCTCTCAGCCCATCCTCAGCGCTCCCACTCACCTCCTTGCCTCGCCATGGCTAGCCAATGACCTCAGTGTCAAGAGCCTAGTTCTTGTGACATTGGCTGTTCTCATTTTTGCACCCAAACTCGCCAAGGTAAGCCAAGGCCTAGTGTGTACATTGATTGCGGTGCTGAACCCTGGGTTCGCCAACAGTTGATCCAAAACATCCTGACACCGGTGTTCTCGATCCCCGGACCACTCATCAACAAGATAAGCTCATGGCCACTGGCCATTGCAACAATTAATGGAAGCAGGTATGTTTTTAGCCACCATGAATAGTTACTCGCCTGGATCTAATCTCGCCCAAGTCACGATTTTGCGCAAAGACTCCACGAGAAACATGGCCCCATTGTAGTTCTTGCACCCGGGATGGTTTCCGTCTCCGACACGACGGAGATTAAGCGAATCATACATACGGAGGACTGGATGAAATCTCGGGCTATTTATGGAAATTTCCGCCAAGACCCGGAGCGTCCTACGCTGCTCGCTTTTACCGACAAGAAGCCCTACTCGAAGCGGAAGCGCATGGTGTCTTCCATGTTTGGCATCAAGTACATCCGCAGCATGGAGCCTCTGATGTTGGGCTGCGTCGAGGTCGCCGTAGATGTAATGGGCAAGACGTGTGATGGCGCGACCGGTGATTTTGCCGTCGTCGACGTGCAACAGTTTATTCATGCTCTGGCCATTGACATCATCGGCGTCACCACCTTTGGCCAAAGTTTCCACGTTGTCGAGAATGGGAGTCATCCGCTGCCATCAAGTCTCAAAAAGGGCTTGAAGATCGCCGGTCTCATGCAACTAATTCCCTGGATTCGCAAGATTCCCTTGCTCCCCACCAGAGACCCCTACGTTAGCAGCTTCACCTATGACATTGTCGACAATCGCCGGCGGACATTCCGCGAGACGACGACACAGGATCTACTGCAAAAGCTTGTCGAGGTGTCGGACGATTCGCCCGGATCCGACTTCAACACTACGGACGTGCAAGATGAGAGCGTGGTCATGTTGACGGCCGGCAGTGAAACAACGGCAAATGCCGAATTGTTTACCCTCATCATGCTGCTCAAGCATCCCGAGGCTATGCATCGAGTTCTCGAGGAAGTGGACGAGTGGTATTCGCCTGGAGACAGAAGTAGACCTACAGACTGTGGCTACTCACAAGCGGGAATGACGTACCTACAGGCCTGCATTGATGAAGCCATGCGCCTGGTGCCAGGGCAGCCGAATGGAAGTCCGAGGGAAGCTCCCAAGGATGAACAAGTTCTCGGATACCGGATTCCCCGGGGGACTACCGTGTTTCCTAATACCCAGGCAGCGCATTTACAGGACGTCTTTGCGGACCGGCCTGACGAGTACGTTCCGGAAAGATGGCTCGACATTTATAGTCAAGGCAATGACGGCAGTATTCCATATTGGCCCTTTTCGGCAGGAAGTCGAGTGTGTATTGGAAAGCACTTTGCCATGCAAGAGATGCATCTCACTCTGGTGACGCTTCTCAGGCATTTCACATTTCAGTATGTCCGGGGCCAAGATGAGAGCACAATGTTTCGCATCGCCCAGCAGTTGCGATCAAACTCGTACAGTGTCGAGGTGCAGAGACGGGCGGTATCTTGAAGGGCGCAGTGACTCTTGTGTTCCGGCGTTTTTGTCCTACATTTACATCTATTTTCTGTTCGTCGTATAAATACAGGGTTAGGGTTAGAGCCAGTTCATCCGTGATGCCACGACAACATGCCGGATTTTCAGTAGGCCTTATAAAGGAAGTTGAGCACGGTATTCTTTCTGCGACGAGTCTCTTCAATTTTCATTGGAGTCTTGTATTCGTGGTTGTCACAGTCTTCAATTGTGCAACAGATTGTCTCACTCGGCACCCAAAGTCGCCGAACTCTACAAGCATCGGCGTTGTGGACTACATATATGAAAACATTGAAGCACCATTGTATCAGAACTCGTAGTTTAGAAACCACCAGACGACAAGTACTACATCCGCACCGCGCCTTTATTGTGTCGCCATGGCGTCCCTCGCGCGTGACATGAACAATGTTCCCATGCAGGGAATGGGCCAATACAGTTCCAACGCGGCCCTGCAGCACGAGGCGATGCTCAAGGCGTTGCCTCTTCTTGAGAAAGCGGCACATCAGGCTACCCTCAACAAAAAGACGCCTGATGACGAGCCATTAACCGTCATCGAGTATGGGTCCGCCCACGGGAACAATTCGTACGCATCACAGCCGCACCACGTCCCGTATCGCGCACTAACAGAACAAAAGCATCCGGCCGTTGGAACAAGTGTTGCAGTCAATGACTGGCTCGACAGTTCAGCTCCTGCTCTGTGATCGTCCAGAGAATGACTTCACCACCCTGTCTCGCACCATGTCGGGATGGATCGACGCTCTGGACAAGACGTCTGCGCCCAAGGCAATTTTCCTCTCCATGATTCCACGAAGCTTCTACCAAGACGTGGTGCCTGCGGAATCGGTCGACCTGGCCTTCTCGCTAGCCTGCCTTCACCACTTGGAGCACATGCCGCCGGACCTTGATGGCGCGCCAGACTCGGAGAGGAAACGCCTCCTGCAGAGACAGTCCCGCAGGGACCTTTGTCGCTTTCTTCGGCTTCGCGCCGGCGAGCTGCGGAGCGGTGGGACGCTGGCAATGTCCTTTGTGAGCCAGTCATCGCTGGGCAAAGAGAATTACGCCGGCTTGGTGGATTCCTGCCGCAGGGCCATGGCGGACATGGTCCGCGTCGGAGAGTTGCCGCTCGGCGTCGCTCGGGCATTCCAGATTCCCACCCATGACAGAACGCTGGACGATGTCAAGGGCGTGGTGCAGGAACTGGCAGATGCGTGGAGGCTTCACGATGTTTTCGAAGAGGGCGTCCTGCACCCCGCCGTCGAAGGCCTCGAGCGTGCAAAACAGTCGGACCCTCACGGGCGTGCGAGTGAGCAATATGCCAAGACGGTTGTGGATTGGCTCATGGCCGTGTGCTCTGGGTATTTCCTCAAGGCAGTCAGCGTCGCCGCGCCCGACGTGTCCGCCGAACAGGCCGCCGTGCTGCTATCTAAATGGGTACATGGCACGAGGGAGTCATTCTTGCGAGACCACAGGGACGAGGAAGTGTTTTGTTCCTTTATTTACGTGCTTTTGGAGCGCATCTGAAGGACACACTCCACATTTATAGGACCATTCTCATGCCACGGGTAAGATGGTGGAGGCTGGTCAGCCGCGATGAGTCCGGCTCGTAGTGGGCTGTTGTGGAAACGGTTGCAATCTCGCCAGCCGGACATGGGGAGACATTAATCTCTCTAGCAGGTTAAAGACATGAAGTTGAATGTATTGTGCAGGTGGCTCGAGACTATGAGCATTGATCAATATAGTGTACAGAGAGCAAGTTGTCACGTATATTGTATTCCATAGAATGGTATTTAAAATGGTATTTACTATGCAGCATCGGGCATGGAGGCTTATTCTAAATATAGATACACCTATAGAATATGGGGTGGCGTCCTACCTTCTCTGCATATAGTACGTAGCTTTTCCGGCATTGGTACAATGCACACGACTGTGACTATCTCGCCAAATTTTGCTCGTAGTCATCCGTCTTGGCAAAATTGTGAATAACGCCTCTGAAGCCGGGAATAGTAAGGTGTTTTATGAACCTTGGTATAACTCAAGTGCTGTAATACGACGATGCAAGGTTACATACGATGGAGATTCCAGAGTAACCACTCAGCCTCCCTGTATTCAAGAGGTCAATTCAATATAAACGCCCCGCTGTCGCCTGAGTCTGAACCTCGGTAGTCCCATCCAGCTAGCATTGCCTCGCTTCGCCAGCCGATTATCCGCGAGCCGGTCTTGGCTCAAGTATTGACATACACATTGCCGGTATACGATAGCCAGCGCATCTCCCAAACTATAGCATGTCTAGAGATTAACATTATATTCTCAAGTATAAAGCTAGCAACGTGTTGCATATTAGCTAACAACTATTAATACAGTTTAGCAATTTTGTAATATATCACTTAGCTCGCTGTTTACTTGGGCGTCTATATTCACAATGTCGCTATTCACATGGCTGATGATGTCTGTAAAGGAGGAGCTGCCGGGCCCTCGGCGAATTTGCATATGCAGGGGATACCCCATGGTCACGCAGCTCAGCTGCGCAACCTTCCTCTGGATTTCTCGCAGCAGCTGGGACAGCAGCTGGGCAATCATGGAGGCCTGGATGGCCGGGGTCGCGAGCGAAGTGCCACACGAGCCGATCTGTATGCATGCCAGATTGCGCAGCGTCCTCTCCGGGTCGTTGGACCTGACTATCTCGCAGAGCCTCGTGGACAGGGCCTGGATGTTTTGCAGGATCTGCACGTAGCATGTGACAATGGTGAGAAACACGGTGATGTTTGTATTGGCGGCATCTTTGACCTGGGCGGCCGCGTGTGAGCACGTGTACATTGTCTTTTTGCACCCGCATTGTGCGTCGGTAGACGGCGACGCTAGCATGGGGCCGATGAGGCTTTCTATAATGTCGAGGAGGATATTCGAAACCTTGGCCGTCTCTTCGATGGCCTGGGCGAAGCCGCCGGGTTCTTCTATCAGGCACAACAACGGAGTGTCTTGCAGCCTGCTAAGGAGGCGTAACAGGTGTATTTGTGTAGAGCTACTGCCGCTGCTTAGCTGGGCCGGATTGGGCGAAGACCTGGGATTGCTGGCGGGATATACGACCAAGTCATCGAGGTTGCAGTGAGTGAATGGTTGTGGTTGTTGACTCTGGTCGACCACGCTGCTGTCGCCAACTGTAGTCTCCTTTAATTGCCCAAAATCGCTGGAGAAGAAACCGCTGTCAAGAAAGGCATCGTCAAACATGTCTGCTTCGTGGCAGGGCGTCGCCAGCGTCGCCGAGTCGCATCCTGACGAAACTACGACGGTTGATGAGACGGGAGAGCTGTTGGGGGCTGCTTTTTGAACATGTTAGCTCCTCGCTGTAACCATGTACGAGGCGATGAGGAGGGGGATATGCTACGGTTACATACTGCTTTGCAGATCTGGGTAAAGTAAGTCGGTGATGCGCCTGTCAAGGCCCTCCATGCCGGACATGGATGGTGACGTGTGGGAAGCCAAGGAGACATCGAAGTGATCAACAGAACCATGGGTCGGCTCGGATGCCGACGTCAACGACGACTGGCTCCCCGGGCTATTCTCATTATGCGGCTGCGTGTGCGTCTGCGATGTCTTATTAATAGGACGACCAAGACGCAGCGGAGGGCTGTAGGTGCATTTCTCGCCCGCCTTGACGCATCGTTGGCATGCCTTGCTATGGCCCGAGGCTCTGGTACAGCGGAGCTTCTGCCCGTGGCACCGGTCACAGGCCAGCCTCTCGGATCGACGCTTTGCGGCATCCATTCTGCACTATGCTGCGTTGTCTGGTATCGTCGTCGGCAACTTGGGATTGCTTCGGGCCACCGCGTTACATGGGGCGGAGTGACGGGCAGCAAAAAGAGAGAAAGGGAGTAGCATCGGAGCATAATATGAGCCTGGCCGCGTAACATCAAGCGGTCAGGTATTTTAATAAGTGAGCCAAAGAGCGTTCAAGATGCAACTCGTTGGTTGCAAGGCCAAGTCGTCGACAGATGGTAAGCAACTCCAGCCAGGGGGGTGGTACGATGTGTATGCACGCTCCAACTCCACTCGCATAAAGAGAGTTAATCTGACGCGACACTGTATGTGTTGCAATTGGGCCTTCTCTTGTCATCCATACTGGCCCTGGCAGAACCCGCCGGGCGCAGTCTTACTATCGAGCTTACTATCGTCTGGCCAGAGGGGAGTCTCGGCTGACTGTTGGGTAAGACAAAGCAGGTTATATACTCCGTACACCAAACTGCATTCGTATAACCCAAGGTATAATGGCTTACTTGTATATGGTGGAGAAGACGCCAAAGCATATATCCCGCAGATTGTTCATGCTAAGCTGGAAACTGGAACAAACCTGGGAAGGATCTCCCGCCGTCTCGAATCATCCCCAACAATCCTCAGAACCGGGGAACCGGAAGTCTGGTGGGCCGTAGACTGGAGGCTGTCAACTTGCACAGGATTATGCCAACACACCAGACTACATGTGGCGTTTTTTGTGCGACTGGGGCATGAATCGCGCACCAACAACACCAATACCAGCGCCGGACGCACCCAGCCCCTGATCGTTCGGTGGATTACTCGGGCGCGGCCATGTTGTGCGGGCGCAAAAGGTGCCAGCCCTACTATACTGCCCGGAACTATACCTTGGAATCATGGTACCTGCTTTGACATCTCCATTTACCCCAGCGCCTCGCATCAGGACACTGTTTTTGTCTGTGACGCCACGTACGGTTGCGAGATTCCTCAACGCCATGTAGCCAATTTTTCGTGGGGCAGCAGCCATCATTGCCTTTTACTCAGTAACCTCTGGTGTCGATTAGAGACGGCCTGACTCCGTACATTGTATATACAAAAGGCGCTGGCAACGCAGCAGAGTAAACAAGACCAACTCTCCCCTGCTAAAACCCACCCAGCCCTTCCATCTTGGCCACCATGCCAACAACACCTTTGACGAGCCCTTGGACCTTTCCAGGGTTGCCCATGTACCCCTTGCCCGGGAGCCCGTCCTTGTCTCTCCAGATGCCATCGTCTGCGACCCTGCCAAACACGTTTGTGTTCTGGTTCCTGTCGATTCCCCTCATCCACTCACCACACACATCCCGGCTGTCCACCATGATGTTGACCTCTTGGCTATGGAACCACGACTGCGTGTCCTGATTGCCGCTGCCCTGAATGCCGACCCTGCCGTCGGCAATCAGCAGCTTGACATGGCATGAGCGTGCCTTGAAGCTGTGGTGGATGGGGTGGTCCTGGTCCTTTCCCACGTAATTGTACACCCTCAGCAGGGCTCGCTCCGGACCCTCTGGCGGCAACGAGTCGACCAGCGACTTGGACACTTGATCATTGGTGCCTCCCTGGCCCGGAATCATCTCCCCAAAGTCGTTGTACCCAAAGCACACGTAGTACGTGACTTGGACCCCGCGCCCGAGAGCCGCCCTCAGTTCGTGAAGCAGCGGCTCCGCATTGAGATCCGGCGTCTGGATAAATACCGTCTCCCGCGCGTTGCGGATAAGAGACAGCCATGCCTCGTTTTGTGGGACGTAGCCGTTGCTGGAGTCGAAGCATCCATACGGAGGGCGCGACACCATGGCCATGGGCACGGGGCCCGGCGCGCCGGTAGATGCCATGTATGGTGTCATCTCGTCGCCGTCAGCTATCTCCGGGCCCGTCGGGGCAATTGGCGCCTTGACAGGGATGTTTAGCTGTCTGTTGACGGCTTGTAGGCGAGTCTCGTCAGCCTGGACCGAGTAGCTGCTCTGGATTCGCACAACTTCACCCGCGATATCCTGGTCGTAGTGCGGTTCCTCTGGCGTGTGTTTTGCGAGCTGCGTCTGCGCCTCTCCGGCAAGCGCGACGTCGCTTGCCGTCTTGCCCGGTGAGCGCTCGAGATACAGATCTTGGTGGTCCTTGGTCGGCAGCCCGCCCGCGGATGCCGAGGCTTGATGATGCGGCGGCAGCGGCGAGTTGAGACTCTTGTACCACGTAATGATGGCTGTGTCGAGGATGCTATCAACAATCGGACCCTCTACGTGCACCATCATTTCGAGGTTATCATTGTCCTGCATGTTGTTGCTCATGACTGCGGCAATCTTGCGATCCACGACGCAAAATTTGGCATGTTGTGTCCCCAACGGCAGGGTGTGTAGACTCGTAACCTCGAGGTCGACATTGGGAATCTCGTTTGGGCCGGGAAGCTGTACGGATTTGGATGTGTAGCTCTCCGGTTTCACTCTGTGGTGTGAGTCGGGTATGTTTGACGGCCCTGCGCTGTCGTACATGAGGTTGACAGTCACCCGCTGCCCTCGAGCGACTGATCGTCTCGACAGCTCCATGAAGGCGCTTCGGATCAGTCGCTGGGCGATGGAGGGCGACCAAGCACATGTGATGAAGAAGACTTCTCTCTCAGCCCGGGCGATGAGGTTCGAGCAGTGCCTAATAATGTCTGCTACAGGAGCTATGACGGTAAGCGGTACGGTGCCATGCGACCCCATCAATGGCGGCGACACAACTCCGGAGAGCGGATCGGGGCCCAAGCAGTTCAGAGCATCTGCGAATGCTTGCAAGAAGAGAGGGCTTGGCTTGGTTGGTCCCCAGTTGCCGCACTTCAGGGCTGCGTCTTGTGCTTCTGGCGAAGCAGGTTGTCGATGCTTGCTTCCATCGCAGTTACGGTCTCTTTCAAGGTGCCCATAAAGCTGCTTGATGATGTCGCTCGGAGGCCTGGAAGGGTCCTTTGCCCAGATTGAGGTTACCGTGTCGGTTTGCCCAACAAGTTTGAGAACGTGCTCCGAGACCATGTCGACAAGTGATCAAAGGACAACTCAATATTTATGGCTGTTAAACTTGGGCATATTTCCCATAATGCGTATGCTTTGACATCAAATGAGTGCCATGGTGCTTATAACTGTGAGTTTCGTCGCCGCCGGATAAACGGCAACTGAATAACGTCATAGGGCGCGGGATTCAAGGCACGACGGATTGTGTGGCGATGCAACTTGGCTGACGCCGATTGCCACATCAGGCAGTTTAGCAAATAATTCCCCATTTTTCCCATGCACCATGGGGACATTCTAGAACAAAAGGGTGGTTAGCTGGTTGTGGTGTTACAGTCGATCTGTGATCTGCCATGCAACGGCTCGTTCTGTCGCTAGAACTAGGACAACCAAACACGACTGCGATTTTGTCTCGGTTGATCGGCCAGAAACTATATTATTTCCCTTTATAGTAACATGACATGTCTGCTTTTCGTCATCATCCTCATGGCTCCTCACGACTGTTCGCTGGCTTCCGTCGCAAGAGCGCTATACATATTCCCATGGCCTGAAAGATAGCCTGCCATGCCGCCATTCTTCTCTTCTTGCTCCTCTTCCCCTTCTTCCCACCCCGAAGGTCTGATTGTGGCTTCAATGGCCCAGGCCACTCGTTCGGCCCCCAGCTTCGCGCCACCGATATTGGGAGCAGCCGGTCCCAGTTTCAGCGCCGACAGTCTTCCCAGGAGGAACAAGGGGACGTCGTTGTTCCACATTAAATCGTCATTGATGCAAGGGAAGCCCCCGTAGCTGTCGATTGGGTACTTGTCCCGCATCGTCTTCAAATAAGGCAATTTGGAGACGTCGGTCTGGATCCCGGTAGCAAAATAGATATAGTCGAAAGATGGCATATCGGCCACGGGCGGATCCGTTGCGACCGTCCACATCCCGCCGGCACCATTTTCACCTTGCACAAACGTTGTATCGAGCAGACATGTTCGCTCAAAGAGTTCGAGTCGTCCCGACGCGACATGCTTCCGTAGGCGCTTGTGGAAAAGAGGTGTGATGCTGCCACCACCCCTTGCCTCCTTGATAATCTCCAATCTCTCTTCGTCCGAGTCGGCAAGCCAAAACCGCGCTTGCTCCGTATTCTTGTACTTGCCCATCCACTCGAGGTCGACATCGAAATGCTTCACGCGGCATGGTCCGCGCATCATATGCCATACTTTGGTTACGCCCCTGCGAATAGCAAGGTCGGAGAGCTGAGCAGATGTCAGCCCGCCCCCTACCACAAGAACGTTGGTTCGTTGGCCAGCCGCGATTCTTTGCTGAACAATGGGGTCGGGAAACGTCTTGATTTGCATGCTGTGGCAAGCTTGGCGGAGATTCTGCATGTCCTTGGGCATAGATGGCATTCTGGGAATGTCAGGCTTGTTGGCAGCGCCCACGCCAAGAACCACCGTCTTGGAGTAAAAGCGGCCGGAAGAGGTCGTAACTGTAAACAGACTCCGGTCTTCAATCGACACTCCTCGTACAATACCATAGTCAACATCTACCAACATGTCCTTTCTGATTATACTGCTGTCCAGACAATATCTCGTGGCAACATGCTCACAATGATCGCAAAACAACGACCGCGAAGGGGTATAATAGTCGTTTCTCTCGCGCAGATTAATGGCAATTCGAGCTTCCTGTCTTTTCAGCTTGTCAGTTTCCTATACAAAACAGCCGTTTTCCTCCCAGGTTTTTTTGTTTAAAAAAAAAGTCACTTACTTTGTGCCGCAGTGCCGACTTCCCGCCTTCTTCTTGGCATGCTTGCTAATCTCCTTGCCTACGCAGTTGCGAATCTCAACCAGCTCGTTTTCCCGGTTCTCCGAGTACGCGTGAGCTAGCAAGGAATCGCGATCAAGAGGATCAACATGCCACAACATTGGGCTCCTCAAATGGGAAATATCGTACAGCCCAAAGAGCTCATTCCAACGGCCTAGCCACTTGTCGTCGGTGCCGTCAAGAACCATCATCTTGTATTCTGGCCGTGTCTTGCCCCGTGGCGAAGACGTCTTTCCACTCCGGACATGCTTCAAGCTGACCTTGTTGCCATACTTGCCGATCCAGTGAAATCTGCGATGCTCCTCATCAGTGAAGAGGGCCGCTGGCGTATGCTCGCGGAGGCGGGCGGCGGTCGCGAGTCCGCATGGCCCGGCGCCCACGATGATGACATCAAAGACCTCTGTATCCGCCATTGGTGAGTCCAAATTCAATACAGGACCGATTAGGGGGCTGTTGTGAATTATTTGTAAATTCTTTGGGCTTTTGAACTAGCGTAGGAGGTCAAGCAGACAAGAATTCAAGGACACGCTCACCCGCTCATTGATTGAGGTAGGGGCCTCTTATTAAATGGCTCTTTGTCATGTCTTTACATTGAAGAGAACCCTTATGAGCCGGCCATGTTCATCCTGTTGTTCTCATTTTTAGACTTGCACGACACTTTACCGTTCCCGGCCTACCTTGATGGTTTGGAAGCCATCAAGGTCTCTGATGCTGAACCATCAGGCATGCAAGAAAATAACTAGCTGTAACGTAATTGGACATGGCTTTACTCCTTGTTCTTTTTTTAATTCCATCTCTATCGTGGCGGCAGAGCCTGAAATACCGTGCAAGGGTTGTGATTGGTGGTGAGGCAATGACACCTCGAGATGAAAGACGCTCCGCCCGTCATATCGTTTGCTAAGTTTTTTTATTCTTTACACACATCATTAAACAGTTATTGTACCAACTGGAGAAACATTTCTCATTGAATTGTAGCAATGTCTTGGCCACGGATATTTCGGGTCCCGTTGGGCCCTACCCTAAAAGGAAGACAACTAGACCAGGTATACCGGGGGGTTGCGAAAATCAGCAGTCAATAGAGGGCCGCGCTCAAATTAAAAAGAGCAAGTTGTACATCATCTAGATCCCATGTGCGGATACTGGTCCACAGTCTTTTGCGAGTGAAGAAATCAGCCGAGTTACATTTGACAGAAGCTTCTTGCAGGGCATGTGCTATTTGACGAGCTGCCCCGAAATACATCGTCGCAGCTTCACCACAGGAACTGACGAGAAGCTATACTGTAATTAGGAGTAAATAATTCACAGTGTACATATCTGTTTTTCTCATATCTGGCTTAGCAAGAGTCAGGTTTGCGGTATCGCCTAGGGGTCTGTAGCTTCCACCTAGAAGCATGACAATCGTTATGATTTTGAGATCATCATTATCGAATGCATGCTGTGACAAGGGCTCTATAGAGGGCTTGGAGTCAATAGCTCAATTCATCTAATAACAGTCTTTGGTATCAAAGGTCCCTGGTTTTCCTCAGGGCCTCGGTGGCCAAAGACCGGTGTCTTTACATACAAGAAGTCGGTAAGGGACTTTACCCTAGGTCCCTTGATCGTAGCCCTTGTGTAACCGTGAGACAATAGGTCATTTCCGTGTAGCACATGCTTTCCAAAGTACATGCCCACCGCATCGTGGATATCTTTCAGAAACCCAAAATTCGTAACTCGCCCAGTTACCAACACAGCGCTCGCCGTCATTTCCATAACTGCTGACACGGTGTGATATAAAGCAGGGGAGATGTTCTTGGTCCTGCAGCGACTCCATGTTCTCATTGCCCTGACATATGTCTTGGGGCGTCAAAGGACAACCGTTGATTCCGGTGCTCCGGGGCTCGGCGGACGAAGTGGTGACTCGCTGCTTGGAAAATGAAAGCTAAATCGACAGTCCGTGTGAACTCGTCTCTTGATGCATCGCTGGCGAGCCCGGCGGTCAAGCTGGGCATCAAGTAGTAACCCTATAGCTTTTTTACACGCGAGACAACTATATAGCTTGAATTTATCTAAAACAAGCACTTTTAGCATTACTACATAATTCCATCTAGTCATTAATAAGCGAGGTTCAGCACTCACGGCGAGTGGCCTTGTCGCGGTTGGTCAAGGCGCAACATTGAAGCGTCGCAGCCGCCATTCCACACTGGTATACTTTCACTACCTGAGCTATGTCAAAATTAGATTCAATAACACCCGTCTGTTACGTTATTGTCAACGGCTCTGTATCACGGTACAACAATACGTGGGTGTTGCACGATATACCAACCAAAACATGTGAACAGTCTCAAAATGTTAAAAAGGGTTCATGGCATAAAACGCTAGAAGAAAAAAAAATCTTTTTTGTATGTTGGTAGCTACTGATATAACTAACCGACTCGTTCATTGTGTTGGACAATTTAGAGTCTGGCATATGAGAAAGGACAAAATACCAGATGTTAATCCTATTTGCCATTCCACGAGAAAGATAATTTGCCTCCAGTCCATCCGTCACGTCCGGGATAAAGCATCAGGCGTTGGGCGCAAATATCCCACCGGAGAGTAGTCCGGTCGCTTTTTAGGACAGGTATTTGCACGTATAATGTTGCTATAATCGATCGACTTGTTAGAGATATAGTACGAGATTCCGGATGGAAGGAACTTGCCGCGAAATCCCGGAAGCCCTTGGTGCAGGTGCACTATTCAGACCAGACACGATTAGCAACCAGCTATATTTCCTTCACAAGCTCGTCAGGTACAGGGAGGACTTGTGCTCACCCCCTTGACCTCGCAGAGAGGAGTAAGGCCATCGTTAGTCTATATTGTGGTCAAGTTAGTGACCTGGCTTTATCCAGAACGCTTAGCAAATCAGTGTGCAATGGCTTACATCTCGAGTGGAAGAGCAGGATAGTTCATTCTGGTTCGACTATCGTATCAGCCACTGTAAATTTTAGTAGAGGGCGTTGGAGGTTCTGTTACATTTGCTTCGGTGCAACTGACGCCGCCATCGGCGTCTTTCACAACCTGCTTGACCGTCTAGAGTTGGGGGCAAAATTAGCTCCTTTCCTAACATCGACATCGAGATAAAACAAACAGCAAGAAGCATGCATGTTTGTCAGTAGTCAGGATTCGCGTACCATAACGTCTCCCGGCATGAAGTCGCTCTGAGGCGCTGCCAGGGCCAGAGTGGCAAAAGTGGCAAAGATAAGCTGAGTATACTTCATATTGACTCGGTAGACTGTTGATGAATAAATTGAATTGTGAGAATGATCAAGTAGTGAAGGATGGTTGGATTGGTAGTTTGTCCATGATGAGCTTTGGACCTACGGTCTTATATACCAAACGTTTTTGCCAAATTTTTTGATCTAAGCGCCCAAGACGCAAGGTAATCTAGTGGATTAAACTAAACAGGTCATTTATCAGGCAATACTTGAGACAAATATGGGACAATGCATTATGCAGAGAAGGGAGCTCGCTAATCAGTAGCTTAGGTACCGCGTCATGAGTCGGGACCGCGTAGCCCATGCTTGGTTGACGCGTGGGTCTTTCCACTTTACACATAGCAAAACGATGCCGAGGCACGATATGGTTGAGATTTTCAGCGTAGTCCTGGCCGGTTTTCGGACTGGAAGGGCTTTCGTTGACGCCCGCGTGTGGAGATTTGTCGTATTTTGCTGGATACTGGTCTTGCCTTCTGGTTGCTAGTGAAGGGCTGCTGCGGGGTGAGTGTGAGGTTGAGGTTTGTCTGGTGATGTATACTTTAATTTCTTCCTGGGCGATAGCTTCGCTAGGTGGTTCAATGTCGTTGATTCAGGGTCAAGGTTAATACTGCTTCTTAATGGCAAGGTATTGACGAGTTCCTGGTCATGCTGGTACTAGTCACAGGCCCGTGCTTGGTGATTATTCCCAGTCCATTTATTCTAGTGTTATAGGTGTGGTGTTTAGTCGTGGTGTGTTGGCGCTGTGTTGCGTTAGTGCCTGGTGAGCGAGACTGTATTGGTGGAGGTAGGTCTTCTTTTATCTCTTCTTCTCTGCTTCTTCTTTATCGTCCCCCTCTTCCTCTATCTCTGAATACATCTCCTCCTTTCTCCTCGTGATTTACGTTATTTACTGGGTCTATTTCTATTATGTGAATCATCTTAGGACCGCGCATTTTATCCTCCTGTTAGAGGCGGTCGTGTTTATCGCCCTCTTCTTTGGCTAGGGGCAGTCAGTTACTATCAATCAGCTGTGTATTATTCTTCTTTTTAGAGTTCTCTTATCCTAGTTACCTAGCGTAGAGTGGCTGGTCTCTGAAAGTTTCTGGAAGCTAACGCGGAGTTTCTGTGAGCAGGAGAAGCAGCTCTGGTAGTTGGCTTCGTGTGCGCCGTAGCAGTTAACGCACTTGAGCTTATTATCATAGCTGTCAGTGCTATGCAAGTCATCCTTGACACCATAGCGCAGGCAGAGTTTTATAGCGACATAGAGTTTTAGTGGTGAAAGTTCTGGCAGTGAGTGTATCAAGAGAGTTGCCTTGGTTCAGTAAGTTCCAAATAGGTAGCTTCCTTGCCTTAGAAGGCAGAAGTTGCACTTTAGTGGTGTCAGGGAGGGAACTACCAGTGTAGGTTTGGTCGTGTCTTCGTGCCCCGTTAGGCTTTTATGAGACGTGCTATTGTTCTGGCTTTTGCCGCGTTTGGGCTGAAGTTTCCTTTGAATATAATGGTCTTAAAATCCAGAATAGTGCCGTCCTAGGAAGTTCTTCATCAGGTAAGTGTGTCATGAGATTTACTTCTCTGCAATATCCAGGTTAATATATAAGCCCTATTTATTCTGCTTCTCAAGGCTAAGCTCCTGGATCTTCTCACTTTAGGTAATAAATACCTATCCTATATTTGTTATCTTAATATCTTGAACGTCCTAGGATGCAATAGCAAGCTCATCCTTTAGTGCGAGGCGGATCTGTAGACCTTTCTTCAGGAAGGAGGAACCACTCTTTATTAAGCGGAGAGGAGCCCGCGATCGGTGCGATCCGCGATAGTTGTGCTTTGGCGGCGGAGAGGGTGTAGGTGGACATGCTCTGGTGCCTGACTTGAGGTATTTTTCGTGATGTTAGCGAAGCTCACCGACTTTCTAGTCCTGGCGTTACCGGCGGCGTAGGTTTGTTTTTCTCCGTGAGTGCGCTTGGAGCTGGGGTGAGCCTGGCTTGTGGTGTTAAGGGTTCCCTTGCGTGGATAAATTGATTCCATTATTACATAAGGGTATTCTGGAACTTATTGACGATATATAGTCTGTGTTCCGAGGTGAACTTCCGAGTATCGGCTGTTGTTGCTTCTGCGTAGCTTCTGGGAGCTTTTGCGCGTATGTCGAGTCTCTCCTTTTTCGTCTTCATAAATCTCAGCTCCTAGATGAAAAGTCAGGGTGG